TTTTTTTTCGTTAAAACGCAAGATACAAATTGAAAATGAACATTCGTTAGGAGAAAACGTCTATTTTGAGAATAGCATCGGGTATACATATTTAAATTTAAGTTAACGACGGCAATATTTCATTTAAAAAAAAAACGAATTCTCTAATGATGAATCCTTACAAGCGAACCTTATAGCCCTCATTAAGTAATTATGGCACAAATTTAAAGGCTCCAATTTTTCAAACCTTTTAAAATCGTTTATAAAAAATGTTGTTTCCATGAGCAAGTCCTCCAAAAGAAATCTGCGTCCAGAGTTTCTTGGTGTACGACACACCAAACCAAACCAATGGCAAAACAAACATTACCAAAGCAAATTAACAATGTTCTAAAGTTGTTTCTATTCTCATCGTTTCAAATGTATCAAAGAATCCAGATACAGGGTCAATCCCAGTACACCGGCGTAATAACGCAATTTTCATGTCGCATGACTTTCAGTGCCTGTAGGCAAACAAAAACTACGGGACTATTGGCTTTATAAACATTGTTGTTTTTATAATTCAACTTCAAAGCAGAATACTTATCTGTAAATTTGCAAATCAGACTCTATATTGCTATGCCAATGTCATCAATAGAAGCAAAGTTTTAGTTACTAAATTCCCATGTCGAAAAGAAAGAAATTCATATTTTAAAGGTTAAACTTTAATATAAATGAACACGATGGTAGCATAATGTTACAAATACAAATTTGTCATCAGAAATGGGAGAAAAACTACCTATTGTAAATCTTTTCACGCTATGCAGATGTTTCATTCAATTTGCCACGTTTAGCAAGAGCAACAATAACCCAGCCTTATACAGGTAATAAAAATACTGGACATAAAATTAGGATGTGTGTCCTTTTCTGTTTAGAGCAAACGTTTCGTGCCGCAGATATGAGATTTGTATTTGTGAGATTTTTGGCCTACCGTAGATTTTTGGCCGACCGAGTCACTGAATGATAAATTGACGGACTGAGTATAAATAATTGTCTAAACCAAAACAAGGCGAGTCTTGTTCCTGTTGCACTTATTGAACAGAGTGGAATTGTACTTGCCTTGGTGTCTAATGGTTCGATGACTAACTGATATCCAGGCAGCACATCAGGGTTGGCGTTGACGTCTTGGGCAGCAAGTTGACTAGCAGGCAGGAAGGCTTCCCCAGCTGCCCAGGCGCCAGACATCGGGTAGAGACCAAGGAGGTGTAGCCGGGTGGCGTTGGGATCGCAGATAGCCGGGTCGAAAGTACCGGCCAGTGTTAGGGAGTAGGCGAGGAGCAGCAGCACGGACATGTCTGATCCGCAGCACTATAATCAATGCCCAACTGCTAATGAGAGAACAGGCAGTCGACCAATGCCGACGGCGCAAAGCTTACGGGGTTGCGTTTTTTATCTCTTCGGTGCGGGAATGACATTAAAGGCAGACGCTTGCAAGTTCAGTAGCAAAATGTCTTCTTGGACAGGTGACCAAGTGACTGTAAACGGTCAACCATGAATAACTATATGCCTGCATTAAACATTGTTTCTTGAACACCTGTCTATTCGTATTTTCACAACTGAAAATGTTACAGTGAAAACAACAAAGTTGGTTTTCATACAAGTATTTTGTAGAAGAATGAACACTTTGGAGGCACTGAAACACAATATGGGGTTTGCATGCATACAGCGTATTTTAGCCTCTGTGCAGGCTGAATCGTGACTGATATACGTGATCGATGACGTCACAACAGTGACACGCACCTTGCGTTTCCACTCTATAAGCCAATGATCATTGCACCACGTCCGTTTCTGCCGCACTTTCTATTGCACGTGTGCGACTCCTATTTTAACCGTTTATAGACAACTTAATTGCGGACCCGTTGTTGTTATATCATTATTTCGTTCATTTACTGTAAATCTGTCGAAGATTTTCTGATAACTGATAACATGGAACAACCGTGTTTTTAAGATGTCGTTTGTTTTCATTTAGAACCAATTTGTTTTCGACAAAATCATAATTTCGGAGGTTCCCAACATTCGTACCCGCAAAGAGGGGATTATCCAGTATTTGGATTTGGGAGCAAATTTTAGCAAGAGTATTTTATCTTTTGATTGACAGCGTTTGAATATTGTCCAAAAACTGCTCCAAAGTATATTGACAACGCAACTGCGATCTCAGAAAATTAGTCAGATTTGTTGAGGTCTGGTACCACGTATCGCGATCAATAACTTAAGATTAATTTTTTTTTTGTAGAATCGATCCTTTCAAACATGAGCATGATGAGATTTCGACGTGGTGTTATAAGGATTTATATTAAATTTAAGTACCTTTGTCGTCCCTTTACAACACATACTATTTTGTTTTCTTCATTTCTCTACCCCGAGTACATATTGTGGGGTTCATAAATTTGGGCTTCAAAGTAGAAAAGGCATCGCGCAGTCTTGAAAAAAAATTGTACGCTTGACCTGTAGCCGATAACGCGTTAGCGGAAATGGGCGCGCAACCACCAAAGACCAGCGTTCACTGACCAGGACCAGCAACCATTGACGAGGTACTAGCGACCAGTGACCAGCGACAAGCGACCAGCGACCAGCGACCAGCAGCCAGCCACCAACGAAGAGCGACTAGCGATCAGTGACCAGCGACAAGTAACCTGCAACCAATGTTCAGCGACCAGCGACAAGCCACCAACGAAGACTGACTGACCGGCAACCATGACTGACCGGCAACCATGCAGCTCCACCAACGTTCAGCGACCAACATTCAGCACCCAGCGACCAGCGACCAGCGAGGAGTGACTAGCAACCAGTGACCACCGACAAGTGACCAGCATCCAGCGGCCAGCAACCAGCCGCCAGCGAGGAGTTACTGTCAAGCCACCAGCGAGGAACTACCAGCTACCAGCGACCAGTGACCAGTGTCCAGCGACCAGCGACCAGTCAACAGCGACCAGCGACTAGCGGCAGACGACCAACAGCCAGTTCCCAGCGACCAGTGACCAGCAATCAGCGACGAGCGTCTAGCGACCAGTGACCACTGACAAGCGACCATAGCGTCCAGCGACCAAAGACCAGTGACCAGTGACCAACGTCCACTGTCCAGCCGCCGGCGACTAGCGTGCAGCAACCAGTAATATAGCGACCAGTGACGGCAGCGAGGACCACCAAGCGACATGATAACATCGTCCAGCGCCCAGCGATCAACGACCAGCAACCAGCGACGAGCGACTAGCGACAAGTGATCAGCGGCAAGCGATCAGCAACCAACGTACAGCGACCAGCGACCAGCCAGCAACGAAGACTGACTAGCGACCAGCGACCGGCAACAAGCTCGACCGGCAACCAGCTCCACCAGCGTCCAGTGAACATTCAGCACCCAGCGACCGGCGAGCAAAGCGACCAGTGACCACCGACAAGCGACCAACGACCAGCAACCATCGACGAGGGTCTAGCGGCCAGTAACCAGCGACAAGCGACAAGCGACCAGCGACCAACGTCCAGCGACCCGCAACCAGCCACAAAAGAAGAGCGACTAGCGATCAGTAACCAGCGACAAGCAACCAGCAACCAATGTTTAGCGACCAGTGACAAGCCACCAACGAAGACTGACTAGCGACTGGCAACCAGCTCCACCAGCGTCCAACGACCAACATTCAGCACCCAGCAACCAGCAACCAGCCGCCAGCGAGGAGTGACTAGCGACCAGTGACAAACCTCCAACCATAATAGCGACCAGCCACCACTGACCAGCGTCCAGCCACCAGCCAGGAGCGACCAGAGGGAAATGATCCGAGACTAGAGTCCATCGATCGACAAGCTAACGACGACCAACAACCAGCGGCCAGATACCAGCGTCCAGCGACAGGCGTCCACCCACCAGCGTCCAGCGTGCAGAAATCAGGGAGGACCGACCAGCGATCAGCGGCCAGCAACCAGCGACCAGTGACCCAAGACCAGAGCCCATTGACCAGCTACCAGTGCCCAGCGACAAGCGTCCAGCTAGGAGCGTCCAGCCGGCATCCACCAGCAAGGAGCGTCCAGCAACCAGCGACCAGCGACCCGAGACAAGCGACCATTGACCAGCATCAAGCAACCAGCGTCTAGCCACCATTGACCAGCGACAAGAATTAAGCGTTTGACGTCAATCCACCAGCAAGGAGCGTCCAGCTACCAGCGACAAGCGACCAGCTATCAGGGTGAACAGACCATCGACCGCCGACCAGCAGGGAGGACCGACCATTGACCAGCGACCAGCAACCACCGACCAGAGACCAGCATCAAACGACCAGCTACCATCAACCACCGACCAGCATCTAGTGTCAAGCCACCATCGACCAGCGACCAGTGTCAAGCGTTCAGCGTCCAGCCACCAGCAAGGAACAACCAGCTACCAGCAACCAGCGGCTTGCGACCACCGACCAGCTTCCAGCATCCAGCCCCGATCGACTAGCGACCATCGTCCAGCCGACAACTACTAGCGAGAAGCTACCAGCGTCCAGCATCATTTGACCAGCAAGGATCGACCAGCGAACATCAACCAGCAATCAGCCACCATCGTCAAGCGACCAGCGCCGAGCTTCCAGCACCAACCATCAGAGAGAAGCGAGCAGCGAGCAGCATCCTGTAACGTGCGAGGAGCAACCAGCGACCAGTGTCCATTGTCCACTCACCGGCAACCAGTCACCCTCTAGGAGCGTACCAGCGACAACCGTCCAGCTTCAAATGACCACCAGCAACCAACCAACAGGGAGCAGCGATCAGCCACCAATGATCAGTGATGAGTGATGAGCAGCGAGGAGCTATCAGTGCCCTGAAACAATCGTCAAGCATCCAGCCACCAGCAGCTACCAGCGACCAGTGACCAGTTACCAACAACAAGGAACCTGACCATCGACCAGCATCCAGCGACCAGCATCTATATGTGACTTGCATCTATCGACCAGCAACCAGTGACCAATGATCACTGACCAGCAGAGTGACGAGCAACAATTAGCTACCAGCAACCGATGACCACTAACCAGCGAGGAGCTATCAGTGCCCTGCAACAATCGTCGAGTATCCAGCCACCAGGAGCTACCGGCGACCAGTAACCAATACCATCAACAAGCAACCTGACCATCGACCACCATCCAGCGACCAGCGTCTAGTGACCAGCGTCTAGCGACCAGCATCTGGCGACTAGCAACCAGCCAACATCTTCTAGCGACCAGCGACGAGCTTCCAGCGTCCAGCCATCACCGAGAAGCGAGCAGCGAGCAGCGAGCAGCGAGGAGCATCCACCCACCAGCAACCAGCTACCAACATCAAGCAACCAACGACAAGTTTCTGGCGTCCTGCGACCATCGACCACCAGCGAAGAGCGACTTGCAACCAGTGACCACCGACCAGCGACAAGCGACAATCGACCAGCGTCGAACACCAGCCGCCAGCGTCAAGCGTTCAAAGTGAAGCCAACAGGGAACAGCGATCAGCCACCAGCAAACAGTGACCAGTACCCAGCGAACAATGACCACCGACCAGCGACCAGCGTCGATCCAGCAACCAGCGAGGAGCAACTAATGACCATCGACCAGCATCCAGCCACCAGCGAGCAGTGACCAGCGACTATAGCAACTATAGTGACCAATGACCAGCAACCAGTGACCGCCGTCCAGCGAAGAGCGACCAGCAACCAGTGACCTGTGACCATCTGAGCGTGGTCAACAAATTTCAGTATCTGGGTTCCGCAGTTTACCAGCACTAACTTCCTGGAGGCCGAACTTGACTCCCAAATAGGTAAGGCTGCAACCACCTTTGGCCGACGTGCGCGTGCTCGTGTTTGGGACAAACAGGCTCTATCAAGCTGAAGATTCGCACTTACGTGTCCTGTGTTGAGTGTGTTATTCTACTGCAGTGAGTCATGGCCGACCTACCGCTGCCAGGAGTGTCATTACAACAAGTACGCACGGGCGAGGTGACAAAGTTTAATTAGCTCTGATATCATCATTTCATTTACATACAGCAAATTCCAGCGCGCACTGGTTTGGGAAGTTATAAATATGTCTACTTTTAACACATAAAAATAGAATAAAAATCAAAGAATAAAGTGTAAGGAGAAACAATTTGGCATCTTTTATTTTCCCAACTACAAAGCTTGAACGTACGCGTTAAAGGCCTTTCTCTCAGTAATTACATTTTTGACATATATGTACCTAATACCTACAAACCCCTATTTCGACCTCTGCCAGCTCTGTCTCATTTTGCCAGTAGGCCTCACAAGTAATCTTACGATAAACATGATAATCGATATACTGTTTTTAGAAGTAGTAAATACAGGATATATAAAACAAAGACGCGAGCATACAGGAGTAGTAAATGCACAATATATACGAAAATCGATATATGGTAGAAAGCAGTAAACTTACGATGAACATGATATCGATATACTGTATTGAGAAGTAGTAAATGCGGGATATATATAATTTAAAAAAACCCACTAACATATCGAAGTATTGTAAATACACAATATTTCAAAAACGCTAAAATAGATAAACATGATAATCGATATACTGTATTTAAATGTAGTAAATGCAGGATATCAATAAGCAAAGTCGTCAGCATACAGGAGTAGTTGATGCGCAATACTTTATACGAAAATGTATATAAGCAGTAAACTAGCGATAAACATGATAATCATAATAATGTATTAAGAGGTAAATGTGGGATTTAAAAACAAAGAATCTAGCAAACATCTGGAGTATAGTAAATGCACAAAATACATAAAGTACCTATGATTAACATGATAATCGATATACTGTATTTAGAAGTAGCAAATACATGATATTATTCCGGATAAAATGAACTTTTCAATTGTTTTGCTTGTACTTCTATTTAACTGGTACATGTCCTATTTTACAAAGATTGAAATAACTGCCAATTCGCTTTGGTTCATACAAATCGCAAGTATTAATTTCACCTGTGGTAGAAAGGTATACTAAAATGATTGTGTCACGTATACAGGGTGAGCCAAAAAAATGCAACTCTAAAACATTTGCCTTTTTCAAAAAAAAGGGACAAGTGGATGTTTATGTTTTGGGTTTCATAGTAAAGCTAAAAGATTTTTCTTTCTCATACTAAAACAATCACTAAAATAATACTTTGGATTGCTGAGAAAAAGCCAATTATGTAAAAGGAGTAATTTTTCATCCTATACACAAGTATTTAAAACAGTGAAACATTTTACAGTTAGCCTATCGTGCAATCATCCTTCATTTGTGCCATTTATTTTGTATTTTGACATACTTATGATGCTCAATGGGTTTAGAATAGGACTTGAAAGTATGAAATACCTGTTCAGGTAAAAAATACAAGGTATTTCCATCAAATTCATTTGTACTCTTATCATTATTATGTGGTTTGTTGTTGGTAAGGATTGGGACAGAAATAGGTCTAGTGACAATCCCTTACTTGTGGTATTTTTTGTATGCAGGATGAAAAAAAATACCACGTTTACATAATTGGCATTTTCTCACAACCTACAAGTGCTATTTTAATTATTTTTGTCAGTATCTAAAAGAAAAAGCTCTCAGCTTTAATCTGATATACAATACATAAAAATCGACCGATCTCTTTTTGTTTAAAGGCAAACGTTTAGGGCTGCATTTTTAGGTCACCCTGTACAGTTTCATTTGACGACCACAATAAGAAGCCATAATTGAGATGGAGCCACGTTTGGTACGCGTGGTACGCGAGTGCATTCACGGTGCTGCTCTAACGATAACTTTTGAAATTGCCCCCGGGCCTCAATTTATCACAAAAAAAAGAATGACATGCGCGTGAGAATAATGTCTCTTCAGTCATGGTACCCCTAGATTAATCTATACACGGGACCTAGTATACAAATAAAACAACATGCTTAGGTTAATATTTAAATTTTATAATTAAGGCGTATGGGTTAACCCTAAAGGGGCCGGGTTATTTTGACCATCTCTCAGCCGGGGGGGGGGGGTGGATTCCGCCCCCCCCCCTAAGATCTCGGCCATCGAGTAACGAAAAATGTTGAAACTCGGCACATGCATAGAGCAACTCTTCCTAAACATACCCAAGAAATTTCATGACTATAGGTCAAAGGGTTTTGGAATTATGGCTAATTAATTATTCATATGTACGAATGGCAATTCTGCTCTGTGTACACGACGTATATGCGAAAATTCAGTTTTCACGGCGCGAAGCGCCGGAAACTTTTTCGCTACGCGGCAACCCGTGGTCCGATTTTTATGTTTTTGGTATCAAAAGATGCGCAAAGCTCGAGGCTAAAAAGTCATAACAGCTCGGATCGCGAAAACATTTTTTTTAGAAGCTATCACGGAAAATGTTGAAGGGGGGGCGGATTCCGCCCCCCCCGGCCCCTTTAGGGTTAATACGCATTTAAAAAAAATACGGCATGGAATATTTACTACGTGCAGAAATAAAACATTAATTTTAAAGTAATGTCAGTCGAAACGTGTCGAACGTGCATTCAAGGTGTAAATCACATAATCATATCACATCACTGCAAATCTGATTGCATCAATTAAGATCCGAGGTGGGTTCTGGATACTAGTCCAAGGTAGTGCTGCTCTGGCCGAGAAGAATCTAAAATAAGAAGACAATGCCAGTAACATAAGTATAAACGCTCCTGCACATGAACACCAATTATGCCGTGGCCAGCCCCTCCCAGTCCGGTCCCACCACGTTCACGACAGCACAGCCACGCCTAGCCTTGCTTAGCCGAGTTCTCCTTAATCGCTTAACCAAACCCAATTTACCCATAATAACAAACACCAGAGCACAGGCCAGGCAATCGAAGAAGCCTGCCCTGCGAAGCTCGGTAAAGCCCGACAATGCCTAGCCTATCCCAGCCTAACCAAGGTCTTCCAAGCCTATTTTACCTTGACATTTCCGCCAAAAACACCTCAGTCTAACCTGTTTCAGCCCAGTCTAGCTCAGAATAGCCCCAGCCCAACCCAGTTCAGCCAGACCCAACCTAGCCTAGTCCCGTACACGTCAGTCCAGTCCATTTTAGCTCAGCCTAGCCTGGCCTTAGCCAGCCCGCCTCAGCCTAGCCTATACCTAGACCATGCCAGCCAAGCCCAAGCTAGCTCACTCCTGCAATAACCAGCCCTACCAGTCGGGCCCAACCCAGCCCAGGCAAGTAAAGCCAAGCCTAGCCAAGCCGAGCCCTAACCAGCTCAACGTGGTCCAGCCCAGCCTACCTTGTTCTTCAATCGGATATTTTCCTGACGCAGCCGTTGAAGCTCCCTCTGCATATCCACCTCGTTCTGCGTATCAACAACGCTTGTGCTTCCTTCACTCTGTGCTACACGAGACACCATAGTGCTTTGAGTTGGGTTGACGTCATTTCTCTTTCGTATCTTTCGTAGACATGGAGAGAAATAGGGAGTTTGAGGTAAAAAGTAATCACAGCAACGATATCCGTCACTCTGCAGTTAAGTAATGACGTACGTGTCCAAAGGCTTAGAGGCGAAACGGGGAGAATGTGATTGAAACCGATTGAAACACTTAAATATCATTGCCTTTTCTTTTAGATTGAGTTATGGGGCGTATGTTACGAAACTAGCACACCCAAAAATAAAGTTTCGAAGTATTTTTTATAAAATCGTTGTTGGTATTTCTTTGCGCGAACAATGCATCTCTTAGCACGCCAAAACAAAAATTCAACTGAAGAAAGAAATGCATGAAGTTGCATTCACGGATGATCGTGAAAAGAGTGTTATTTCTGGAAAGAATTTGTATAAAAATACCTTAGGAATAAACACTACACAGAGTGTCAGCGTAGCGGCCAGCCATATCAGGGCAGCTTGCAGTACGTAGAGGGCGTTTTGCTCCTCCAGAATGAACGACACCGGGGCGCCAATGAGGGACAAGATCAAGATGTTGTAGACACATATGCCTACGGAGTGAAAGCATCCCGACATTCTGACTTTGAAATATCAAACTAAATTCTGATATCGAAAACGATTGATACTGAAAAGAGTGATCGTTTAAAATTACTCTGTGGGACCGAAATCAATTGGCCAGCTAGAAAGTTCATAAGACATGCGTAAATACGCTTTTGATCAATGACATTTCCAACTGACATAGAGGCTAACACGCATATCATAATGACGTTAAAATAAGGTATTTCACATTTTTGAAAACATTATTTAATAATTTTACCAATATACTTGGAGTCATTTAGTGCCGGGATGGAGACTTTCCTGGTCTCCCAGGCCAGAAAAGCTCCAAATATCAGCAGGAGACCATCAATGACGTAGAAGGCACCAATCCAGTAAGTCTGGTTGCTAGACTCGCACATCATACGGATCGGTATGTAAACGATGTCATCCTCATCGGGGTCAACCTACGAATATGACTGCCATTATTTAATAAAGGCACTTCTGAATACAGAATGGCAACTTAATGGGCGACACATTTGGAGCTACTTGCAAGAGCCTTACTGAACAAATGTGGAAACATTCCGGCCCTCTGCGTCCCTAAATGTGAGGGGGATTGGGGGAGGGGGACATATAGTATTGGAAAACATCGGGTGGACCCCTTATTGCTACTGGAATAAATGAGGAATCTGAATTCCAGAAGATGGCTACCGTACCACTTTTGTTCCTTGCATTTTGGTTGCTTTCACTGGATCCGTAGCAGTCCATATAGAAAGAATGATGACATCAACAACCACCAGAGCTGCTATGAAGCTGCACAGTCTGCTGTCCTGTAAATCCTGCACGGTATCAAAACATTAAAGGTTGATTTGACGAGAGTTCAGTCATTCACAAAATATTCACAGTGAGAGTTTGGTGATAAAAATCCATGCATAAGCAGTCAACTTTTCATTTTCGTAAAATCTTTTCAACCAGATCAGAGTAGCAGGATCAGTTACAAAAATGGTGTCGTTTGAGCCCGGATTATGTGAATGGAAAAAAAACATTATTTAATGTTTTGAAGTTGCGCATTTGGGGTAAATCAAATACCAGTTCGTCGCTTGACTAAAATCTACTTTGTGTAGAAACAGTGTTCATATCAATGTATCAAAATTATTATTCCATCATTATTAGTAATACAAAGCTAAAAAAGCCAAGCAACATGTAATATTCACGTAAATGAACAGGTACATTGCTCAGAATATAGATATTTTCATCACTTCTAATTCAGGTCTCAAAAATAATTTTAGAAATCGCCCTACCAGTTTCATGGCCGTCTTGTTGGTGAAAATCTTATGCACCCGCCATGTCTTGCTAAACATGGCGCCAAAGGCCGTAGAGAATCCAATTGTCAGAAGCCACGTTTTGACCTATATATACATCAGTGACAATACAACATTTTGCATAACAATATTGTGTAGTTGATTGTTTCGTGAACTTACAAAAACACATCTTTTGCAAAAGGTGTCAGTTTTTTAAACAGAAGACATTCATGAGAACTTTATTCGGGCCAATTACATTTATCAATAACTTACCTTACACATGAACACAAAGGTGTCAGTGGATGCGATGTTGACATCCACACCCAGGAATATGATGGAAACGTAGGCTAGCATTCCACCAATCAGCATCAAGTTGTTGATATTGGGACTCGACATTTTGATCACACTGTAAATTTAGCAGACACCACAAACCGTTTTGACATTCAGTTCTCGTTGTATCGGAAAAAGAAGTTTAACAGAGGAATTTTAACATAGAAATGCCTTAGCCCGTACTACAGGGCGAGTAAAAAAAACGAAATCCAAATGGCAGGACCAATTTGTGAATGAAGTTTTGCCTGTAGCACTTTCAAAATCTTAGATATGAAAGCCCAGTCATTAAGCTTTTTTTAGTACAAGAATCATTTGAATCACTTATGTACTTTTCAAGTTACGGAATTTTGAACACAAACACCGTTTTGAAGTTCTGTCTCACCATGTAGGCCTAATCGGGTAACTTGGTAACCTTATCTAAAAGATTTTTGTTACATCAGATTTTTGTATTAAGAGGATCGTCGGTCGGTCCCATTACTGTGCACATAAATTCCCTGACGACTGTATTCAGAGCGCTGCACATAGCAAGCGATCAAGGACACTATTGAGCATTTGGTGGCGCTCTTCGCTGCCTACAAACAAGGTTTTGTCAACAGGAAGACGATTTTGCCAACAAAAAATCTAAGGCCAAAAAAAACTACTCGGTCTCTGGTCAGCGCGCGCGTCGATTTTAATCATGCGCGTCAACCTTTTTTTTTTCTTCAAATTAACACAGAAGCTACAACAGCGCCCGCTTTTGCCACCTCCTCAAATTTTTGTACACCAATGTATAATGAGGACATAAAAAAGCAAAATAGTACCCACCTTGTCTGTACAATTCAAGCTTTAAAAAAGCCAACCCATCCCCCAAAAAAATAATAACCTGCGTCGCCGCATCAGTTCCGGAACTTCGGTCTGACCAGAGACCGAGTATTTTTTTTGGCCTAATAGGGGTTAATTTACACCCACTCCCACACATGACCTCGCGACGTCCGTGGAAACACTCATAATTTCTAGCACATATTGCATCAAACAATCTACCTACGCACGTTCATAACCTAGTAGGATATTTTTTCTGTTAGTTAATTTTGTAACATTTTTATGCATGGAGCAAGGTTAATAATCTAGCCTAACCGAGCCGATACGAGTCGAACCGAACTGAACCGAAATGAGCCGAGCTTATAGTAAAATCAATACAAAAAAATCACCAGGTCAACGAACTCACCGTGTTGTTCTGAAACGGATGTTGAAAGCCAAGAAGCAACACGCTAGCACGATGCCTAACAATGCGAACACAACGCCCGTTACAAATATAGGATATTTGATGGTCTGTTTGTCTTCCCTCACCCGAATGAAATCGATAGGGGGCACACCATCTTGGTAATGAAATAAAAAGACGACAAATAATTTGAAAGAGGTATTCATTACCTAGACTCGTTGTAACTCTAGTACACTAAGTTCTTATCTTAAGTTATTAAATAATAAAGACCTGTAGAGTGAAAAAAATACTTTAGAGCATAATTCAGAATGAGAGTGTGGTGGTATTAACGTACAGGTTTCAAAGTAAAAGAATTTGTGTTTTTCTTCACCTGGCCAGTGTATTGGCTGGTACCCATCTAGCTGTAGGTCGTTGCCTGTACCAGTGGTTGTGTCCACGATGCCAACAAGAACAGATTGATGGTCTGTTGATTAAATAACGAAACAGAGAACTTGAACTCTTGACGTGGCACTAACGATGCGATGCTAGTATCTTGAGGCCATCTACACATGATATATAACGTTGAGAGGTATAGGATCAGTGCGAAAATAGACCCCAAAAAACCGTGTGCACATTTTTGGTCTCAAAAGCGGATTCCGTTACTTGCGCTTCGGATTCAAAATATGTTGTATATGTATTTTTAATTCGACGCTCTTGTGCACAATTCCTAAATCAGCACCCAAAGCATGATACTCATTAAGGAGCTTTAGGTTTGTATATGTGAAATTGATGTTCATCCTTGGAGTACTTTTAATTGTTTATTGATTGTAATTTTCTTTGAGCAAAGGGTTTTTTCTTCTCAATGATACAATATGTTCATACGCATCTTTAAAAAGAGACGCCAATAAAGACATCAAAATATTGTCAGTATAATACCGAAGTGTAAGAGTGACGTGTTTTACCACGAAATATTGAAAAAATGAAAATGGAATCAATATCATGTTAGGGTGGCTGCTTGTTACTCTCGTTCTCTCAGACATGCAGACCCGGATTACCCAATTGGCACAGTGCCTACTGTGCCTACGAAAAATTCGGGGCCTACGAAATTCTTTCGGGGGCCCACGAAAATACAGCGCAGCGTGCCACACACCACATAATGGTGGGGTACTTCCTTTGTTCTCGTGTACTAAAATTTTGCAACGTCGCACACTTTATGTCAAAATGCTCTTATTTTAACCATAGTTAATTTCCTTGGCTGAAATTCGGACCTAATATCCCTTTTCTAAAACTCTTCCATTTGCGACAAATCAACCCACCTTGAATATTCCTAGTTTTTGAGTAGAATCCATATATCTATTTCGTGAAAAACTTGTGGGGTACCAAAACGGTACCCCGCAAGTCGGTGGGCATTCCTTGTGGGGTACCTCCCATTGTTCCGGTACCCCATAAGGCAGTGTTTGTACACGCACACACACCCACACACCTTTGAAAAGCGATTGCCGCCCTTGAAGCCAACCGGCTTCTAGAGCTAGGACCTATACCAGCATGCCCTGGCTTGATTTGTACAGTGCTTTGTAAAGGTGCCGGTGCCTAGGGCGGTGTAGGGCCTACGGAACATTTCATCCGGGCCTGTGGACATACCTCTGATTTGATGCAGATCAAGTAAGCAAATGCGGTCGCCTTTGTCATCGAACTTGACCGGACCCTAAATCAAAAAACAAAACAACATTATGCAAGTAGATAAACAAGGTCTAATTGTTGATGAATCCCCCTCCCCCAAGTGTTTACTTAGCAAAGCATTTTAATAAAAAAACTTGTATTTGTTATCAATTAATCATATAAGCCTACCTACTATCTGTGCCCCTCCCACCCTTGAAACCTCCTAACTTTCTAGCATGATTTACAAGAAACCATACCCATCCTGGCAAATTCCAACACCATATGGGAAACTGCTCACACATATTTCTGACTTTGTTTCTGAAGGTGTGCCAACCCGGAATGGCTGTCAGTTTAGCCGTACATGTACTGTACCCATCCTGACAGATTCCAACAAATCTGATGGTTTGAATTCTGTTGGGGTTAATAGCTCCGGAACGCTAAAGCCAATCAGATCATTATGGTGCCGATATAATTACAGTTTGGTATTACGTATAAAAACATGGAAGATTGTTGTATTTGCCCGAACAAGTATCCACTTAAGACAACAACTTATGGCCACGTGACAAACTATAATGCATCCTGAGAATGCATCCTGAAAATCTTTATTTTCTCTGCACAATTTTCTTAGTTTCAGTGTTACTTCTGGACACTGGTAAAACAAAATAAAGCAGGCACACTTCGTGCTCAGCTTTCATGAGGCCAGGATGTACATGCCATATGTCATATTGCTCCAACCTCCAAAAGCAGAAACGAAAACAAAACAACTTTCAACTTGTTCGTTCATCATTTTACATACCGAGACGCCTTCAAACTGCATGTCACTGAGGATTCTGAAAAGGATGTCCACTGTCACATTATCCGTGTAAGTAAAATCAGAAAGGGACCTTGGAGTATCTGATCAAGACAAATCAGACATGTTATGTGTAATTTTGGTATAATCATAATGATATCAATGATGCATGGATGGCCGGAAAACAAAAGAACCCAAGTTCGAATACAAAAATCGAATGCGAGTTGTACAGTGTTGGTAGTGTGAGATGTTTCATTTTCATGTTTGGACAAACAAGGCTAATGTTTCAGGACAAGTGACGCACTTCTTTTTTCCTTTTTTTTTTTTTTAACAATCTACAATCCTGGCAAAATCTTGCTGGGCCTCCAAAACCCCAGCCCTCGTTCAAAGTTGTCTCTCATTGCGCAATGTGTGCTCCATCAGCTGGAGAGAACAACATTGACCGGGGGAGCGGGGAGTGGGTGACCGTGGCAGGCTCAGGAAGTGTCCCAACCATTTTGGCTGGGATTGTAGCAATGGACCGACCCTTATCAAACAGTCAAGAGAAATACGAGGCGCTGTCAAGCAACCAGGCGCATACTGAAAGTCAAGTAAACGTTAATAAGTGATTTGCTTATGCTGCCCTCATGCGTTGACATAAATCGAAATAGTCAATATATGTAACCACAAATTAGGGAGTACACTCAGTAGAAATATCAAGATTGGCAAAAACTTAAAAATTGTCTTAACGTTCTAAAAATACAAGATGGTAACTTATGAAGTACAGCAATATCTAAGGTTACGTAATATGTTTACATTTCCATATGGCGCCGTTACAGAGCGCCCACTTTTGCTGCAAAATATTTTCTATACAATATTTTGTTTAAAACACATCTGTCCACAAAAACTGTACAAAAAGATGCACTTTTAACATTTTGCTTCTGTTTATTCAGACATTACCCAAAGCTTGAAGTTGTTTTTCGGCTTCTTCGAGGGCAAAGGCGATGGCCCAAACGGAGTCGTAACCCAAGGCGCATTCCTTGTAACTCGTCAGCAACTCTGCCCCATTCCCGACGAAGTCATGGAACCTCCGTGTAAATACCTCTGTCGTCTGCAAGTTGGCAAAATGTTCAAGATTGAAATCAAAGAACGCCCTATATTGTATTTTAAAGCGCCCCGCTGCAAAGAATGCTATAAATAAACATGTGGTGGATACACTACACATGGTTAATACAACAGATAGGTTTTTTTTTCTATGCAGGTATGTCTAGTTAGAACTCCATTGATGGAATGATAATTGCATGCGTCAAAGAGCAAACACATGCAAAAACGTACGGCTTCAATCAATTAGAAATTGTTCAATGTATATGTAGGGATTTCTTACGCACAGCCTACTACCTCGTGCAGTGTATATACATATGGCGAGTGGTTCAATACAATAGTGTGTCAATGTACCTCTTTAGTTTTAAGAATCTCTTTGGTGGAGCTTTTTCTTTACTGAAACTAGTCTTGGTCCATGTTATTCCCCTTTTAGTCGAGTCATTTTCCTGGAATCCGTGACCATGTTGCGGGTACCTATTTTCTTGATGGATTTGACAAAAAGGACCAACTTAAAGAAACAAATAGCTCATATACACCTCCCAAAAGTGACGGCAAACTTTTTTATAGCATTTTTTTCCGAAATGGCAGCCGACGCCATATTGAAAAACTTAAAATGATATTGTAGCGGTCCGCCGACCCTTCGTCCCTGCCTCCAGCCGGGAGATGCCGCCGGACGGACGCTGACAGGATTAGGCTTTCCCGATGAGCGGTTACCGGGAAACCCGGGACGTTACTTCGTTTGGAGGAAGTATACCCCCAGGCATTGCAGTGGACCAGAGATACTCGCACCCAATCACTCTCACCCTATTAGGCCCAATAACTCACAGGAGACAATGATTAAGTCACAGTCCTCTTTATATAACGTAACAATGGTGTTTTATTGTGTGCGCCTTGACAGGCGACTCCTATATAGGCGTCTATCGCTAACTCTAACGTGGACACAATGACAGACAGCCCGTCCGGTTGGTCCCTCTTCTAGATTAACTCGCTAGCGGATAACCAATCGCAGCGCTGTCAGACCTGCATGAAACTGGCTGACGACTCACCCAAGAAATAACTCGTGTCATGCGCTTCTGCTTGTGACTCAGCTTGTGACTGCCAGAGTGAGTGAGTGAGTGAGTGAGTGAGTGTCGCGCGCGCGGCTGACGCACGCTTTTATACCCGCGGGCAGTGCGTGCATAGACAATAGCAGCGCGGAGACCACCGACGCGGGCACCAGTACCCTAGACTGGCACTATGTCCAATGTTTCGTTACAATATTTCGGGAAACAGATTAGCCATATCGATAAATGAGGTGTCGATTTTCACTATTTCTGGCATTACGAATCTGCTAAAACGGTTATTATTACGTTTCGGGCCATAATGACCTCAAAATTCAAAACGGCGGCTGATAGCCATCTTGAAAAACGGCATCTATTACATCTCTGGAACCATAGGAGCAAGAAAGACATATAAAATGTTATTTTCAATTCATTCTGACATTATAATCCATTGAATTGGTTCTTTTGACGTTCAGGGACTACCATGACCTGCTATTTGGAGATGACTGCTGTTCGCCATCTTTCAAAACGTCAATCTGCAATATTATCTCTTGCGCCAGAGGCTCTTGGTATGAGGAGCTATCCCCTTTAAATCTGCCACTATCTAACTTATTTGAGTGGTTATTTTGAGTTTAATCTTGATACCTATTTCTTTCCTTTATAACTTTTAACAATTTGTTTTAAAATCTTTTGTTTTACTGGCTCAAGTAAATTTGTTCTCCATTGCATGGTTTGTTATATATACACATGTTCTGCCTTACATATAGTTATAATTTGAATATTTTGGCTGTTTATTTCGCGTGCGATTGTAATGAATCTGTTGCTTATTATTCATTTGGTTAACAATTCGTCAATGTTCACTTCCTTGTGTTAGATTTTGTTTGATTATTTAATCAGCTGATTCATCTGTTCATTTATATTTTTGTTTCGATTACGTTTTTACTTCAATATTGATGCTTAGCTTTGATTTATGACTAGTTGCATGATTATTCATTTATGGCATTTTTACTTTCTCTAACCCTCACATCTAAATTCATCCCATGTGCACTGTGTTTGTGTTTGTCCGATTGTTAGTCTGTTTCTGAAACTGTTGAGTTGACATTTCGGTTTTGTTTTGTCCATATAAGCCCCCGGCTTCGAAAGATGCCTGTATAATTGCCTATTTTTTATTACATCGCTACATGTTCCATCTTGTTCATAATATTATATATTAAATGGCATTGTTTTTTATTATAAAAGTTGTGGCATTATGGAAATATATGTTGATTTTATTAAAATTATATAACATTTTGAAGTCTTTGTAATGTAGGCCTATGTCATTCATAAACATATAATGTCAAATCTAGATAAGAATTATAAAATAATAGTCACAGACTCTGTGAAAACGAAGTGCATTTTGAGTTGTGAAACGACTAAAGGATAATATTTTACAAATTATTCAGTATTTCTGTGTTACTAGTTCAGGTGAATAGAACATCTGAGAACTTGTTGGCAATGAAGAGTAGATGAGAGAGCGGAGAGTTACATCACAACCAAGGAACTGAATATGAATGCATACTCTGTGGGGAGTCTTGTACTGAAGATGACAGTTTGGATAATATCTCAACTGAGAAGTGGCAGAATATCAATAGTAAGTCTGCACAATGGAAAGATCTTGATAAATACAACATGCCCAACAATAATTTCATTTTACGAAATTTATTTGTAAGCAATTGACTTCTTGCAATTCGGGTGATTTTTCTCAGTCATTTTTAAGTGATGTCAAGTAGACATGCGAACTCCCGGTTGACCTTTCACTACCTGTTTGCTCGCAATGACATATTTAAATATTCTATTTCCTGTCAGTTTGTTAGGAAATGGAGTACTTATCCCGATAACTTGGTTGATATGTTAGCCTGTGCCCCCTGATGTCTGGGGGTTTTTTGCGGGAACTAAAACGGTATCTTAGTATGTAATTTTGTAATCTGTAATCTGTATGTTCATCCTTGGTTTTTTACTTAGACATAACTTTAAACAACCTTTTTAGATTCTACTGCTGTTTTTAGTACAGTTTTAATGCTTGTCTTGGTTGCTTATTATTGTTTTTGTTTTGCTGTATTGGATAAATTCCTCCACAATTCTCCTTTCTCCAGCCCTCTCCTCCACAGTTGGTTTTGTTGCTTCTCTTCCCATTTCCTGTCTTACCCCTCCCCTTCCATTGGCCTTGTTTAACCCTCCCCTTCCTGTCTTGTTTGTTTGTTGGGGTGTTGGGTTTTTTGTTTGTTTGTTTGTCTGTCTGTTTGTTTGGTTTTTTTAACACCCCCCTCGCATTTCCCTGTCTTCCTCCCTCTGTTGTACTGAGCGGTTCTCCTATCCTCTTCCTTTTCTTGCCTCCTCTGCCCTGCCCTTTTTTTTTCTTTTTTTTTCTAAATCCCATTATACTCCCAGGGACCTTTTCTCCCTTGTGCAATGTCATTGTTTTTAATTATTTTGTGCTTAGTCTGTGTTATGTGTCTGTCATTGTGCAGGGTTGGAGAGATGCGCCATATTGGCGAGAGTGTTTTGTTTCACTTTTGTTTATCTCCATGGCAGCCCGGCACTGTCCACGTTCTGTATTTCGTGTGTAGTGTTTACTTGGATTCTTTTTGTCTGTATGATTTTGTATTATCTATATCCATTTTTATGTATTTAATGCAACTGAATGTATATATGTGAATTTGCCGAATATTATTATTATTATTATTATAATTATTATCATATTTAATCAACGTTTATTTCCATAAGTTTTATAATGTAATGAAACAATGCTATTTTAATAATTATATTATATTAGCTTATATGGAGATGCCTTGACAAAACAAAACTGAAATGTCAACTCAACAGTTTCAGAAACAGACTAACAAACGGGCAAACACAAATACAGTACACATGGGATGAATTTAGATGTGAGGGTTGGAGAAAATAAAAATGCCATAAATGAATAATGATGCAACTAGTCATAAATCAAAGCTAACCATCAATATTGAAGTAAAAACGTAATCGAAACAAACATATAAATGAACAGATGAATCAGCTGATTGAATAATAAAACAAAATCAAACACAAGGAAGTGAACATTGACGAATTGTTAACCAGATGAATAATAAGCAACAGATTCATTACAATCGCACGCGAAATAAACAACCAAAATAATCAAATGGTAACTATATGTAAGGCAAAACATCTTATATGTCTATTTTGCTCCTATGGTTCCAGAAATATAATAGATGCCGTTTTTCAAGATAGCTACCAGCCGCCGTTTCGAATTTTGAGGTCATTATGGTCCGAAACGTAATGATAACCATTTTAGCAGATTTGTCATGCCAGAAATAGTGGGAATCGACACCTCATTTATCGATATGGCTCATCTGGTTCCCAAAATATCACTTCTATGTATTTCAATTTGGCGTCGGCTGCCAGTTTGAAAAAAAAGTGCTGCAAAAAAGTTTGCCGTCACTTTTGGGAGGTGTATAGGAGCTATTGTTCTTTAGATTGGTCCTACTTGTCAAATTCATCAAGAAAAAAGGTATCCGCAACATGGTCACGGATTCCAGGAAAATGACAATACTTTTTTTAAACCGGTCCCTGACGAGTACCGTCATATCGAGTACGAGTACTTTGACATTCGAGTACGAGTACCGAGTACGAGTACTATACAACACTGGCTTTTGCACGCAAACGATGAAATGTTATCTCGAATACTGATCTGGCTTATTGTGCCCCAAAACCGATTTTCCACTGTTAATCCTAAATTGAGTCCTACAATGCATGACCAACGCCTAAACATAACGGTCCGAGAGTACCGGTACTGACATCCAGGGACATACCACTCCCATTTTCGATGGCTTATTCCTTCCCGTTGGTAGTGCGATGATGTTCACTTGGAAGGTATGGGCTACCACCTCGTCCATCTGGTCCACTGTACAGTCTATGGAATCGTCTGGTTTCCGCCACCACAACGCCTCGAACCAACCTTCAAAAGAGTGTTACTCTTAGGGGCGTAAATCCCGGGGGTGGGGGACCCCAAACGTTTTGACTAGGGGAGGGGTATTGGATCATCTCCCCCATTTTTCAGTGGTGAGAAACAATTAATGCCAATTTCTAGGTATTTTCCTAGAATGCATTCAAATAGCGCTGAAAAACAGAGAAAAGTACAAAAGCTGAAATGCGCCGTTTTTATGTAAGCCTTGGTCAAGGCGATGATGGTTGGTCGGCCGCCAACAAAACAGTAGCGGCGCGCTAATAATAATTATACAATCATACGTACAAACAGCGTACTCTGTCACGAGGCTACGCTACAATATGCTTATCTGGTGGTGCTGAACGAACGCCTTGGAACATCCGTGGGCCAAGGCCTATCTTTTCGGGCAGTTTTCGTTATTTTGTCCCAAGATTTATATCGAGTTATATTTGGTCTGCGGACGCTAAACTTGTAAAATAAGAGCCCCCGTGATCAAGTACTGAATAATAATGTAAGCTGTATTCGCATTCGGGATCTTTGCTTGGAATCTAGCAACAAAATACAGAAAAACGTAAGCCAAGGCCCACGGATGTGCCAAGTCGTTCGTTCAGCAGCCACAGCTGCAGATTTGCATATTGAAGCCTAGCCGCGTGAAGTTGCTATTCGTGCTAGCTGCAGTAAGTGATGAGTGCATGGCTACTGGTGTTCGCGACCAGCCTTAACGGCTTGACCACGGCTATTTGGATGCAGTCTTAACCCTAAAAGTGCCGGGGCGTAATCCGCCTCCCCCCTCAACTTTTTCCGCGATAGCCTTGAAAAAATTGTTTTCGCGACCCGAGCTGTTCTGAAGTTTTAGCCTCGAGTCTTTCGCATTTTTTGATACCAAAAACATAAAATTTTGATGAATAAAGCCAAGTCCGCTCAGTACATTTTGTACTAGAGCTCAGAACAATCGTTTTTCCTTGTGTCTAGGATCCGTGGTTCCAGCCAAACCTTTATTGACTTTAGCAACTGATTGAAAAGTATTAATCTCAAACTAAGACCTCATTCGAAACAGACGTTTTTGTCTGTGGCTACGGTCATGACGGCCGTTGCAACGGACGTCACGTGACGATCACGCCTGAGATTGAGCGTTCGATTAGCCCGGCTGTGGTGCCTAACCTGTCTGCCGGTACCTGAGTCGACCCTGGTGAGCTACACAAGTGCACCCTTCACTAACCAGAAATTTCTCCCTATAGTCAATGATATCTACATGGCACCAAGCAACATTTATAGAGGTACTGATGTATGCATTCGAAGGCCTTGATCTTCACTAATGTAAGTAACATTCGCTAACAGGCGAAGTGAACGTCCCCAATCAACAACGAGGGGAAGAATTGAACGTACCCGGTACGAACCAAACATATTTGGCACCATACAGTTGGTGATGGTAGGCAGCGCAGAAAACTCTCCTCGCCATATTCGGATAGAAATTTCCCATAATAATACGGGCTCCAGTATTCTGCAAATATGAAAACATAAACGTGTTAACATAGCAAGCCAAATACTGGGTGAGTTAAAACAAAAATGGCCCTTTTAATAAGTCCATGTCTCCCATAAAAACGGGAAAGTTTACCAATTTTTTTTGTCTTCAGCCGACATTCAGTCTGTGTATTGACCACATTCAGTACAAATTTTACTATGCATATATGCATGCAGAGGATACATTATCAGTGAAACTTTTACCCACTATGTGGTCAATTACCCAGACTGAATGTAGGCTGAAGGGAAAACACTTGGGAGAAAGTTAGCAACTTATCCAAAGGGAGATATTTTTTACTCACCCTGTACCTAAAAAGGTACCTACGTCGGCAAATGAAGGAAAATTTCACAAAGGTAAGGGTAGATCCGGGGGGGGGGCAACGGGGGCCATCCCCCCCCCCATTTTTTGTACCACAGAGCATTTAGAATCCAACTTTTTTCGAACCCCACGCCGTCACTTTTTTGACCCACTTTTTGGGGGACCACAATGTTGTTGTGCCCCCCATTTCTTTTCTGGATCCACCCTTGCCTATGGGGCTAACATACCTTGATGTTTTCAACTTGTATAATAGGATTATCGACAAAGCTTTCTGCAGCGAGGATTTCAATTCCCATGGCCTTGGCGTCTTCTTGAAAGTCAGACATTGCCTTGAAGTTGAAAGAAATGGCACATATTGAGACAGCTTGAGCACCTGCGATGACTCGCTCATTTGTTGTTTAAGATAATGGACTCGGGGAACTTGATATCATCTTGTGAGTGAGTCTGTCCGAATTACTTGGCTTCGTACGGCGATAACACACACAAAGTCATGATACACATTAGCCAATAAAAACGGCAGAATTATGATAGGACGGAGCTAAGTAAACTTGAAAGCGGCCTAAAATGCACGTGGTTTCCCAAAGTAAATGTTTTCAATCCACGGTAGCCTGTTCAGACGTGGGTATATTTATAGGGAACTAAATATTGGATACGTCTCCACAGAGCAATTTATATATGAATACGTCTCTACAAGGTTTTTACGAAATAGATATATGGATTTTACTCAAAAACTAGGAATTTTCAAGGTGTGTTGATTTGTTACAAATTTAAGTATTTTATGTAAGGGACATTAGGCCAAAAAGAAAAAGTCTCCGGTTTCTGGTATGCGCGCGCGTCGCCGTAGCCATGCGCGTCGGCAAAATGAAAAAGTTTTTTTTTTAATGAAAGATGATGTCCCATAACCGCCAAACTCACTGGTTTGACTGGAATACTGCTGCTGCACAATTTTAACGTGTTTTTAGATTGGGTTATGGTCGAGAATAAGCTTTATGTGGCCTCTCTGGACTCCCATATATTTGCACTAAGTTTAGTCGGACACCATTTGCAGTCATCAGCACACATTTGAAGCAAAAAAGTCAGGTAAAAAAAAAAAAAAAAGCCGCGTCGCCGCATCACTTTTTGGGCAAGCTCCATACCAGAAACCGGAGACTTTTTTGGGGGGCCTTAAGTCCGAATTTTAGCCCAGGAAATTAGTTCTTGTTAAAATAGGAGCATTTTGAAATTAGATTTTCACTTTCTAAGCTTTCACTTTCACTTTAGTACACGAGATTGACGAGAACAAAGAAATGACTCCACAATGTCAGTATGGGTGTTCTCGTGTACTAAAGAATTCGAGTTTGAAAGTATACTTTCAAAATGCTCCTACATGTATTTTAATAAAAATTATTATCCCTGGGCTGAAATTCGGATTTAATATCCCATACATGAAATACTTCAATTTGCGACGGATCAACACACCTTGGAAATTCCTAGTTTGTGAGTAAAATCCATATATCTATTTCGTGATAACCTTGTGGAGACGAATTTAACTGTACAAATTGCTCTACGGAGACGTATACAATGTTTTGTTCCCTATTGTTCACATGTCTCCACAAGGTACCGGGTACCAAATCAAAGAAATGACTCCACACATGTTCTTGATATTTCAAGCTGCAGCGTCCTTACTAGCGAGAACAGGTCGACCGATTGGTGCAGAGTGGCTACTTTGGTCCACTTGAACTCCTTTATTACAGCCAACCACACCAGATTGAAGACAGATTCCGGCGGAAACATCCGGAAGAAACGGGGATATCTGTCGCGGTTAGAAAGCTCGGGAGACGAGGCACTATACGACAACTAAAAGACAAATGTAAATTTGGTTTAGAAACTAACATATATTTAGAAAATTAATAAAACTGCACGCTACAAACTAGTTTACTGACTGGATGGACCTAACATACACACAAAAATATATTTAATTGAAAATTTTAATACAAATGCCCAAATGGAATGCCTTTTTTGACAGTGAATTACAAGAATCAGATAATTATATTTATGTCTTTACTTGTCATTTATTTACCAAATATGTAATTTTGAATTACAGCATGACTTGTGGGGTTCTGGAGTCCTTTCATACTTCTAAAATATAACTTTTACTATAAAAATATAAATTAAAGTTATCACATCTTTTGTTCTTTCTTTTTTAATACAAAGAATAAACACATAATTTAATCTGATTTATTAGATTATTGACCTTTGTTGCTTGGTCAAGTGACTTTTATTTACTATTAACTCGATAGTTAGAAAATATCAGATGACAATTTTATTTGGTTAAAGACCTGCTTTGTCAACTACCCGAACGGTTGAATTCAAGTAATTACTGTCTTTAGCTTTATTTATAATATTTTAGTTAACCTTTATATGTCATTCACTTTGATCTTCTTTATATCACATACTCATTGCAACTTAATTCATTAACTTTAATCGTCCTTATCTTTCATCTCTGTACTTTGCTACTTGATTTACACCTTAAGAACTCCTACCCCCGGGTGATGCTGATTATAATAGCATTTGTGAGTGGACGCTGGGGCGGCGGCCGGTGGCGGTGAAAATTTTATTCTGCCAAGTAGAAAATGGCTGCTGTCTTGTTGCTGGCACAATGTATCATGAAGCTAAGCATGTCTCCCTGTACGTCTTGGTTGTACAGGCTTCAGTGCTTTTTTCCATTGTACTTATGATTTGCATTTTCATGGTTATGTAATCACGTACTAAATCAGTGCGTTCGATTACTTCCCCCGCGTTTACTCGTGCAAGCGCGACAGCGTTCGATTTACCTCTCACGTGACTTCTCGCGCTTACTCAAGCCTGGCCCAAGCAACCTCGTCCCCAGGGTGTCGAGCAGTACGCGCCCACCACTACCTGCTCTCTCACCCTGGTATTGGATCATTTGCATGTGCAAGATTTTTGAACACGTATGCAAATTAGGAGTAGTCTGGTGCCTACCTGTGCGTTACATTAGCGTTTGTTTTTGTATGCGGTGTCTGGGGTAAAAACAGAATCAATTCGTCGCAGCGCAAGCATGGCGTGAGTTACGAAAACATGATTTTATTTTAATTAAACTGTTACGATCTTAACGAGACAACATGCAGTATCACATTTCATATTAATATTAACAAATTGAAAAGGAATGACCGTGAAAACACGTACTGCACGTTGTGAATAACAACACCAAGTACACGACATTAATCCATTTCTAGCCAATTGCGGTATCGAATCAGGATGCAGGAAGGAAGTTTCCTATCCAGGGTTTACTATTGGAAACAACGTTGGAAATAAAGTAAGCACTGGGGACGAGGTTGTGGCCCAAGTCAATCTCGTGCCCCGTGGGTACGATCTTGCAGCGCCATGTTGTTTCCCATCATGCCTTGCGCGATTGTAACCCCTGGAATTGTGTAATTTAAATGTGCTGAAATACGGTACATTATAATTAGGGCTGCAGTTTATCCGTTTTACGCGCGGCGCCATCTTTAAAATGTTAAAAGTTGGGATTTTGAAGAATCAATCCTTTCAAACACAACGTTTGGACATTGTGTTAATTAGCAAAAGATTTGTATTAAATGTATGTACCCCTTTCGTGCCTTTACAACCACAGATACAGTTTTTTTTAAACGAAAAATGCGGCAGACATAATCCATATCGTACAGGCATCGCGACTTTTGAATTTTTTTTTTCGTACGTGACGTCACGTGCAAAGCACGCGAGCGCATTATGGGCGCGCCCGGCGTGCAATCTTGCGCGCGCAGTACGCTGTGAATAGCCATTCAGCGTCATTTACGTCATCATCACAGCCAGGGGTTAGTGTAAGGAACGAGCACGCGCCCCTGGAGTCGAGGCTGGGCCCAAGTGACCGACTCGCCGAGCCGGTTACTTGGGTAAGTATCCCATAAGGCCATGCAACATCCGGCGGGCGCCTCGTCAGCCTGTGTTCGAAAAGGGGCTTCCACGGAGCATAGCTATGCACGGAGCTACGGCAACGAGCTACGGCAACAAATTATTGTGGTACGCCTGAGAAAAATGTTGCAACCTGACGCCACTTCTGTGTACAAAGTCAATGGAGAGTCAAGAATTGTTTTTCCTAACAACATTGGAAATAATTATTTCTCAGTCCCAGATTCATGTGTTATCATCATTTTTGCAATAAATGACCTTTATTGAGATGATATTTGAAGAAAAAAAAAGTGGCGTCAGGTTGCAACATTCCCCCCCCCCCGGAAAAGAAAAAAAAAAAGGAAGAAGAAAAGAAAAAAAAGAGGCGAGATCTCATATTTAATGGGTTGGGGGAGCAAAATGTCCCTACCTTCTCTGAAACTGATAAATCAAGAATATGTTGAGAAAAGCATGATTTTTTGGGAAAACATGTTTGGCCCCCCTCTAGCAAAAATCCTGGCAACGCCCATGTTTCCAGCTCTTGCACGAAACTTTACCCGAAACCGTTCGTTTATTTTGCTCCACTGCGCATGTCTGTCTTACCCGAGGAGCCAGGCGCGAGTAAGCTGGGGGGAGTAATCGAACGCACTGTAAGTGATTCAGCTTTCTGCTTTGTTCCCTGTGATTCTTTTGTAAGTGCCATGTACAGCTTCCAACTCTGTTGAGTTGTGATACACTAAATAGAATGACCAGTCATCCATAAATTTCACTAAGTGTTACTTAATTTATTTATATATGTTTATACAAAATCGCCTCACCATACTTTGAGAGAAAAAGAAAAACGGTACCTTTTAGGTCTAAATTTATTCCATTTGGAAAGCCAAACGATTTACGCCACTTTAAAGTGTGTGGTTTTAAATGTTTTATCCTTAGATTCTTCAAACCGAAATGCCTGTTACGATTCCATTTAATCAAATGATATATTTTTCAACTAAACCTTTTAGAAAAATATATATTTATGAACATTATTTATAGGTCTTTGACAAAATTGATTATTACTTCCGACAAAAGAAAGGTTAAAAATGGACCGCCATTCCCAAAATGGATGGCTGACACGGTACCTTTTTATATGTATGTTTAAATTGTGAAGAAATCAAATTTGGAAAATTCACATCGCCGTGAGATATGCAGCTACATCTCAGGCTATATGCGACCATCCCGGGAACACGGGTGATTGTATCCTCGCGTTTTCAATCAATCACAGGGGAAGTTTCCATCAGGTCTTTTCAGTTGGATAAATCAGCCGCTTTCCACTCGAGATGATAATAGGTTTTTTTCAGGACTAGAGTGACCCTTATCAGGGTGACAATCTTCCCAGACGAGACACCACTCAGACCTAAGGGTGCAGGTCCACATTGGTAGCAATATACTGCCGATTGTAAATGATTGGTAATTACTCTCTGTAAACTGCACAAAAGAACCTTAAAAGAAGACATTTTAAAGACAGACTGTCGGTAACCTCAGGCAACACTGATAATTAATTCCTCAATATGGCGTAGTTGTTTTATTATGCCTTCGATTGGTATGACTAAAACTGCATCATTTTATTTGCTGTACGAAAAGCTACCGACGACGGAATATTCTTAATGACAAACCTGAATCAGGTTCCAGTGGTGTGAAGCCTGGGCCGTGGGTTCTGTGCCTAAAGAGCAGCCGGCGCCAATTATCATGATCTTAGTAGTTGTGGTGTTGTAAAGTTCCCGGTACATTACGTCCGTAGCCGTCCCTCCATCACACTTCAAAGAAACAAATAAAATACAAGAGAAGATATTGCAATTGATTTAAAAAAAAACAATTAACAATGGTTTGTGATAATAAAATTGTTTTATTCAAAAACCATTTTGCAGTATAAACCTTATGGTATTCTTATTTTTAGCTTCTAATTCTGATTGTTATTTATAATCTTTATTACAATGTTACTTATTAAGCCCCTTTACAAATAGATAACAAAACTTTACCACATAATATAAATAAATACAAGGCATTTATTCTGTATACCATCTTTTGTATTAATCATCAAAACCGTATTATATTTTACTTTCAAGTCAGACAATTTATTCAAACCAACTAGAATCTTTTGAATTATGTTCATGACATCCTTGTTTAATAATTAAATCGGTACACATTTTGACACGAGAAACAGAGCTTTTACCAGGGGAATGACAAAACATATCCTGTAAATGGTTTTCTTTCTGGTTTGACCGGGCCAGGGGAGCATTGTGTAACATTCTCCGAAATAAAATATAGAAACGGGCGCCCCTTTCATCGAATGAGATCCAGCACAACATCCTCCCTTTTAAATCTGCAACGGCCGGCCGCCCAGTGGTGATTCCCCCCCCCCCCCACCCCACTTTCAAAACTGTTCCACCGCCCGCCGCCGCTGTGTCTTAAAATGAGAAGTTCCTTTTACCGGTTCCTAGACTCGTCAGTGTTGTACACCAAAGGACGACGGACAGAGACCATTAAATTGCAAGTACTGCAAATACTGTACTCTTTCTTCAGGTGTTATTTTTCTTCCATTTTTAAAACTAGGAGAATCGAACCAGTCTTGTGTACTAGAACCTGTGATAGATTCATGTCATGCACAGAATTATTTATGGTGTCAATTCTGTTAATTTCATGTTCCCGTTCATGGAGTTGTTTGCTATCATCTTGGCAACGTGCACTTGGTTCAACCCCCCCCCCCCTCCGCCCCCCCCCCCGGCCCCTTTCTAGCCATGTTCGTAAAATCCGGCCAATGGTCATCCAATGGTCAGTATTGGTCATTTAAGGAATATTTACAAAATGCTTCTTCTCCCACAGTCTTGACCCAACTAATGTAAAACTTGGTCAGTATTATCATTGGACCAAGCCTCACAAAAGTTGTTCACAGAATTTGGATAGTGGTCACCTATTGGTCAGCAGGGGTCATTTCTTCAGTTGATTGTCTAACATGTGCAATGAAGAAACACAGATATGCAGGTTTTGTTAATCGGCTGGTAGGCGGCCAGTTCCCATGCATGACGTGTATTCGAGGAAACGGAGTTATGGCAAGTTTTGTATAACTTGCTTAGCATACAGTACCAAGGGCGGATCGGGGGGGGGCAAAGGGGGCCACCCCCCCCCCCCCCAAAAAAAACCGAAACCAATTTTTTTTTTTTTTTTTTTATGTGACATCGCAATAAAGGCAGGCAATGAGTACACCACCATCTTTTCCTAAAATAAAAAATATTGGTTAAAGTGGTCAGAAATTTCCTCAGATCGCACCACAGAGCATCTAGAATTCAAAAAACTTTGACAGAATATTTGTTAGAAAACGAGTTTGACAGAAGATTTGACAGAATGAAATTTTTTGGCAGATTTCTTGCAGAATTCTGCAAAAATGGTTATTTGACAGAAAAACATAGCAAATTTACAAAAATGGTACATTTGTTTAAAAAAGGTAGTCTAGGTGCTGAGGTTTACTGGAAACCTGACTTCGCCATGACGCAACCGCAAATTTACGCAATTTCATAACATCTTTATGCGACTACAGATTGTTTATAATGCAATTTGAACCATAATTAAGGCAATACTACAACATCTGCATGTGATTTTAAGTGTTTATAGTGTATTTCGAATAATTTTGGGGAATTTGGCAGATTTTTGATAAATCTGACAGATGTTTGAAGCGCATTTAGCAGAATTTTGCCATAACCGTACGGTCACCGGGGGGGGGGGGGGCAGTTCGCATGCATAACATATATTCGGAAAACGCAGTTATGGCAAGTTTTGTTTCATAAACTGGCATGGTTAGCATACGCTATGTGCAATGTGTGAAACAGATTTTTGTTATCGGCATGACTAATCTGCGTATTCAAAAATACGAAGGCCAAACAATACTACCGCTCACTGTGATTAATTTTTGATGTTTGAAGCAAATTCATCTACAGAGATTACCAATGGTTCATGTATTTTCTCGGCCGGCGTAGTTAATGTCAAATGTTGTCTGTGAATGGTTTAGACCAAGCGTTTTTGACAGTGCGCGCGAGTCAGTTTAGACCATATAGAGTAAAGGAACGCGCGGATGTGCAGACGAACCCGGTTAAAGCGGCTATTTAGGCTGATATCCGTGCTTCGGGAAGCACATTAGCTCTAGTTCCCCTCCTCCTGCTGCTCATCACCGGACTCATCATAGAACAACCACCAACACAAGAACTATGAACTTTTTGTTAGTCGCACTGCTCGCCCAGCCACTCACACTCTGGTTATCTATCATGGCATACATGTATTGTTATTTTCTTAAACTGAATTTTTGTATAAAGTCTTTTGTATTGATTTTGTTAAAGTAATAATATTAATTGTTAATTAAGGTGTGAACTGGTTTGCCTTTGCTTTATTCATGTCCACTTTGTTTTGGTTCCTTTTCTGGGGAGTGAATTTTGGGGTTGGGTTTACTCTTTTGTTTGGAGATCAAGGAAAAAATTTACAAATCAGAAGTGGGAGAAAAAGTGCTTATTGCAAATCTTTTAACACTATGCCGATGTTTAATTCAATTCGCCATGTTTAGCAACGGCAATAACCCAGCCTGATATAGGTAATGAACTAGACATAAACTTAGGATGTGTGTCCTTTTCTTTTTGGATTACACGTTTCGTGCCACCGATGTTAGATTTGTATTTGTGAGATTTTGGGCCTGCCGTCCCTAGTGATCGAGTCACTGAATGATTACCTGACTGACTGACTGAGTATAAATTATTTTCTAAGCCAACCAGACTTTCGGGTACAGCTGCAGTGCTCGACAAGGCGAGTCTTAATTGTTTCTGTTTCACTGAATGCAGTCAAGCTGAATTTGAGCAGAGTGGAATTGTACTTGCCTTTGTGTCTAGTGGTTTGATGACTAACTGGTATCCAGGCAACACATCAGGGTTGGCGTTGACGTCTTGGGCAGCAAGTTGACTGGCAGGCAGGAAGGCTTCTCCACCCGCAAAGGAGCCAGTCATCGGGTAGAGACCAAGGAGGTGTAGCCGGGTGGCGTTAGGATCGCAGATAGCTGGGCTGAAAGTACCGGCCAGTGTCAGGGAGAAAGCGAGGAGCAGCAGCACGGACATGTCTGATCCGCAGCATCACAATCAATGCTCAACTCTTATGAGAAGACGGGCATCCGACTAATGCAGACGGCGCAAAGCTTACGGCGTTGAGTTTTTATCTATTCTGTTTGAGAATGACTTTAGGGCAGAAGCTTCCAAATTCAGTAGGAAAATGTCCACTTTGGACAGGTAAACCAAAGAGACTGTAAACGGTAAACCATGAAAATGTTACAGTGAAAACAACGAGGTTGGTCTTCATACAATTTCTTTTAGAAGAATGAACACTTTGGAGACACTGAAAGACAATATGGGGTTTGCATGGGTACAGCGTATTTAAGCCTCTGTGCAGGCTGAAGCATGACTAATATACGCGATCGATGACGTCACAACAGTGACACGTACCGTGCGTTTCCACTTTATAAGCCAATGATCATGGCATCACGTCCGTTTCTGCCGCACTTTCTACTGCACGTGTGCGACTCCTATTTTTACCGTTTATAGGCAACTTAATTTGGGAGCCGTTATTGTTATATCATTATTTCGTCCATTCACTGTAAATTTGTCGAAGAAACGTTAAAAAAAATATATATCTTTTCTAAAAACGTAGAAACACTGATAACATGGAACAACCGTGTTTTTAAGATGTCGTTTTGTTTTCGACAAAATCATAATTTCGGAGGTTCCCAACATTCGTACCTGCAAAGAGGGGATTATCCAGTATTCGGATTTGGGAGCAAATTTTAGCGACATTATTTTATCTTTTGATTGACAGTGTTTGAATATTGTCCAAAAACTGCTCCAAAGTATATAACAACGCAACTGCGATCTCAGAGAATTATTCAGGTTTGTTGAGGTCTGATACAACGTATCGCGATCAATAACAGAAACACCTGACAATACTGTTCACTCGGCTCTTGAAATTGCTCACAGTACTTTATTTTTTTGGTAGAATCGATTCTTTTAAACATGAGCATGGTGAGATTTCGACGTGGCGTTATAAGGATTTATATTAAATTTAAGTACCTTTGTCGTCCCTTTACAACACAAATCAATTACAAGTACATCACAAGTTATAAGTAAATGACATACCACTTTGTTTTCTTCATCTCTCTACCCTGAATACATATTGTGGGGGCATAAAAATGGGCTTCCGGAATAAAATCGAAAAGGCATAGAACAGTCTTGAAAAAAAATCGCATGTTACTTGACTAAGACCACCGACCAGCTACCAGCGTCAAGCCTCAAGCCATCAGCAAGGACCGACCAGCATCCAGCAACCATCATCCAAGCTCAAGTCACCAGCAATGAGGGTTCAGCGAAAAGCAACTCGATCATGACCACCGACCACCGAGCGACCAGTTACTGACGTCCAGTGACCAGCGCAAGGAGCTACAAGGTACCAGCAACAAGCGACAAGCATCCAGCGACCAGCCGCCAACGATGATGAGTACGAAGCGACCAGCACAAAGCGACAGGCGACGAGCATCCAGTGCCCAGCGACCAGCAAACCAGCCACAACCGACCAGTGTCAAGCCACTAGTGAGGCACTACAAGCTACCAGCGACCAGCGACCAGCGACCATGTTAAGCGACCAGCAACCAGTGAATAGGGACCAGTAACCAGCGACTAGCGGCAGGCGACCAACAGCCAGCGACCAGCGACCAGCAATCAGCGATGAGCGACAAGCGACCAGTGACCACCGACAAGCGACCAGCATCCAGCGACCAACGACCAGTGACCAGCGCGACCAACGTCCACTCTCCAGCCACCAGCGACTGGCGTTCAGCAACCAGTAACTAGCGACCAGCGAGTACCGCCAAGCAACATGCAACCAACATCCAGCGCCCAGCGACCAACGACCAGCAACCAGCGACGAGCGACTGGCAACCAATGACCACCGACCAGCGACAAGTGACAATCGACCAGCGTCCAACGGCCAGCCACCAGCGTCAAGCGTTCAAAGTCCAGCCAACAGGCAACAGCGACCAGCCGCCAGCGACCAGCCACCAGCAACCAGTGACCAGCAACCAGCGACCAATGATCCAGACCAGCAACCAGCGTGCAGCAACCAGTGAGGCGCGACCATCGACCAGCATTTAGCATCGAGCCACCAGTGACCATCGAACACCGTGCATCAACCACTGACCACCGTCCAGCACGACCAGCGTCTAGCGACCAGCCACATGTGACCACCAACCAGTGAGGAGCAACCATCAGCGACCAGCGGCCAGCGTCGATCCAGCAACCAGCTAGGAGCAACTAGTGACCATCGACCAGCATCCAGCCACCAGCGAGCAGTGACCAGCTATCAGCAACTATAGTGACCAATAACCAGCAACAAGTGACCGCCGACCAGCGAAGAGCGACCAGCAACCAGTGACCTGTGACCATCTGAGCGTGGTCAACACATTTCAGTATCTGGGTTCTGCAGTTAATTACCAGCACCAACTACCTAGATGCCAAACTTGACTTCCAAATAGGTAAGGCTGCAACCACCTTCGGCTGTCGCGTGCTCGTGTTTGGGACAACCAGGCTTTCTCTATCAAGCAGAAGATTTGCACATACGTGTCCTGTGTTGAGTGTGCTATTCTACTGCAGTGAGTCATGGCCGACCTACCGCTGCCAGGAACGTCAAGTGAACGCCTTTCATTTCTGTCGCCTGCCTTCAATTCTTTGAATCTTTTGGCAAGACCGAGTCTCAAGCCCTGCCATTCTTGAGCTCACAGGAGTCAATGACATGCTCACATTGCTGTTAGCTCGCCGCCGTCATTGGTCTGGTATGTCTGTAGACAGGAGGACAGTCGACACTGCCAAAGGACATCTTCTTCGGAGAGCTGCATGGCTCTTGTTCCACGCCCCCTGGTCGTCCAAAACTTGGATGTCCTAAAGCGTGATCTACGGGCTCTCCAAATTCCAGTTAGCTTCTGGCAGACGTAATAAGTTTTACTTAAGGCGCGCGCGTCTGGGTGGAAGCCATGCGTGCCCTAAAAGACTATTGGGTGGAGGTTTGCTACCCTCTTCGGGTAGCAAAAATCGAGATAATAAAAAAACATGAGAAATTCTTGACAAGTTGCGAAAAGGCAGCTTTGTCCAATGCCGGCATATTAAGCGATGGACTTGGCGAAAGGCTATACTCGATGGGATAGACCACTATTACTAGCCATGGATCACACCAAGATTTGTTGCGGCAACATAAGCAATTCTGAAAACCCAGAAAACAGCACAATTGGGAGATCGCTCAATGAGGATCCACAGGTCGCAGGTGCTAGGTTCAAACCACACTCGTCAAAGTCTTTCATCAACTTTGCAAACTTGATGTAGTCGGTTTCTCTTTGTGGTTTGTTTGAAAATGTGAGATAAAAAAATGCATACTCTTTAAAAGGCGGATCCAGAACCAAATGTTTGGGGGTGGGGGTGGGGCAAGCGGGCTAGAGTACAATTTACTTTGTTTTTCATTTAAAAAGGGGAGGGGTTCGATATAATATTGCATCACGTGTATTCCACCTTGTTATATTCAAACTTAACGGTATGTGTAGCCGATGGCTTGTCAGGGGAAAGAACCTACGCAACGTGGGTTTTAACGCATTTCCTGGCACTTGTAGACACTCCGATAAAAAAATAAAAAAATAAAAAAAAAAAAATCATTTTTTTTGGGGGGGGGGGTCCCAACTGGCCCCTTCTGGATCCGCCAATGTCCTCTTTGAGTAATCCCTGTGCTCAGGTTCTCTGCTCCTGTTTATACCTTTGCTTTTGTTCAACTTTGAAAAGTTAATATAATGCACCTAGTCGGTTTTCCTTTGTACTTTACTTGAAAATCACAAAAATATACAAGTACCGGCATTATTTGTTAGCTATGTATGGGAAAAGGAAAAACATATTAAATGCTATTCATAAATACCTCAGACAGTTTAGCTATTCCTATTGGTCGAGAGCCCGTCACGTGGCCGGTCTTAAACGGATGATAAAGACATGGCTAGCTGGTCTTAAAGCTAGAGTCCATCATTTGCAGCCATCCGAAAAGTAACTGGCGTAATTATTGTTCAAAAACTAACTTGGTTGAAAGATAGTAAGGGGACTAAACTCCCTGTGAAATTATTCTTTCTGGGAAGCTGTCATTTTGAAGTAATCAACGAAAGAAGGCATTTCTAACGGTGATTCTTAAGAAGCACCGTAGGGAAATTTAAATTAGTAGTTCGTTTTGTTATTCAGCGCAGCGCGCACAAGTATTGGAACGACGCACACGCGCGCGCGGTTGTTATATTTCGTCGGATCAGTGCGCGACGTCGCGTATAGTTGCAATTCAAAACAATTCAAAACATGATTCAGCAACTTTTGATTTGAAATTGAGATCTTAGAAAGCTGTTTTTCTCGCAATGTACAGCTGAAGCTTAGCTGAAACTTCATCAGGTAAGTTGCTCAGCATCCTTCATTAGATTTTGAACTCTTTTGTTGCTTCAAACGAACAAAATGCACAAATTACAAATGATGGACTGTAGCTTTAAACACTTTTCCAGTGTCACAATAAAATGTGGACTCCTAAAAATCCAGTGCCTCTTACCGTTTCATTGGTTGAACGTTCACAATCCTCACGTAGGCATGCGCAACACTACCAGCGAGTCAGAATTTTATAGTTTTAAATTCAAAACGCAACGCCCCAGGTGCGTTCTGCGCGACATCGCGCAGAACATGCTACGCGCGCGTCAACCTCCATAAAAGGGTTGTTTACATCTTACTCTCCAGCTGAACACTCCATTATTTTGCTAGAGGGATGTTTCAAAAAGCATGAAGTGAACTTGTTGAACAAAATTGGGATTTTGTGAACGAATTATTTGATATTTTTTACCGAAAAGGTATTTATGAATGGGAATAAATATGTGTTCCGTCGGTATTTATCACTCTGTTTAAGACCACTTAGAGTCTGGGTGCTGATAATTACCCTCGCCTCCGGCTCGGGTAATTATCAGCACCCAGACTCTAAGCGGTATTAAACAGAGTGATAAAAACCTCCGGAGCACACATTTATTCCCTTATTAACGAAGAATGATTAAAAAACAACTATAAAAATGAAAGATGTACAGAACTGCGCAACATTCTGATTTAATGACAGAACGATTTTTTACATACTATATTTAAATGTAAATATGTACAAATCCCTAACATATAAAATAAATATCATTATTTTTAAATATTCTATTAAAAAATGGTAAACAGAAGACCGAGATAATTAATATTTCTGAATGTGGACTCATCTGAACTTCAAAATTCCCCACCGCCAAAAATATATATAATGCTTGCAAACATTTTTAAGTAAATAGAACATGTTTCTATGTGTAAACCAATGCATGTTGTACAGATATTGCCTAATTATCATCATTTACATGAGCCCACTATTACACTACCAATCCAGGTGAAGTATGTGATTGTTTTCAATGTTTGGAATAATGTAATGTCTGTGTGTGATTTAATTTAATTGATTAAAGGCCGAAAACTCAGGCAATGTCTATCCGGTTTTGAGGTAGCAGGACAAACTTAACAAGTCTCACTAAATGGTACTGAAGGCGCGGGTTTGGCGTTACAGGTACACAGGATCATTTGGCTTTTGTGCATGTTTTTTGTGTGTGAAGAAAACAATACTGCTGAAAATTGTAAGAAGTTTAAGTTTTAGACGGAGAAAACATATTGTTTGGTTCTCGTATCTAAATTTTGTTGCTAAAGCAAGTAAAGAATACTGTGCCCAATGGCACACTTTCTTCAATCGCCTTCAATGATTGTTCTTCCTACCGAATGATACCAATTCAGGCGGAGTAATTTCACAGGGTATTTGGTACCAGTCTTATCTTCACTTTGAGCAAGGATATTCTCGTTAAATCGGTAGGTACACTTCCGGGTAATTGCAAATGCTCCTACGTGCATTTAAAAACCTAGTATCATTTTTCATATTTTGGTATCACTTCAAAGCCACACAGGATTATCTGCAATAACCCATGAAAGACCTACCAATGAAGATAGGACTGGCACCAAATACCCTGTAAAATGTTTCCGCCTGAGCGGTATCGTTTGGAAGTAAACAATAATGGATGGTGGTTTCGAAATAGGGGCACACTTTTTTAACTTTTCTTTTACGTGCATTAGCAACAAGACCTAGTTACAAGACCCCAACAAATTGTATGAATGTTTTCTGTTTTCTCAAAGTGTATAGTAGCCACTGAGATAAAACTCTTAACAGCCTACTTTTTATGTGCCCTATTATAAAGATAGATTTTGAGCAATTGTGGTGCTCCAAATATATTTTCAGCATACACCAGTAATTCTTTTCCAAAGACTTCTACTGCAATAAGTTCACATCCACCTGCATCTAAATGTTATGTCCTCTTCACTAATTGGACGGATTAGTTCGGCATAAATAATATGTAAATATTCTTTGGTGAATACAGAAATTATTACAACTTGCTGAATTATTTGAATACAAAATTATTAGGTGCACAGCTAGTTTCTGGACGGACATCATTGAAAGATGGAACGGGAACATTTTTGTTTCGCAATTTCCAACCACACGGCTAAGGACCACTCAAGAAATAAAGAATAACGTTCAAGAGAGAGAAGACATTTTTGGATATTTGAAACACTCTGTAAGTCTGGCCATGGACACCATGCATAAAAGGCCGACAGCGTTTAGAGGCCCACAAAAAAAAAATAAAAAAACATTACATGTATATCATATCCTTGAAAAATCCCATTTACTTTAATTTTTAAAAATATTTTGCAATTTTCAAGGGCATATTGGTCCTTCTTTTGGTGTATGCGCTAATTTAAATTTCCATATTCATGACCAAACTGTGATGTCATTCAAGGCAAAAGCTTTAGTATGACAGCTACCCCAGTACCAAAACAAATATACCAGAATTTTGGATTTGATGTTGTGGTAAATTGTATGCATTTAGTGATTGTTTATTGTGGTTTCAGTACATGACAGTAGTTCAAATGTACAAACGTTTTCAATGAGCAAATTTGTGGGTTCATAATTTGAACAAGAACCCCTCAATTGAAGAGTGTGTACCATTATGACATCGCAGAAACAGCAACTTCTGTTGTTTGAATAAAAAAAAACATGAAACATTTAAATGTTACAAAAAGTGCACTTTACAAACGTTTTAATCAAAAAGGGATGTGTCATAGTTTTCATACATTTCAGAAGAAGTGTAAAATTCATTTCATGGTCCATTGAACAAGTAGTTGTGCAGGACACAACGCTTGCGAATACCGAGTCAATAACGCAAAGCATGATGTACATAGTACACACAAGTTTTCACCTAAATGTTCGCAAATACATAGCGTCTTCGCATATAAAGTGTTAGGAATATGGCCGCTTGCCATGCCTAAAAGTCGAAGCTAGGTAAAGGTAAAGGAGACGATGAACCTGTGTTCACAGGAACGGAGTGCCCACCTCTCTTTCATTAGCGATTGGGCCAGACTCATATGCTGCTGTGGGGGGATCGCCACACCTCCTCCACAGCGAGTCTGTTACCTTCCCAGCATTGAATAATGCCGGTACCCATTTAACACCTGGGTTGAGAGGAGCAATTGAGGTAAAATGCCTAACTCAAGGGCACAACACGCATGGCCACGGTGGGGCTCGAACCCACAACCTCTCGATCATGAATCCTGTGCTCCGCCGCTAGACCACGTGCCCACGAGTCCAAGCTCTCTCTCTGTTTTATGTAACTGGGAAGGAGGTCCTTGTGCAAGGAATTCATAATGAACGAATTAAAGCTGTGTGGTAGCCTAGTCCATCACAAGTCCAACATCTTCTCACAAGCCAACCACAACTCCTCCATTCGCGATTCAAGTCGGAAGGTATTCAACTGAATTGTAACGAAGGCGTTCCCTTCTTATTGCTCACCCCGTTACTTGTGACTTGACTAATGAAAGGACTTGTGATTAAATGGAAGAACTTGTGATGAGCTTGTCAACAAAACTAGAGTAAAGACAGCTTTTCAGTTATAAAATGCTTATATCTGCGAGACAACTGTATATTTACACAGCAAAATTCTGAAACATCAGTATTAGGTGGCCTGCGAGTCTCTTGTCTCGAGCTATACTCCAAAATTACAACTTGGTGGGAACATACTGACAACAGATACAGCCATAACTCTCAACACTTCTTGAAATCAAAATTGCTTCTACGGGCGTTGCTAGAAGGGGGATATGGGGGGGGGGTGACCCCACCCACCTCATCCATCATTTTTGTTGGAAAAAATCATGTCTGTCGGCAAATATGTCCAGACAAATAGTGCCACTTATTGTCTGATAATGTCAAAGGTCGTATGCTTTGAACAGCAACCCCAAAGAGTACAAAGTATCAAGTCCCTCCCCCTCCCCCTTCCTTTTTGGTGAATAGGCGACCTTTCAGGATGGATTGACAAATTATTGTCAACCCATCCCCCCTAGGAACTGGTCTGGCAATGCGCTACATGCCCAGTTGTTTTTACTTTATGTGGAGGCAAGCTGACTCATTCATGTCATTCAGTAGATTCCACCACATTCGATTATCTATTTTTCAGGAGCTCTGTTCTTGCGGTGACCAGAATCTTAAACGCCTCTTCGCTGCCGGGTGCGATGTTCTTGTCCGGATGGAGAATGACTGCCATCTTACGATAGGCTTTATTGACATCATCTCTGAAATAGGGAAGAGAAAAATTAGAAGAAATATCAAGTAAAAAGTTGTGCACACATAGAAAAACAAAGGCTATTTATAAAATCTCACTTTGTCTCTGGTTGCGGCTCCAATTCTCCAGATCCATTTGAAGAATTTTAATGTTCAACCCTAATACAGAGAGACTCCAAATTTTGCCTTGATGCATTCGGGCACATGATCACTGTACACTAACGAGGCCCTCTTGAATGGAGAAACCATTGTGCATGCTATTGTACAAAGCAACGGCCCCCTGGATGGATTATCTGAACAATAGCTAGCACAATGCTTTCGCCATTGAAGGGGGCCTCCGTGATAGAAGTGATTGGTCTATAATAGTAGGACGGCTATATCCATGAAGCTAACATGGGATGTACCAGTATATCAAACAAATGGGTCAATTTCAAATGGACCACTAAGCATTACAATTTGAGCAAGAAGCAACAAATTTTGCTTTGTAAAACATTTTGACCGGTTTACAGATTTGTTCAACTGGGAAGCTGAACTTGAAGCCACAGCTGGAGACAAAACCAAGGTTTGAAAAATGCCCAAGCTAGAAATGCTGCAAGTTAGGGGCTGTTGACAGTGTGCATGTTAACAAGACTCCAGGGAGGTCAAAAAAACAAGGAGTGTGCACATTTCAATGGGCCTGTTTACACTGGGTTTGTACATATCGCAAAGTAGATATAACCAATGAGCTTCAAAACCAGAGCGTGGTTGGTCATGTTATTATGGAGCTTGGCCACATTGTTTTCTGTAAACCTTTCTTTAATTTGCATAACTTGACATACTTTTGCACATTTTCCACCCATTTTTAAATGTTTACTACTTCGCAATATGCTGCTTTTCAACTTTTTGTTCTCGCTTTCCGATACAGTGGGTTATTTTAGTGGCGGTTCCTGACAAGCACTGTAAACATGATGAAGGTTACCATCGACAAGTTAAATCAACTCAAGTCTTGCCGATTTCGGCAGCACTACCAAGAAAACCTGAGCATACCTCATCAGCGTGCATTGGCTTGAATACAACAGGCTTGAGGTATGCTTGGAGTTTTCCCTGGGAAGCATGATAAAGCCGCCCCAGTGGTGAAGGTCGCTTTCAACAAGATAAATCAAAGCCAGTCCTGGGAAATTTCGGCAGCACTTCCCAGGAATTCCAACCATACCTCAAGCATGTGCATTAGATTGAATACAGCTCAAGACTGGTTTAGCATCATCTTGTTGATAGCGACCTTGCTGCCATGGCGGCTTCACTACGTTCGTCAGGGACAGGCTACATTGGGCAAATAAAGCCAAGTCCAGTCTTGGACCAAGACTACAGTCTTGTTAAAGCTATAGTCCATCATTTGCAGCCATCCGAAAAAGTAACTGGCATATTATTGTTGAAAAACATACTTGGTTGAAAGATAGTAAGTGGACAAAACTCCCTGTGAAATTTATCTTTCTGGCAAGCTATTATTTTGAAGTAATCAATGAAAGAAGGCCTTTGACGCACCGTAGGAAAATTTAAATTAGTAGTTCGTTTTATTATTCAGCGCAGCATGCGTAAGCATTGGCACGATGCACAGGTGCGCGCGGTTGCTATAATTCGTCGGATCAGTGCGCGACATCACGTATAGCTGCAATTCAAAACAATTCAAAACATGATTCAGCAACTTTTGATTTGAAATTGAGATCCTAGAAGGCTGTTTTTTTCTCGGAATATACAGCTGAAGCTGAAACTTCATCAGGTTAGTTGTTCAGTATCCTTCATTAGATTTTGAACACTTTTGTTGCTTCAAACGAACAAAATGCACAAATTACAAATGATGGACTATATATTTAAGTATGACATCACTACTTACTTGGATGCTCCCTGTCTGAGACCCAGCCTCTCATAGTCATTCTTGCTGTTCTTGAGTCTCTGTATAGCCTCCACCTGCTCCTTGGTATAACCTAACGTGGTGGTTATCCTGACAGCGCGGCCACCATTCTCATAGGCAGTCACCAGACCATTGAACAACTCCTGCCAATATCAAAACAAAATCTCAGTAACCTTTATGTTGTCAAAGGCTTACAACGTGTGCAACGGACAAACTGGGTCCGCAAGCAATGTACACGCAAGAGGCCCCCCTTCAATGGAGAAACTATTGTGTATGCTATTGTACAAAGCAACCACCCCACTGACGGATTATCTGAACAATAGCTAGCACAATGCTTTTGCCATTAAAGGGGGCCTTCGTAATAGTAGTGACAGCGTGCTATGATCGGTCTAAACAAACAGAAACATTTGAATTTATCCATCTTTTTTTGTTGAAGTTCTACAAAAATAGACAAAAGTTAAGTTTTTGATAATGGCGGATGCTAATTTGCTTTGAAGAAATGGCTTAAATGAATTTGTTGACCCCTAAAACATGGTCTAGACACCTTGACTGATAAGTCTGGTCAAGATCCGGCAGAGATATATAGAAAACTTATATTGTACCTTATGGAGGTAATTTGCATATTAACTGATTTTTTGCTTTTTAATACTCAAGGTGTCAGTGTGGCACCTACCAGAATATTGATCTACACAGTTCAAATGACAAGAAAATGCACAAACATTTTGTGCAGACCTAAATGCACAGTTCACCTTCAAATTGGGGTTTGATACCCGGACTGTGACGTACGTTCCGGGGGAATAGCACATACATAGCCCATACACTCTGCACTATGCAGAGTACATGGCATGTTCTATATGGGACAATATCACACTGTTCTTACCATGGACAGAGCAATCAGGATCAAGGATTCAAATTTGCTTGAGAATAAAAGTGAGGTTCCTGAAAAAGCCACCTACATTGTTATACAAATATTGAGTGGCTCAGCGTGGAATGGGAGGAATATTATCGCAAGGTAAAATCTGGAAAAGTCCAGATTTTACCGAGCGCTGATATTCCTCCCATTTCACCATTTAAAGCCACTCAATATTTGTTTTATATAACTGACATATAGATCCCTGTCATTTGATATATTTGAACTTTTTTTTCAATACAAAACTGGAGGAAAATGTATTTGTCTCTTCCAAACCACCCCTTCACGAAAATGTTTGAACACAACGCTGTAGCGCTGGCTCTTTGGAACAATACACGCTACGCGCAACGCTGAATGCGCAAACCAGCATGCATTTGCACACAAATACCGCGTCATGATATTAACTGTTGAATAGTATTTCCCATTCCCCATGGGCGGATAGTACTTTTTGAGGCGCGGCGTGAATGGGAGCAATAAGGAATGTCACGTGATGTGGGTTCCACCAATCAAATGACTAGGATCTGTTTGTCAGTTATATAAATTGAACTTTTCTCGATGCTGTTCCATTCACTTACTTGGAAAGCCTCTGTAATTCCTTCCCCTGATAATGCTGAGGTTTCAAAGTAATGGAAGCCATGTTGGTCTGCCCATAACCGCCCCTCACTCTCATCAATCTGACGCTGGGAATTCCTGTCAATCTGTCCAATCAACCACAGAGTCAAGCGTCAAGTTTGCCACAGACATTGTAAATATCACACTGAAACATGTTTGCTCATCTCAGAGGGGCCAGCCTATAGTCCTCCTTGTACCTGACTGACTGAATGACTGACTCCCCGAATTAGAATTTGTGAATTAGACTTGCTTGAATCTCACTTTGGCCTAAAAGTCTGAAATTAGGATTACCCTGTAATGCCCATAAATGGGCTAAATCTGTGTAGGCCGCTTGCATGAAAAGACTCCCTGTGAAAAGCCAATCTGAATCACAGCAACAAGTCTAGAGGGGGGATTGGGAGGTTGCACCCCCCCCCCCCCCAACCCCATTCAGCCGTCGACTTATGTTATGAAACTAGTAAAATGGGGCAAAAACGAATAAAGGGAATGCTACAGTTACGAAATTTATTCTCAAATTGCCTTAAAATGCTTGAGAAAGCGCAATAGATTTCAAACTTTTTCGGGAAGGCATGCCCCTGGATCCCCCATGAGCTCCGTGCGCTACCAAAGGGGGCGCCCTTTCACCTAACAACGACGTTCCATGGGCGGGACATTTCGCTGGTTGACGCGCACCGTTCCTTGTGTGTGACGCAGGTACACCAGGGGATTTGTACTATTTACACGAAGTGGCCGCGCTTCGCGGCAAATGAATTGCAGTCAGGCAAGATGGCGTCGGTCGGTCACCCCCAACCATGCCAACTGTACTTCCTTTGCCGGTGAGAGGGTGCTTGTGAACAAAGCTGATACTGGGCCCATAGCAGGGCGTGCCTTTGGCATGCCCCCCCCCCCCCACCTTTATATCAACTCTCCCGTTTCCTGAAAGCTAGATCCGCCCCTGGCCAGGTTTATGGTGACTATGAACCAGATGTGCTGTGAACTCCATGATATAACCAATCAACAAAAGTTCCAAATTCAAAGTTCAAGTAAACCACAAGGGGAATCTGGATAGGTACACTTTTAATCAGTTTTGCTTGGGCACATACAGTAACTGCAGACACCAATGTTATCCAGCTATCCAGCTCTTGAATATAACACAGCCATCAAGGGGCAAAACTATTCACCATCTAATAATTGTAATTACTTTACCGATATTTCTGATACATCTTGCCAAATATGTGGGAAGTGAAATCAATATTTCAATGAAGGAAGTGTTTTGAATTGCTAGGACTCTTCTGAGAAGTAGAACTCCTCGGAAATCATAAGATGCGTTACAAGTTCTGTGAAATGGGCCCCAAAACTAGTATTGCACTTGGGCTCATCACACGTCCTTACAAGTCCATCACAAGGCAACCAGTTCCAAGTCAAGTCCCCAGTTTATTGCAATGCAACGTGACACTGGCATTCTGGGTTATTGTTCATCCCCTTTGCTTGTGATTGGACTTGATGAACTGGACAACATGGACAATGACAATGTTCCAAGAATTTACGTCAAAAACAGGCAGGTTTGGGTATTTCGTACCTTATTAGCACAAACGCAGAAGAAGACTTTCTCCATTTCGTTAGGTGAGCCAATCTCTTGTTTCATCTCAGCAAGCCAGGTATCTAGAGATTCAAAGCTTGCCCGGTTGCACACATCATACACCAACAGCGCCCCCTGCGTGTCCTTGTAAAACTCGTTCCTGACCTTTAAAGCAATGGTTCAAAGTAAAGTTCATACATGTACATGTAGCAATGCTTAACAGTTCACAGAAAAACGTTCTCCCAAGTTCTTTTTGAAGTGGCAGCATTTATTATTGTGTTTATGCAGCCATTTACTCGCTAGTCATGCTAGTGGTCTTCTGGGTTCATGAATGGCCTGCCTATTCAACTGATCAGAGAGTTCCTACTCTTTTTGTTAACATTACAGCTGTGGACTGCTTAGTGTTTTTGTAAACTATACCCAATCAGTGTGGAGGGTAGCCTTTCGCCCAGGCCATCGTGGCTTAGAGCGGCGGAGTTGCAAAGACCCAAAGCGACTGGAGCAAAGATAAAGTCAGCACGCACGAGTGGCAAAGCCACGAGGCCTTTTACAACTTGATTTTGTTGAATTATTCATAGTTTTTATGCAAATAAGACGCGTGCTGAAGGTTAACCAATCACAACGCGGATTTTGCCCAGTCGCTTCCATTTTTAAAAGAAGGGTGAGAAAGGAAAACGTAAGAGCAAATAACTGTAAGTTCAGATGAAAAATAAATTCATACCCTCAAATAATTTCTTGAAAACCTTTATACGTTAAGTTAAAATAAGATAATGTAAGAACAATTATGCGGTCACAATCTCGTGGAAAACTAGACTCGCAATTTTTGTTTTTTATTTTTGTGCAAGCATCCGGGCGGGTAGACGCGTCTGGGTAGTAGCCACGCACGCACAAACGAACAGGCTGATGATTGGTTGGAATTTTGCTACCCTTTTGGGGTAGCAAAAATCGAGATTATAAAGAAAAACATAAGAATTTCTTGACAAGTTAGAAAAGGCCCTCGTGGCTTTGCCACTCGCATGTGTGGTCTCCATCTCCAGTCGCTTCGCTTTTTCGCTGCTTTGAATGTGGGCAAGTTAAGCCACGGTGGCCTTGGTGAAAGGCTATGTGGAGGGCAGTGCATATGGCACCTGATCACTCATCAATTTTTGTTGGCGTGACTGTGGGCTGAAAAGGAGCATCCAGTGAAATCGAATATACCATTATTTGGTTTGAAAAAAATTAAAAACAGGAATTTGAAATCTCTTATTTGTCCCAACACTAGTACTTACCTCAAAGAAAATAGGATGCCCAGCCATGTCAAAAATATTGACTTTCACTGTCCGATCCCTCACAACAAGTCTGAAAATATAATCAAATCAGGTCTAAACATTTGTAAGTGTTTAAAGGGACACTACATATAGGTCCTGAACAGCCCAATTGGGCTACAAAATGCGCTTTGAACGAGATGATGTTAATCGGATATAACATTTAAAAGTAGGATATAAACATCCACACAACTATCCTTTCAAAACTGGGCGTTTTTCTGTTATTCCTAAATTGTGCGTGTGAGAACGAATTTCGGGGTCCACTTTTGTGACCCCATAAATTCAAGCTGTTTGGATGCTACATGTAGTTGTGATGTCATTCGTAAAGTGTTTGCCTTTTGCGGACGTTGAAGAAACCAATTTTTTTTGCATTGACAGTGATTGGTCACCGCTGTTCCCGAGATGCACAACTGTGTATATCATACACATACACTGAAAATGACACGAAAAACGTACTCGTACTCCATCCTGTCCGAAGTAAACAAGCAGGGTTTTTTTTTTCTTTTCTCGGGAACAGTAAGACATTAGGTTGGTTTCCTTTCAACCAGATGTTTGAAATAGGGTAAGTAAACAATCCAAAACCGGAAATTTTGGGGGATTTCAGGACCTATAGTGCCCCTTTAATTCCACTTTTCAATTTCAATCAACCATGATTACTTCAATAGAAATAAATCTGATTTGTTTCAATTGGAGATTGTATAATGAATACAGACAGATGGAAACTGATAAGGCACTGTCACAAAAACAAGGGATTTTGAAGCATTTTAAGACTTTCAACCTCATGTACATTGTAGCTGCATACTCCCAGAACTACATTGTACATTGTATGAGGCTCTGAGAGGAGCCTCATAGACAACTTACCCCGCAAAATTGTTTGCCTCTACAAAACACCAACCAAGTACAAAAACGTCCATTACAACCAAGCTATTTCCCACAGAACCGCTGCACAGTTTGCTCCTAAACTCTGTACTATAACTCTTGACATACTCACGTTATGTGCATCAAACAAACAGTGGTGGATTCTGTCGGTTTTTAGGCCAAAATGATGAAAAAAAATGCCCTTTCCGCACTGAGCCAACCTGACACTTGCACATGATCGGTCGATGATTTTCGGTTCGCTCAGAGTGCGCCGCGGCCGGGGGCTAAGTACTTGCACTAAATTTTGCAGGGTAAGTTGTCCATGAGGCTCCACTCGGAGCCTCATAGTTCTAGGAGTAGTAGCTGCATGCCTGTTCCAAGTAGGATTCACGCATATGTGCATTCTTATTCTTTTTGTTCAGCCGACATCTGACTGAAAGTGAACTAACTCAAGTTATTAGTTAATTACCCTCTCATTTGTTTTCCTTTTAATTAGAAACTTCACTATTAGTATGCCAGTTAAGAAACCTTGCTAATTAACAGTGATGTAGTCGAGTCCACCTCATTCCAGTCCGAGCTGAGCTGAGTCAAAGTCCATTTTTGTTCGAGTCTGAACTGAGTCTGCATGGTCTGAGTCCATATGGTGAAGTCTAAGCCAAGTCTGTCAATGGTCATGATGGTAGAATAATGATCGGGCAGGTCGGCACAACAGGGACAGAACTGAGATTGAGTCAATGCTTCACGCAGGACGTGTGTGTGCACGAGTACACTGAGAATACAGTGACTGTTGAAAAAGTCTCTTGTGATTACTCTACAGCCTTCATAAAGTAAGGTACATATGTAGGCCTATCTAAAAGGCATTTTCCTAGGCAAGAGTTCAACGTGATCAGACAACAGACGCAGGACTTTTTTTAAAGCAACTGAAACTTTTTTCTCAAGTTTAAACACAATTTTTTTTATAAATGGACTTGATTTGAGTCCGCCAGGTAGTCCGAGTCAGCCACTAGCTGAGTCCGAGCCAAGCCAAGTCCAAAAAAGGACAAGTCCGAAAAATTGACTCGAGTCTGGACTCAGACTTGAGTTGCTGCTAATTAATGTTTTGTTTAACATGGTTTACCTACTTTGTAACACCATAGTCAATGCCAATTGTCGTCAGGTACTTGTTGACAAACCGCTTCTCGCAGTATCTCTTTATAATACAACTCTGAAAAAGAAAGTAGACAGATTTGATATACATGTACCTTTAATATCATCAACAAGTTAAATATTGATTTATAAAAAGGTGAATCTTCAACACATTTTCAGTCCTGATTAGTCTGACACCTACACATTTGTGTGTGCATCATGCACTCGAAAATGTCACTGGTGAATTGATTTACTTTTTTCTGTTTATTAACTAAAGAATTCAAAAGGAACAAGTTTTTAAATTAAAGTGTTTTTAGTAACCATTATTTTACATAGCAGCTAACATGCCTAGGATTAGCCATGCTGCATGTAGCTTAAGATATCCCGATGAGCATTGGAGATGGAGTTTCTCAAGCTACATGAATATGTATGGCCATACCTACTTTCGTTTTGTAAACATATGCAGAGGATTTCTGTCAATGACAATGGCTGGATTTTGATTGGTCCGAAAATTTGGGACTCTTGATACTGTGTACGAGAGTCCCAAAACTTAAGGTATTGAAAACATGCAAGACAAGAAAATAGACTGTTAAATGAAAATCATTTTTTTATTTTCCTTTTTTTTTTTTTTTTTTTAGTCTATATAACAATAAACGGAAAATTTCATGTTAAGATCCCAGTCTGGATTTTGATGTACATTTTTGTACTTAGGCCTAGTTGTTGTTTCGTAATGAAAGGCGTGGGTGATTCATCTATAGGGCTCTGCTATGCGAAGCGGCACAGTTTTAGGGGAAGGCTATAATTGCGATACAAAAAATATTACCTTTCCCACTTCAGCATTTCCCATGCTGATTATCTTCACACGAATTGTTTTCCTCAGTCCGTTGCTATCCATGGTCAATTCTCTCTTCTGCTTGCAGATGCGATGTCGAACTTTAATTAAGTTCAATGAGATTTTAGTCTAAGCATAAATTTGCAGTTCAACAACATGCGCACCAGCTGATTCGATTTCCCGCTGATTCGACTGTACAAACATAAATGCATAAAGCATGATTGATGATGAGTGAATGTTAGCCCGACTGCGTCTGGCCGTACAGTACTATCGCAAGCTCTGTAGTACGGCCAGACGCTGAATGCTTCCAAAAAGACTGAATTTTTTTGGCTGCTGATGTAGCGATTTTGCTACATCTTTTGATCGAGATTATCTTTTCATCCAGGACAAAAATTTCCACAGTTAAGGTTCTTAGTCGTAGAGCAACTCATACCTTTTCGAAAAAAACGTTCTTTGGTCTCAATATTTTCATCCATCTGGCCAAAAGACGACTTTCAGTCATCGTCTTCCACAAATATCGTCCCGAAAATGCTCCCCCATGCGATTTCAAAATGGCGGCCGCGCTGTAACTCATGAATATGCATAAACAGTCTGTGATGTATGACCTCGTGTTTTTGGACGTGCGTGCGGCGGCGCCGTACGTACATGTACAGTACATTACTTGTAGACAACAGCCCAGTACGTGCATGCACACGTACGTCCGCGCGGCGGTGTGCATGCACGTACTGGGCTGTTGTCTACAAGTAATGTGCATGTACATATGTACGTACGTAAGGCCCCGCCGCACGCACGTCCAAAAACACGAGGTCATACGTCACAGACTGTTTATGCATATTCATGAGTTACAGCGCGGCCGCCATTTTGAAATCGCATGGGGGAGCATTTTCGGGACGATATTTGTGGAAGATGATGACTGAAAGTCGTCTGTTGGCCAGATGGATGAAAATATTGAGACCAAAGAACGTTTTTTCGAAAAGGTATGAGTTGCTCTACGACTAAGAACCTTAACTGTGGAAATTTTTGTCCTGGATGAAAAGATAATCTCGATCAAAAGATGTAGCAAAATCGCTACATCAGCGGCCAAAAAAATTCAGTCTTTTTGGAAGCATTCAGCGTCTGGCCGTACTACAGAGCTTGCGATAGTACGAATGTCGGACACTTCGCCCCATTTCCACGTCGCCCCATGTCACTTCGCCCCTAACCACTTCGCCCCATCTCCACTTCGCCCCATTCCCACATCGCCCCATCCCCACTTCGCCCCATTCCCACTTCGCCCCATCCCCACTTCGCCCCATCCCCACTTCGCCCCATCCCCACTTCGCCCCAGCTGCTACATGCAAAAAAAAAAAATCTCATATATTTTTTTGGCTTAAAAAAACAATTTCAACAGATTCACTAATTGCTAACCAACGGAAAGAATTAGCCCATCACCAAATGAACAATTCATAACCAACCTCTCAAGCTAGGCTCTCCCCTACCGAGTAAAAAGCTTTGTAAAAGATCCAACTTTGTTCCCAACCCGGCTATACCAACCCGTCTCCCACTTGTCTGAGAACGACAATACCTTTGACATCCTAATTTCACTGTTGGAGGAACCAATCTCATCTAAATGAAGTTGCAAGTGTCACATATCAGACAAATTTTGACGGAACATTTTCCTCAAGGCAGTGAGTTCCTTTTAACTCACTGACCCATACCTACGGATTCTTTTGAATCCAGCGGCTGATGATTTTATTCACAAGCCAATAGGAGAGGCGTCACTGAATGGGATAGAGCCATCATTTCTCTCATCTGTGTCTCGAGGACCTCATCAAAGAGTTTGTTTTTTCCTAAGTTTCTAGAATTGGGAGCATTTATTACCTGGGGTCTTTGGCAGTTTATTTGGTCTGCACCCCTTTTTCATACTACATGGGGCGAAGTGGGGATGGGGCAAAGTGGGGATGGGGCGAAGCGGGGATGGGGCGAAGTGGGGATGGGGCGAAGCGGAGATGGGGCGATGTGGGGATGGGGCGATGTGGGGATGGGGCGAAGTGGTTAGGGGCGAAGTGACATGGGGCGACGTGGAAATGGGGCGAAGCGTCCGACACCCGATAGTACTGTACGGCCAGACGCAGTCGGGCTAAGTGAATGTGATCATGCGAGAAAAAAAAATGCGATCATTTTGCAGCCAAAATTTAACGATTTTTCTTTCACGACAACGACAAGAATTACCAAGCTGCGATGCCAATCACGGGTACGACACCCGTTATGTGATAAAAAGCACAAATCTCAATGATCTCTACGAATAATGTGTAAAAGTGTGGGTTTTTTTTAACACCGCCCGGTTGTGAGCGTAAAGTTGTTTATCTTCAGCGGCCATGTTCTGCAATCTGCACATTCCTGGGAAAGCTAAGAGCGAGGTTGTGATTGGAGGATCGGTTGCTCAGTGGAAATTGACGAGCGATCTGATTGGATAACAATCGCTTCTAGCTGAAACCAACATGGCGGCCTACACAGTACCAGAAAGTTTTGTTATCCCTGAATGCGAAAACTCCGAAGCCATGAAGAATGGTTTTAAGTGTGCCTATTGATTTTGTTCGTCTTCCAAAAGTAGAAGAGTGTTTAGCTCCGATAGCCCACTATTGAAATGACGCAGTCAATAGTAATTCAAGGTAAAAAAAAAATACATATTCTAGCTGGTAAAGTTTGTACTACAGGCATGACAGGGCAGGGGGTACAGTTTTGCATGCATGATGCAGTGATGCCTGGCGCGCGGCGGGACGATTGACGTTGTTGTGCCCATTCTTGAAAATCACGCATTCTCGAGAATGGGTATGCACATTCTTGAGAATGTGCAACTGGATCCTTGCTCAATCTTGGCAAAAAATAACTCTTCCAGATTGAGCGCACATTCTTGAGAATGCGCGACAAGATAACGGTCTTGTCCATGCCGAGCACCGGCTGCGCTTGGCAAGTCTAGCTGAATCCTCGTTCACTGATTCTTAATAATTATACTGTTGCAACGCAAGGCGCTGAAAAGTAGAGTGGATATGAAAAGTATACGCGTGTTGGGGGAGGGGACCGGGGGAAAAAATAAGAATAAATAAGAAAGAATTCAGATTTTTGGGATAATAAATTAAAAGGGGGGGGGGGACGTAAGAATGAAGAATGTGAAGAATGAGAATGAATACTGCGACATCCCATAGTGCTAATGCTATTTCCCATTTAAATTGCCACCAATTTATTGTTCACACCCCACCATAACGTCGCAGAGCTGGATTCTATCTAGTCAAAAGAGCAATTTTGGCAGCTTCTGGACATCGTTTTTTTTTTCGTGGCACGCATATGATACATACAGGGACTTGTACTTGTCTAGCCTAAACAAAGCACTTCCCAGACTAGTTCCCAGTCCTCCGTTATTACAAAACTTCCCATAAGTAGGCAGGAAAAAGCAATAATAACAGGTTTAATATGATTCAAATTATCGTAGTTATACGAGTACAGAAGCATAGAACATTTTCTTTCCTCTTTATATGAATTGTTTCCCTTTTAACCGCTATACAATTCATTTAACATAATTATGTCGTGCAATGTTTGTTAAGATTGGGCAAAATTCATAAATTGTGCACGTGATATTCCCACCCAATCTTAAGAATGAGCGCTCATTCTTAAGAACGCGTGCTCGTTCTTAAGAATGGGCGCTCATTCTTAAGAATGCGCGCCCATTCTCGAGAATGCGTGATTTTCAAGAATGGGCACAACAACGTCATTATCATAATTATAGAAATGCCGTGTGATGTGACAATCATGTACATGTATTTGGAAAGAATGTTGCAGCCTGATGCCACTTTTTTTATAGGCCTATTATATGATCCCAATAATATCAGTCATTGCAAAAATGTTGAAAAGACATGAATCATTGATTATTGAATACGAGACTGAGAAATAAATTTCCAATTTTGTTACCTAGAATTACTTCATGTACTTGGAAAATGTTTTTCTCTATATTAACCTCTACCGCTCAAGTCAAGTGGCATCTGGATACTTGACTATATTCTTTCCTTTATTTTGCCTGATGAATTGCGTCATCTTTTACATGTTTTGTATTCTTTTTCCCTTTCTTTTATGTTCTGCGAAGTTGGACAGTGTGGAAATCAGGTAATGGAACACCAGTTCATTAATTTATCAGTTCTTACAATTATCCCACGAGTGATGGATGAGTGCAAGTGAACACGGAACAATGTTGCCCTGCATACCACAAGGCCCATGAGTGCAAGTGGGATAAAGAATTTATGTTCAAGGAAACTCAACTCACAATCAGTCCGAGTAACTTGGACCCAACTTATCGCCTTTTTTAACATTTGGACATGGTCTGGCTTACTATCGCCAGACCATGTCCAAATGTTAAAAAAGGCGATAACTTGGGTCCAAGTTACTCGGACTAACTCACAATAGGGTGTTCAGGTTAAAATTCCTTTTCAAATTAAATATCAAAAAACTTAGGCCTAATTAAAAACTTAATGAAATGTCCTCACCCCCAGGTGGGTCATTCATAAATCTCTCAGTCAATATCAAGTTTGCTTCATTAGTATTATCCTTGTGTTCAGAAGGAGATTATAATATCAGTTGTGGTCTTTTAACTTCAGAGCATTTGTCATTATAAAAACCAAAAACCCCATGAAATAATTTATTTTTTTATCCCTTAACCTCCTAGTACCAGGTGTTGATGATTAAATGTAAATGAATTTCTATTATTGAATTTTCCCATTCTTAATTTTTGAAAAAGTGTTATTAAGAGGCATTTGAAATCTTGTTATGAATGTCATTTTAGCTCAAGAGAATGCACATTGTATTGTAAATGCGAAAGAAGGCTTTGTGATGACAAAATATTTGAATTTGAGGCATATATCTCATAAAAGATCATAAATGCCCCATTCAATTTTCAAATATTGTCTGATGGCAAAGAAGCAATTTATTTTATATGGTTCCAATAAAGCTTTTATCTTTATACCCCTTTACAACCTGTTCGCAGATCGGATGTCGTTTCTGGGATTTGGCTTTGAGGGAGCATGCAGCTCACAACAAGAAGGGTGTTTATGATGATTCACTCAGCAGTTTTTTCCTCAATGTTGATTCAAGGTACACAGTGCAGTTATGTTTTCTGGTAAATACATTGTAGCAATCCCAGTCAGAGACTCTGAAACCATCTTTTGTTTACTTATCCTATTTCAAAGGTCTAGTTGAAAGGCAACGAACCTAATGACTTACCATTCCCGAGCAAAGACGAAAAATCCCTGTTGTTTACATCGGATGTGGTGGACATTTTGTGGCATATAAGCATACACGTACAGTTTGTACATATTTCAAGTTGTCTCACTGCAATGAACTGTACACACTGTGTCATGTATGTATGTCACATAACACAAACAGCACCAATACACAAACGTTGTTTCTTACACATCCGTGAAATGCGAATCGCTGTGCAACAGGACTCACAACTACTTGTAGCACTCACATGCAGCTCAATTTTTTTGGACAAAATTGTGACCCCCGAAATTCGTTCTTGCATGGGTCTCACAGGAATAACACAAAAACGCCCAGTTTTTAAAGGATGGTTGTGTGTTATCCTACTATTAAATGCTCTTTCCAATTAATATAATTTGTTTCCTAATGCATTCCAGGCAGTAATGTCCCTTTAATCTTCCTATAACAGTATAATATGCAAACTATGTACATTCTGTGCCGAGTTGTCTTTACAGTCAAAATTCAACAAGTGACTGTTTTCAACAGTTAAGAATTCCCAGCCCACATAAAGCAGGATTGACTGGCTGGGATGGTTTAAGTAACTTGATACAGCTTTGACTCCCGGTGAGAGATAAAACAGCTGTGACCACAACTTGCCTGCTTTGTCTGTTGACCCAGTTTGACTAGTCACAGTGTTTGCTTTACATATGATCTGACTGCTGGTGACTAGCTACATGTAAGTTGTTAAAAGTATAGCAGGGGAAGTGGAAGTGATTGAATTTTGACTGTCTGTGACTGTTTAAATAGCAAGAGGGTTAATTTGTGAAGTTTTTATGAATGGCAATAAATAACAGAATTTCGGATTCCAGGCTGTTCTACATGTACATGTAGGTACTTTCCAATGCAGAGCTCTGCATGTACATGTATCTTTGAACTGCTTTTTTTTACCATGGTTACAGGGACATACATGAGAAGACCACTTGTGCATTCATTGGGGGCCGTATCATAAGTCCGAAGCCTCATAGGTCCGACGCCTCATAAGTCCGAAATTTCGGACTTATGAGGTGTCGGACTTATGAGGCATAAAATGTATTTATTCCGCCTCATAGGTCCGACGCCTCATAAGTCCGACGCCTCATAATTCCGACAACGGAAAAACGAGGCGTTTAATTTGTCGGACTTACGAAGCGTCAGAGCTATGAGGCGTCGGACCTATGAGGCGTCGGACTTATGAGGCGTCAGACCTAAGAGGTGTCGGACTTATGGGCCTTTATTTGGTTAGGGGATGCGATTCTGTCGGACCTATGAGGCGTCAGACCTATGAGGCGTCGGACTTAAGAGCGGACCCCATTCATTGTTACTGATTTAAAGATACAGTTAGATATCTTTTGCAGCTATCCAAAAAGTAACTGACGCAATTATTGTTGAAAAACATACTTGGTTGAAAGATAGTAAAAGGACTTAACTCCCTGTGAAATTATTCTTTCTGGCATGCCGTCATTTTGAAGAAATCAACGAAAGAAGGCCTTTCCAACGGTTCGCTTAAGACACACTGTTGGAAATTTCCACTAGTTGCTTTTAATTTTTATTCGGCTTAGCGCGCGCAAGCTTTGGCACGATGCACACGTGTGCGCGGTTGCTATAATTTGTTGGATCAGTGCACGACATCGCGTAGCTGCAATTGGCTCAGTGAGAACGTGTCTTGGACGCTCAGGCCCAATTCAAAACATGATTCAGCAACTTTTGAACTCAAGATCCTCGAGAATGTTGTTTTTCTCAGAATATACAGCTGAAAATTCATCAGGTTAGTTGTTCAGCACCCTTCTTTAGATTTTTAGCACTTTCGTTGCTTCAAACGAACAAAATGCAGAAATTACAAATGATGGACTATATCTTTAAAATAACAAAAAACATCTGAAGGATGGATGTCATTGTTCATATAACAATGTTCCATTTGAAGTTAATTCTTAAATCTTGTATTTTGTTTTCCTTGAAGATACGAAAACCCACTTAGTATCGGTGTTGGCGATGGAAAAAGCAAGGTTCGTTCCCTCAAAGCCAGGGTAAGTCATCATAAGGACAAAATTTCATAAGTGCAACATTCGCTGATGGATAGAAAAATTTGAAAACAAATTACATCAGTAAAGATACCATGTTAATGCACGTTTTTGTCTAACTTCTCGTCTCATTATGCCTGAGTTAACATGTACATTTCCCAAGAGACCTACGTGTATGCAGCTTATTGGCCATCATAATGTACTGTGTGCACAGTACATGTAGAAGTAGGCCAATCAGTACAGCACAATTGTTGAGGCACATAGCTGCAATGATTTTTCAAGGCTTTAATTAAGGGAGCTTCCTATCCTTTGATAGGTGTATACAGGGCGAGTCAAAAAAAAGGATACCCAAATGTCGGGACCATTGTTTTAGTGAAGCTCTGCACATGTAGCACTTTCAAAATCTAGGATATGAAAGCCCAATTCCTAAGCTTTCTTTTAGTACAAGAATCATTCACATCACTCATGGACTTTTTTAAGTTACAGAGTTTTAAACACAACCACCGTTTTAAAGTTCTGTCCACGGATCACAAAAAAGGTGTGCGTTCTTTCAGCAAAACGAAAACAATTCACACACATCCTTATGTGATTTGTTTTCTTTTTGCTGAAAGAACACTGAACTTTTTTGTGATCCATGGACAGTACAGAACCTTAAAACTGGGGTTGTGTTTAAAATTCCGTAACTTGAAAAGTACATGAGTGATTTGAATGATTCTTGTACTAAAAGAAAGCTTATGAATTGGGCTTTCATGTCCTAGATTTTGAGAGTGCTACATGCAGAACTTCACTAAAACAATGGTCCCGACATTTGGATTTTGTTTTTGTTTTTTTACTCACCCTGTATATCTGTACATGTACATGCATGATACAGTGTGTGGCGTGAAGTTATGTCTTCAGTGTAATGGATTCACCCTTTACATGTTTTTGTCAGGCAGTCTTGGTTGACATGGAGGAGGGCGTGGTCAATGAATTATTGAAGGGGTCTGTTGGGGAGTTGTTTGACCATAGACAACTCATCACTGATGTCTCTGGCTGTGGAAATAACTGGTAAGATATCAACATGTTGAAAGTCAAAACTTTCAGTCAAGATCTGTCTTTTGGTTAAAGCTATAGTCCATCATTTGCAGCCATCCAAAAAGTAACTGGCGTAACTTTTGTTGAAAAACATACTCGGTTGAAAGATAGTAAGTGGACTAAACTCCCTGTGAAATTATTCTTTCTGGCAAGCTGTCATTTTGAAGTAATCAACGAAAGAAGGCCTTTCCAACGGTGCGTCTGAAGACGCTGCGCACCGTAGGAAATTTAAATAAGTAGTTCGTTTTGTTATTCGGCGAAGCGCGCGCAAGCATTGGCCCGATGCACACGCGCGCGGTTGCTATAATTCGTCGGATCAGTGCGCGACATCGCATGTAGCTGCAATTCAAAACAATTCAAAACATGATTTAGCAACTTTTGATTTGAAATGGAGATCCTAGAATGCTGTTTTTCTCGGAATATACAGCTGAAGCTGAGCTGAAACTTCATCAGGTTAGTTGTTCAGTACCCTTCATTAGATTTTGAGCACTTTTGTTGCTTCAAACAAACAAAATGCACAAATTACAAATAACGGACTATATCTTTAAATAATCTGTATTTGTTTTATGATGCTCCCTCTCTGGCTGACAAATTCAGCTACATTGTACGCCAGCACAGCAGTCAAAATCAATCAAGTGGCTGTTTTTAACAGTCAGGAATTCCCCTGTTAATTCGATATACCCATACTCTGACTGGAGGTGATTGATATGCCAGCTGTACCTACCAGTTAGCCCTTTTGTCGGTTGATGGAATTTGACTAGTCACAGTGTTTACATGATTGTGATCTGACTGGTTTTGTTTTACTAGTCTGTGTACAAATGCATGGCAGGGGAAGTGCAAGAAATGTTTTGACTGTCTGTGACTGATCAAACGGTGGGAGGGTTATGATTGATTCACAATAATGTGCACCACTAAGACAGTGCACCACGGTCATAAAATAATGCTACTTTACTTTATTGGTTGACAACATGGAGACACTGCTGAAATGAAACTTGTGTAAAAGGAAAATCATTTTGTGCATGGAATAGCACTTCACACACACAAAAGTTGCCCCTATCTTCTGTATTAAACCAACTTTACAAATTACTCAGTAACTTTTCAGACAATGAAAAAGAAAGGTTTCGAATGTCAGTACGTAAACTTCAGAATGAAAACCAGGCTACATGGAAAAACAAAACAGACTTCACATTAACACCTATGTCTGTTTTACATACTTAGAGTGGACATTCCTTTTTTTTTGTGTAGTTAAGAAAAACCAGTGACAAAAATAATTTTACTCAAACTGTGAAAACTCTTTCAACCCACATGTTTTTTTCTATGATTCCATTTAGCGTTTCTCTTCATTTTGCCATGGATAAACCTAACCCCAAAATGCCTCTAAACCTGTTTTCCAGAAAGGGGGGAAACCTTGTGTGGACATGGGCAAGTCCACACAACGTCGCTGCTACCTGGTTTATGTGGACATCTTTTGTTCGGAAGTCCACACAGTGAATGTTATGCGTTTTGCGCAAGCTGCAGTTTTCACCATACATGCCATACCTGTAATTGTATAAAGCTCATTGTACACACATGTATCTTGCTGCATTGATGCACCGGAGTGGTACAATGCACATGTAGTATTCTCGCGCCTTTATGTACAATCTGAACAGCAACTTCCAATATTTGGTTGGGATTCTTTAACGGATACCCGGCTACCCTTTTTTTTTAACCGGGCACCCGGTTCTCATACTACCCGAAAATGCACACCCCTACTACAATTAGTGGATCATTGCATTGTGAACATGGTGAATTTCTCCTGTGTTGGTTTGTGTTTTCTGGATTCACTGTTGGATGATGATATCCTGATGATAATGTAAATGATGACGTAATCATGATATCTATGTTCCATATGTTATTGCTAATTCATAAATACCTCAAACAGTTTAGCCATTCCTATTGGTTGAGAGCCTGTCACGTGGCCGGTCTTAAACGGATGATAAAGACATGGCTAGCTGGTCTTAAACACTTTTCCAGTGTCACATAAAATGTGGACTCCTAAAAATCCAGTGCCTCTGGTTGAACGTTCACAGTCCTCATGTAGGCATGCGCAACACTACCAGTGAGTCAGAATTGTATAGTTCGGGTAATTATCAGCACCCAGACTCTAAGCGGTCTTAAACAGAGTGATTTAAACCTCTCAAGCACACATTTATTCCCTTATTAAATGTTTAATAAATTCTCAAACCTGTTATGTGTTTTTGTGATTTGTAGGGAAAAAGTTGTATCCTTTCTGAGTAATCCCTGTTTGCTATTTCGCAAGTTTGCAGCATTGCTAATGTTGCTAGCATCGTGACTTTTACCTTGATCCCTGCATGGCATGTGGGTTTATGGCTTCTGACTAGCACCCCTTGATCAAAGACATTGACAACGCAGGGCTGGATAGCTCAGTGGGTAGAGCACCGGAACAGTAATCCGGAGGTCGCAGGTTCAAACCCCGCTCCAGTCAACCTCTTTGCTCAGCTTTGTAAAAATTGCTGACACATAGTTGCTAATTTCTTCATAAAATGCTCCGGATAATTAACAGTAATGTCCTTTTTGTTGAATTTTGCAGGGCAGTTGGCAATAAGATGTATGGTGTTCAGTACAGAGACCAGATATCGGAGTGTGTACGCCATGCAGCTGAGCAGTGTGACTGCTTACAGTGTTTCTTCATAACTCACTCCATGGGTGGAGGTAAGACACGGAGATCGCACTGAACCTAAAATGTGGTCTGACTGTATTTATGGCATATAGTGAATGATGATAATGACCTTCACATTAGTAGAGGGCAAACCCATTGATTGAAACAACATTAATAAATACCTTGGAGAGTTGATGGTTTCTGATTGGTCGAGACTCGATCACGTGGCCGGGCATTAACGGTGATAATGGACCGGCTTCAAAGATCAAGCGAATAAATGGCCCCTGAACCAGCATTGATCTAGCCCCGTTCAGCCCCATGCAAGCCAATGATTGGTCAAAATATAGTAACAGTCCTGCGGTAGCTTTTAATAATTGAGCACTGCACATGCGCTCAACCCCCATCGCGTGAGACTGATGCACGCGTACGCAACACAGTTGCTAGGGATGCGTGCGTGCGCGCGCGTACAGAAGTTTTGAAACGACATCGTACAGCAGTGCAGTATATACTGAGGATGTTTTTGACGAAAGCGTAGATCTACGATTTATTTTCTTTGAACACTTCACCCACCGACATATTTACCTTTTCTAAACCAAGCATCTTTGTAATTCCGGACACAAGGAATGTGTAAACGAGATTTCAGCTTCCTCCATCAGGTAAAGATATGAAAACATTGTTGTAATTTGTTTCGCTACGGCAGCAGTTTCTGTTGAGTTTACGTCGTTATAGCTGTTAAGCTAAAATATGGCCCATGAACATGAACACAAAAAAGTCTGGAAATATCGCCGAAAGAAAGTCACAAAATTGGAGCATTTTAACTGTTTATTTCGTTATAAAGGTATTTATTAATGGGAATAACAGTGTGAGGATCCGGTCTTCACTGCATGATAATGACCGGGTGTGGGGGTGACCGCTGTTAATGGAACTCGACTTCGTCTCGGTCCATTAACAGCGGTCACCCCCACACTCGGTCATTATCACGCAGTGAAGACCGGCTCCTCACACTGTTATTCCCTTATTAGATGCATACTGGAATTTCAAGAATTTTTTTAGATTGCCATTGTTATAGGACTCGAGTCCAGGACTTGGACTCGAGTCCATGTCAAGTTGCAATTTTAGTGACACAGACTCATCTCGAGTCACATTGGCAAAAGACTCCGACTCAAGACTTAACCTCCACCATCATGAGTTGGACTTGACGCTGATGACTTGACTTGACGCTGACTGGATGCAACTCACATATTGTTTTTACCAAAAAAAATTCTTTTATAAACATAATTCCAACGTTTATATTCAGAAAGTAACTTTAAATCAACTTAAAAATACCATTATTGTATGCACCCCTCCCTATTTCCCATGACAGCACATCACTTACAAATCGCTTACATTTTATGTGTGTCTATGCACATCCATTTTGTTCAAGGCAAAGGGATACACATTGAATCAAATGACACATGACTCAGACTCAGAGTCCATCCAAGTGAATTGAGACTCGGATCCAAGTGATTTAAAGGGAATGTACAACATTTGCTTTTGCTGGAATTTTCAGAAACAAATGGATTTGGAGGATTAGTATGTTGGAGAAAATATTGTTAAACTAACTTGTTTCACGTTTTGGCTTGTAGATGCTGGAAAAACCAAGAAAACCTATCATGTTCTTGTAGTCTGGCTCCCTGACCCCACTTAAGATGAAACGGAGCATTTAATTTACTTTGGGGAATTGTAAGGTCAGAGAATCAGTCTAGCAGGCTTGTACCCCTAGGTGTGTAATCAATTGCAAAGAAAAGTCAGAATAACTAAATATGAACAATTAGGAACAGTTGTTGGAAAAATGCCGGTTTTCTCCAACGCTGGTCGGCCGACCAGCATTGGAAAAATACAGGTTTTCTTCAAAATGTCAGCACACCAGGAGCCACGATTTTAAAGGATGCTTTAGAATGTCAGTCTCTAACAATTCGGTAAGGTATTTCGTGATAATTTGATCATTTCGTTTTTTGATGTTTGCAAATGTTGTATCTTCCCTTTAAGACATGTACCCGGACTTTCTTTTATAAAGATCATATCACTTAAATGCCGTACTTTCTTTGAAATATTCATATCACGTATATTAGGTACTTTATTGAAGAAAAAAGCAGACCCCAGAGTATTCTTCCCAGAACAAAACAAATCTGAATTGAACAATACATGTATATTGAAATTCCCTTTTTCTTTATTCTGTTTAGGCACAGGATCTGGTGTGGGTACATCAATTCTGAAATTACTCCAAGACGAATATCCTGATGTGTATAGGTAATGAACTGATTTGTATACCTCATACATATTCATGATCTAGTATCCAAGTTTCATTGGCCACATAATTGCTGATGCTAAGTGCTAACGGAGCATCTCCAGAGCTGCTTGATAAAACGTTCCAGAAAAGCCACAGTCTTTTGTAATATTGGAACAGATTCCTCTGATGAACACCCATTGATGCAATGTTGGCAGTTTCTGACTACCTCAGGCCAAATTAAGAAAATTAATATCGTGCTATAATTTCCTTAGTATTTTCTTATTTGCCCAATATTTTGTCAACTGAAATGTCACTTATGCTCATTATAAACTCCAATAATCAAACATCTCTGCTGAAAACATCGCAGTTGGGTTTGAAATGGATGTTGTGGAGGTTTACAATTTTTTATGGAATTTTCACTGTAGGTTTGTCACACCAGTGTACCCTTCAGTTGACGATGACGTCATCACGTCACCCTACAATAGCGTACTAGCCATGCAGCAGCTCACAGAGTATGCTGATTGTGTGCTACCTGTGGAAAACCAGGTCAGTTTAGGTGGAATAGTAGTGTAAGTCGCAGTACAAGAACGCTGCTACACAATGATCTGTACATGAACAGTGCAAATGCTGAGTTGGACTTGCATGATTGAATCAAGTTTTCCTGTTTCCGTTAGGCCAAAAAAAAAAATAAGTCAGCGCGCGCGTCGATTTTAATCATGCGCGTCAATCTTTTTTTTTCCAAAATGTTCCGCGGTAGCTCCAACAGCGCCCTCTATTGCCGCACCTCCTCAATTTTGTTTTACCAAAGAGCACCAAGGAATGGGAAATTGCACCAAGGCAAATGATCGAGAGCACCAAGGCAAATTATGGAGGACACCAATGTACATGAGGACACCAAAAAAGCAAAATAGTGCCCACCTTGTCTGCACAATCCAAGCTTGAAAAAAAAAAAAAAAAGCCGCGTCAATTCCGGAACTTTGGTCTGACCAGAGACCGAATTTTTTTTTTTTTTTTGGCCTTAAAGGTATACATTAATCTGAAGATTGCCGAAATGTCGCACCTTGAATTGTTTACTGACCATTTTTTTCAAGTGTCTAGTCACGAGGAATCTATAATGTCTTACACTTTAAAACAGAGCAAATGTTGGAAACTTTCTCTTTTTTTTTTTTTTTTGGCTGTGCCTATAGCTGTCTATCAAATGTGATGCGATCAAGCTAAGCGAGTCATTTGTCGACCCTGGTCAATTATTTTCTTTTTGCAGATTTGAAAAGAGCACAATCTCAGCATTACTGCTGTGAAAACTGCATGCTGGTACCATCTTTAGTTCAAAAATTATGGAAGTCTGAACACCAAGAGATGTGATGAAGTGATGTGGTGAAGCGGCCCTATTTTGGCCTGTATCTCCAAATGAAAATTCCCGACAAACGACTCATTTAGCTTGATCGCATCACAAATTCTGAGCCAAAGGACTCATTGTCGGACAAGCACTGCGTGTAATGCATATCTAGCATCAGTTCACTGTTGGAAATCGAGTCCCACCATAGTGACATCATGTGTGTTTGAAACATTTCAAAGAGAAATATGTGACATGAATACAAACATGACACTCCAACAGCTTTATGTAAAATTTTGTATCCTGAGGAAATAACATTTTTCTCAAATGACAGGTTTCTCTCAAATGACGTCACTTCCTACAGATTGCCTCGGCATCGGCATTTTGGGCGTCAAATGTTCGTGGCGCGCATCGGCTGCAACATATTTCCAAAAAATTTCAAGCAACACAAGTTGGTGTTTAGAACATTTGGCACACAGAGATGAAACTTTTCCGATTTTAATCGGAAATCCGACTTTTTGAATTTCCCAACGAAATTTCCGATTTTCTTACAATGTGTCCCACAAAATTTGATTTTATAACTATTTGTTCACAACATGTCATTTTATTTCAATCATGATGTCGAAGAAAAGTCGATGAAAAGTCGATGGAAATGGCACGTTGAAATCATCGCGAACGTAGTTTTAATCGATGTTTCACCAGTCGTTATTGGAGTGTTTCAACGGTAAAAACACAGGCCATCACACTGATCGGAGCCTTTTCCGGCTGGACAAAAGGTTAAACATTGACAGGTGACATGGAAAAAATCACTGTGTCGCACGTGCGTGCATCTATGTACAAAGATGATATGCAATGGTACCAGCGTACGTACCACACTGTACCGTCCGCTAGCACATGACCGGTCGGGAACGGGTAGCCTCGTGAACGATCCAGTGGATAAAATCATTATGTTGTGCGATTTTCGGAGGTTTCAGATTTAGTTGTACAAAATGCAATGCTTTAAAAATCATGATGATTATCTCGAGGATAATGAAGAGAGCATTAGCGAAACATTTCACTGGCATTTGTTGGAAGAGAAAGACGATAATGCCTGATTTTCCCCACGTACAAATGCAAGTGGAGTAGTGTAGTTTGTTCAGCCATTTTCCTATGAAGATGGCGTCTTATGAGAGAGATCTATATTCTACTTTTTAATAATCTTTCCAGCTATTATTGTTTTGTGGGAAATGCATTGTAGAGCCCGAACCTGTTTTCTTAAATTTACATTCAACTCTACATTTTCAAGGCTCTTTCAGATATCTGTGAGAAAATCAACCAGGCGCTGCCGCCAGAAAAAACAGGAAAGAAAACCTATGGAGCAACAGGGCAGGCAAAGGCCGGCACTACCATCTCAGGATCAGGGAAACAAGGAGGCAAAGAGAAACCGTTTGATCAAATGAATAACATCGTGGCCAACCTGCTGCTCAATCTAACATCGTAAGTAATCAGTTTTATCTTTCAATATGAGAGATTCACAATAAAGGAAAGCTGCCATTGGAGGTGCAATTCACACTTCACCCACAATTAAATCATTAGCATAAGTAAGGGGGCATATGCTCCTCATACCCCCCCCCCCCTTATTGCCCCAAATTCTCCCCCCCTAAAAAAAATAATTAAACCAAATCAATGCCAGTGCCACCGCCCCCCAACAGCCCATGAGTTCAACATGACACGAGAGTTAAAATTTATTTGGACATGTTGCCAAATAATATTCACATAACCCTTTCATTACCACATTGTTTATTGACTTGGCTCTCCCCATGACCAAATTGTTTGCTCAGTCATGCGGAAATCACTAGAGCGTGAAACACACGACCACAAGTCCAAAACTCACTGTTTTCAACCCAGATTTTCACTACCAAGGAGTGATTTAAATCATAGGTGTTGTGTGTAAAGTTTGTTCCTTGGACCTTACTTTTTTATGTGATGTAGAAATGAAGTCCATACGTGCAAATATAAGAAAGTTATGCCTTTTTCTTCATTTGGTCCCATTTGTCAAACTGCAAGCCATTTCTCCACATGACCAAATGGCACTCCATACCTCAATTTGTGGGTGGATACTTCTGAAGCACTTTTCTCATTTTTTTGTAATGGTAACTATGAATAAACTACACCATTAGAACGATCCAAAAACTCTCTTTCAGCTAGTATATGGTTGATGTATGGGCGGCCAAACATATCAGCATGCCGACTTTCTGAAAAGTAGTAAATAATCTGTGTTGAGGGTGTTCGGTGTGTGGTTTCCTGGTCGACTAAAGTCGCCCATGGGAATCAGCAGGGGGGTAGTTCTTGTCGACAAAAGTCGCCCATGGTAAGGAAAGGGTTAATTGGTGACCAGGACTAACAATCGGAAAGTTTTTAATTTGCTTTTATGTATGCATTTAAAGGGTTTTTTTTGTTGGAATCACATTTCTGTGATAATTGATGTGCCTTCTGAACCCATTAAACCTAATCATGCCAGACTCAACACAGTGCATTAGGTGGAAAAGTCTGGTGCACTTTGATGCATTCAGCCACCGACACCAGTGCATAAACGGCCGCTTCTGAGACAATGACAGCTGTAAGTCCCATAGAGCAATGCCTCAGTTGTATCCTGCTGCGTGCGGTGACCTCAGACTCTGAGGAAGTTTGGCCTTGAAACTTTTTGCCTGAAGGATCTTGCTACTCTGGGCAGGCTTGTCACTTAGGGAGCGTCTCATAAGTCGGAACGCTCGGGACGTTCTCATTGGAACGGCGTGTTCCCGGACTGGAAGGCTCTGGCCTTCCATTGGGAACGGGGGACCGTTCCATTGGAATGGCACAATCCCTTTGCGAGAACGGTCCAACGGAACGGCCGGGAATACACGTTCTATTGCATGTTCCAGGGGAACGCTCCCAGCATATCACGTATACGATGGCCCAGTTTACACGTAGAATATTTGCCCATATTGCGTCAGGAAAAATGGCGTCCCGATCTCCGGGCCCCGGCAACCCGTGCGTCACTGAACGGTAGGCTTTTCTTGTTTTTGAGGATATATATGTAATATTTGGGCGTGACTGTGAAATTCCTATGAAGGTTTGGGTAAATAGTTCAAGACAAGTTACGAGTGAACGTTGATGGAATCCTGGTAATCAGATGTAATTGTAGTTTCTGTAGTGAAATTTCAGTAGCCCCGACCTCACATTACATGCAATCGCTACGGTGATTGTGTACTCACGTTAAATTATGTTGGTGCAAGAACAATAGTTTTAATACCTGTACCATTTTATACTTTTACTAACTAAAAATAGAAACCGATAAAAGCGGAGCTTACCATTGACGATGCACACCTTGTCAGAAAATCTAGCGTTTGAATAAACACTGACTCCGAGTCCTGCAGTTACGCAAAGATGTACGTACGTATACCAGACCGCGAATCCCCGGCCGTGCAGCGTTCCGCCGGGAACACGGTGTTCCCTCCCCGTTCTAGCTGGACCGCAGCTCGGTGCGTTCCATTCAATGTGCGGAACGCATTGGGAACACGGCACGTTCCCGTTGGAATGCCTGGCGTTCCGACGGAAGGTTCCACTGGACCGCGAACGCTCCCGACTTATGAGACACTCCCTCACACAAATGCTTACTGTTGCTGCGTTTGGCAGGGTTTCTAGCCAACATAACCTGGAGGGTTAGCTTTAATGTGTGTGTGGTATTGCATGTTAACAATGAAAGATGGTTACCTGTAGCACAATATAATGCAGGAATTTGAATGTAAATTCGGAAGTGACCTCGAAGGCAAACCTTCAGCAGTGCACTGTATCATGAATTCCTCCAGTTGTTTCACCATACTACGCTGCTCAAAACACTACTTGTATCTTGATAGTAAGATAGTTGGCAGTTCCAACAATTCTTTTAAAGCCCGAGTCCATCATTTGCAGCTATCCAAACAAGTAACTGGCTTAAGTTGAAAAACATACTGGTTGAAAGATAGTAAGGGGACTAAACTCCCTGTGAAATCATTCTTTCTGGCAAGCTCTCATTTTGAAGAAATCAACGAAAGAAGGCATTTTAACGGTGCGTCTTAAGAAGCACCGTAGGAAAATTTAAATTAGTAATTCGTTTTGTTATTCGGCGCAGCGCGCACAAGCATTGGAACGACGCACAGGCGCACGCTGTTGCTTTAATTCGTCAGATCAGTGCGCGACATCGCGTAAAGCTGCAATTCAAAACAATTCGAAATATGATTTAGCAACTTTTGATTTGAAATTGAGATCCTAGAATGCTGTCTTTCTCGGAATATAAAGCTGAAGCTGAGCTGAAACTTCATCAAGTAAGTTGTTCAGTATCCTTCATTAGATTTTGAACACTTTTGTTGCTTCAAACGAACAAAATGCACTAATTACAAATGATGGACTATATCTTTAAACAGTTCCTACGTGTATCAATCAGATCCTAAAACCGTTTAATCGCTAAACATGAAACGATAGTAAGACTGTAAGATGGAAACATTGATTTTTCTCCTGACAGGTCATCAAGATTTGAGGGTAGCCTGAACATAGATTTGAATGAGATCAGCACCAATCTGGTTCCCTTTCCCAAGATACACTACCTACTTGCTAGTCAGACACCTCTCTACTCACTCCTAGACCTCAATCTTCCACCAAGAAGGTAACAGCAACAGTAGCTACAATGAGTTGCTCTCCCTGCACTACTTTTGAGTTTCACCCCAACAACTTTTAAATTGGTCTTTTTCTAACATACAAAAGTTATTCACTTTTGAATGAGAAATCAAACGAAAAATCCTCTCATTTTATATGGATTGATTGTCAAATTTAGAACAGGTGGATTTTTTGTGCATTATTATGCAAATGGAAAATTGGTTAGGAGACAAACATCAGAGAGGGAGAGCAACACAGGGAAGGCAATGGTATTGACCTATTGCCTTTTGCGAGATAGCCACGCCCCTTAGACAACCCTATGGAATTTTGTATGTTAAGTTTTGTTTGTCTCAGATTTTGTGCATTCCGCGCCCATTCGTATATCATATAATTGGACGGTGTTGACCTGATTCTACTGCGATAGGTTAAGTGTAGTTCAATCTTCAATCGATTTTTATTTGAACATGATGAAGGGAAAGTCTTTGTTACTCTGTGATACGCACAAGTAGACACTTTGTTCTTTTATTGCCACTGAATTTAAAAAACAAATTTACCCTCAATGAGGAAACACTGTGTAAGGAGTCTTTAAGGAATAATGGTGTGTCCTTGAGCAAGACACTTTGCAATGATTGCTCCTTTATCTGAACACAAGGGGTGTCAAATTCTTCTTAAGATCTGTGGTTTATTGCAGCCTTTTCCATTACATCTCTTAAATTAAACACTATGTAAATATTATCATTAAATAAAACTGTAAGCTGTTATATGCCTCGAAATGACCTGACTAAAAAAAAGAAAGTTGAGATCAGTTATCAGAAAGTGAAAAAAAATCACTTCGTGTTTATGTTTCAGGTTGGACCAGATGTTCACGGATGCTTTTTCTAGAGACTACCAGCTGATAAAGGCAGATCCTAAGAACTCCATGTACCTTGCCTGTGCTCTCATGTGCAGAGGGAACGTCCACATCTCAGACATCAGGAGAAATATTGATAGGTCAGCACTACATGATTTCAGGAAACATATTGAAATCAGTTCAAACACCACTTGAATGCAATGTGCTGTAAATGTATTGCCATTGCCCAGTAAAAGTTCAACTCGCCACAAATGCCCAAAGTTAAACTTTCATTATGAAGGGGGATGAGCAAGCACAAGAGTGTTGATTTTCTAAAGAATAAAATTGTCTGAATGATAAAATAATGTCATGAATGTGGTGTGGTGCTTATGTAGCATTTTTCTACCTAAAGTTTCAACGCACTTCACAATAATTGTCCCTGTTTATCAGGCCATCGGACCGTTTTTCTGCAGCAGCTCGAGATTTGCGTAATCTGGTCTTGACCTTCACAGGTACTCCATATATAAACCTGGTTGGAGAGAGGCAATTGTAGCAAAGTGTCTTGCCCAAGAACACAAGCACCATGTTTGCCATCAGGGTTCGAACCCACGTACCACGGCACATGAGTCAAACACTGTAACCATTGGAGCACAGCAGTTAAAGTTTTGGGTCAATAAAGGTGGGCCCAGAACTGTATACCCTAACAACCATGACTTGGGGGGGGGGGGGCCTGTGATTGTTGTACCTGAGTGTATGGTTGTACAGAGTTGACCTCTGAGTGACGTCACGACTATTCTAGCGAATACATGTACTGATCTTTGTCTTCAATGATTCATTTGCCCGCAAGGTTGCGTCCATCTCTGAATTTCATATATTGGAATACGGACGGCTGGAAGACTGGTTTGTGTTCGGTTCCTCCAGTGGGGCAGCCTTACTCTCTCTTAGCTGTGGCTAACAATACGTGTGTGAGACACACATTCAGTGACCTGAGAGACCGATTCAATCGACTCTACAAGAGAAAGGTAGACAGTACTTCAAGTGTTGTAGTCCAATCACAATTCACATCAAATTATAGGCCGTCTCAATTCATATCCGGGATGAGTGAGTCAAGCAACTACTTGACTAACCAACACTGATAACTTCATTGGGCATGTTGGGGGAAAATTGCAGGGAAGTTGTTCAGAAGCCTGCATTTTTTTTCCCCAAATACAGTGTCCGGAAATTGTCCCGAACTCGTCACAGATATGAATTGACACAGGCCCTGGCTTAACTTGCAACTCAAGACTGACAACTTGTGATTGACTTCTAAGAACTATCTATCTATGGACCTGTAAAAAAATGTTCACAATGTGTCAAGTTGTGTTTGCATACCCTGTCCGCAGTTTGTGTAACTATAAATTAAAAGTAAACTACCAAAAACAGGTATTATACAGGCATGCAACATTCCAGCTGATAAGGACATTTTTTGGTAGTTAGTTTTGTTTTACTTTTTTAAAGTGTGAAAGAAAACTGAAAAACACTACAAAAGTTGTGTGTGATTGGCAATTTTCTCTTGTTTCAACTTCAAAGTTGCATGCTGGAAGCCTGGAACAGCCATTAAAAACCCCGAGCTGGGAGAGCATTGACCTAAAATGCCTGCACCCGATTTCATCCAACTCTTTGTAACTTACGATGCATCGCAGCGATGCGACACGTATCTCTACGATCAGCGCGGCTGCGACGCGTCCTGCGATCCATTTCACAAAACACGTCGTAAGTGCGACTCGTCGTAGGTGTATTTATAGCACAACTCGGTGACTGTTTTATGCATAGAGTCAGTGTACAGTAAATAGTCATGTGATATTCAACAAAGAGTCGTCGGATCTTAGCTCGAAATTTGTTGAAACGTAAAACAAAATGGTGGCCGTGTGATGCAATTTTGAAGGAAAACAACCTCTCAGTGGACTGTATAGCTGCTTTGAAATTTCAACTGCAATATTCCAGTCTAATTCATAATTATTCAATTAATTTTCTATTTACAACTTTACACACATTGCCTTGGTATTATTATCTCGTTTTTGTCATGTTTATGGCACTAAACTGGCTTAGAAAGGGACTCTTTGTATTTTGCGATGACCACTAGTCACGTCGTAGCTTGCGACGTGTTTTAAGCCGTTGTAAAGGAACTTACGACGCGTTTAACACATCGCAACTTTCGTGAAATGGATGATACGACTTGTCGCAGCGCTTCGTGAAATCGGGTGCTGGTTCATTTGAAACGTTACTTTGTTCTTTAGTGTATAGGACATATTGAATAGCAATTCAACATTTGAACAACAAAAATTAGGGTTGGTGGGTGGGTCAAAACAATTTCGGAAAAAAAAAATCGAAATTTCAAAACACTGAACATTTTGAATGGAACCAGAGTCATAGCTTACCACTATTGACATAATGACTGAGGCAGTTGCTGCACCCATGCTGTTCAGCACATTTTTATTTCCTCAAATAGTTTTATCTCAATGAAGGTTTGTATAGATGGAAAAGAACTGTATATTTATTTTTTTTTACATCTTCCAACCTCTCAAACTATTCCATTTCAAGTTGCTTTTGTGCCCATAACAAACCAATGATACGCCTGAAATATTGTCAGGCTGCAACTAATTTGAAATGAAGTAATTACTCCAGATCCTAACTGGCCTGATATTTTGGCTCAGTGTCTCATTTTCAAATGAATTACTTTTGTATCGGTAGAAAAATAGCAACTGTAAAAGATGATCTTTTCGGGGGTTGAAACTGGAAAATAGCGTAAGACCATTGGTTGACTAGCATTAGATATGTGAGCTGTTAATGTTTTACTTTTCAAGTAGAAAAAGTTGTCAATTGATGGTCAAAGTTTAACACGAAACGTCTCAGTCCCATCTCCCATGTTGCTCTTACAATACGCACAGCTGTAGTAACTAGTCCCAAATAGTGGACTAGACTTGTCAAACAATAGCCAATGAGCACTTGTGAAGTTATGAGTTATCCATGTTATTTTAACCGTAGGTTGCTCGCAAAGTTGTGCTGTGTTTAGGTTCGTGTGTTTATTGAATGGTGCACAGAAAGCATTGAAAATGAAAATGATGGTCGCATTAATGTGTGAGTACATGTACATTGCAAGAACCCTTGATGTGCAATTATTTACCACAGTAGCAGGGCATTCACTTTGTTTCATTATATATCTTTCTCAAGGCTCACCTACATCACTATACCAACGTGGAAGGCATGGATATGACAATGTTCTCAGAGAGCTTAGAATCACTGACATCACTGATCAGCGAATATCAACAACTAGAGAAGGCTAAGCCAGCAAGTATTCCAAGATTACAGATTGCTGTATGAGTTGAGAATTAAACGGGTAAAGAACAAGGAGTTGATCTGCTAAGGAAACCAGGATTGCTGATTGCTGTATGACTTGTGCATTGCATCCAGAAAGCTGCAGTCGAGTACATTTATCTGAGTACAAAGTACTGCCAAGGACCACTCGCATCCGAGTCCTGTGACCCCTAAGAATGAGTTCAGGTACCCCAGTCCAAGTACCTGGACCTTCAAGTGCCGAGTCCGAGTTCTTTGGCAAGTACAAGTACTTTATGGAGTACTAAAAATTACAAAACCAATTAAAATCTCAAGTAATAATTCACACAAGTCCTTATAATCAAGTACGGGTACCTTGATGAGTGAGTATGGTATCGAATATTCAAGTCCAAGTACTTTGAGTTCTGTGAATGCGAGTGCCAATTATTTTGATATTTGAGTGCAAATACAAGTATTCTCAATTAGTACTCGAGTATGAGTGTTGAGTACGTGTACTACAACACAGGAAAGCTGATTTGCCAAGTACAGTCGAGTCTCGTTATAACAAACTCGTTCGGACCTAGCCAAATTGTTTGTTGTATCAGAATTTTGTATTAAGAGGAACATCAGTCCCATTTATTGTGCACATAAATGCTCAGTCGGGACCAAGGCTTTATGTTTGTTATAACTAAAATTTTGTATTAACAGAGTTTGTACTAACGAGAGTCGACTGTACATGTTTGTTTTTCAAGATTGCTGTAGGCTCCAAGTAGTGTGTTTTGTTGCTTGCCAACACCCTAGAGCAGCAGATCCAAAGATTGAAGGTTAGGCCAAAAAAAAAAAGTCTCCGGTTTCTGGTATGCGCGCGCGTCGCTGTAGCCATGCGCGTCGGCAAAATGAGAAAGTTTTTTTTCAATGAAAGATGATGTCTCAAAACCGCCAAACTCACTGGTTTGACTGGAATCCTGCTGCTGCATAATTTTAACGTGTTTTTAGATTGGGGTATGGTCGAGAATAAGCTTTATGTGGCCTATCTGGACTGCCATATATTTGCACTAAGTTTAGTCAGGCACCATTTGCAGTCATCAGCACACATATGAAGCAAAAAAATCAGTTTAAAAAAAAAAAAAAGCCGCACCACTTTTTGGGCAAGCTCCATACCAGAAACCGGAGACTTTTTTTTGGGCCTTAATTGCAGATCATTATCAAAAGTGGTATAGTTGGCAAACATCAACAAGTGCTGCATGCTGACGGAGTACTAGCAGATGTCATCTTGGATGCGTACTATGTTCAACCAAAATGGGCTTGGATCTCACTAAGACCCTCCATCGTCTGATTTCATGAAGCGAGAGATGGAAACTGAATTCAGGACATTTTACACGTATTCAAAAGTACTTTTCATTCATTTCAACCTGCTGCATCAGAGTCATCCTATATTAGGGGATGAAATTTTCCTGAATTAACCCTAACTCCCTAGGGGGTGTGTAAAATTGTATTGAAATTGGAGGATTCAGGACTGTTAGGGCTATGGTACTAAATCAACAGAAACCTCGACTGGTGTTTTTTTTTTTTTTTTTTTATTATGGGAAAGAATGTAGTATCCAGACGCCTCTTCAACATTTGTGTACAAAGTCTATTGAGAGTCAAGAAAATTTTCTTAGTATTTCCTTACAAACTTGGAAATGTTTCTCAGTCCCAGATTCATGTCTTTTCAACATTTTTGCAATGACTGACCTTTATTGAGATGATATACATGTATGAAGGAAAAAAGTGGCGTCAGGATGCAACATTCTTTCCTTTTTATGGACTCTATGCTCAAGTACCCCCAACAAATGGTTACAAAGGGAGAGTTTGAGGGGGACCACTAGGGGGAACCAAAGGGGTCATGCCATAAATTTGGGGTGGAATGTTTTTTACGTATCCCTGTTGCATCTGATACAAGATTCTGTATATTCAAGACACATTCTTGAATGTCTTCTATCTCCACGAGTGATTATGTACTAAAAGCAAAGTGCCTGCCAAACAAAGAGTTTGAAATAAATTGTAATATTTGGTGTAACAGGGACACAATTTCACACTTTTGGACTCCATATTTATATAATGACCCATATGTATGAGTGCAGATGTGCACATTTAGAATATAAGAAGTTGTGAATAAAGTGCCATACACGCACATAACAGCATGTGTGTGTGGGATGTGTCCCTTCCACTAAGGTTATCAAAAGTCAAGGTTCTACATGAACAAATGTGACCTGTTCTGTCAAATGCAGACGCTTCTGGGCAGAAATTGAGATAGGGCCAAAAAACGCCGTGGGGCTGATTTTTATCGATTTTCAAATTTTTGCATATTTGCAATCTTGTACATGTCTAAAATACAATAAAAGTTTGAAACCCTAATTTGAACTCTACATATACATAAACTATTTTTGATGATTTGTTAAGGTATATCAGTTAAAGAAATTACTGTTTTGTGACGTTCGTGGCCATTTTCTCCATTTTCTACTTTTCGACACAATGAACTTCAAAATAGCATAACTCTGCACATGAATGACCGGTTTCAAAAAATAAACCACCTATTAAAAGAAAAAAGAACACATTTTAACCTTATGCCCAGAAACGTCTGACTTTGACAGAACAGGTCACAAATGTATATGGTTTAACCAGTCCTATGTCAGTGATAGTCGGGTTTCTAATGCAAAGTGGGAAAACATGGAATGAAAATTGTCCTGAAGGGTTTATTTGAATTACGCAGAATCTTGTTGAAAGTGAGCATTGTTAGGGCCAATGCAGCTACAGCAGTGTCTATGAAGACAACCATTCTCCTTGTACCATTAGAATCTTATGAAATGTGTGTGTGAAGAATGTATTCTTTGTACTTAAACAAAAGTTATAAATTTGTATGCAACTAGAGGAATAAAGTCACTCTTTGACACAAATTGTAATCTATCCCTCAACGTTTTATTTCTGTACAGAAAAGCACTGGGTTAACATTTGCAAATTCAGGGAAAAAACAGAATGGTTTTCATGATGAGCTGAACTTTTTTTTTCAGTTGTGAAAAATCAAAACTTAATACGAGAGGGAGAGACATTCGCCTTGATCTCTGCAAAAGTCAGACAATCCCGTAGCTTTGATGGCGAGTGAGCAAAACTGATGATATAATAGATTACACACATCAGTCACGTGTTGCAAGATGGTATCCCCTTGTCCCATGGTCTGGCACCCTGACTCCCATTTATGCTTCTCCTGAAGGCATGCTGCGGATGATGTCACTGTCACCTGAAGATAAAACAATACAACAGAAATTCTACTTGAGAACCAATTTTTCTGTACTACTCTATTTGTGAAGGTGGTGTTTCACAAGATACAAAGCTACCAACCATGAAAAGAACAGTAAAGTGGAACACCCTTATTACAAGGTCCTTGGAACTTTACAAATTACCTTTTTATAACAGGTACCTTGTATTATCAGTAATGGAAAACAAAGAAAAGCAGAGGCTTTGGACCTAACATTTTGCTTGTTATAAGCAGGATGTTGTATTAACAGTGCTCTTCTTATCGGGGTCCGACCGTACTACTTTTGAAATATTGGGTCTGTTCCAGAAATCTGTTCTTCAAGCGTTCATGACTTGTTTTCTGATTGATTTTCAGATAATTCAGAAGTTGCACTAGTGTAACAATTTTATCTGGTGTTTTTTCCCTTATTTGTTCAATCACTTACAAAATACTTGAAAAAATGTTTCTAAAAAGTGGGTAGTGGGACTTGAGTCCAGGCACTTGCAATGGATCTTAGGCATCACAAGTCCCAAGCCAACTACCAAGCTATTCAAACCAAGTGTGACCATAGAGCAAGGACCCAAGGAGTCAGAACTCTTGGGCGATTTACATTTTGACCATTAACATACCAATCCCTCGGGAATGTCTATAGCTACAGCACTGTGACCGCAAGCCTCGACCATTCAAAGCGTGAATGCCAGCGGCCTTTGAACACGATGATCGTCGCCGCCTTTTTAGTTGGTAACCAACAACCTCCCTATATGCTGCATAATAAGTCATGTCACGTGGCTGCTCTTTTTTGAAAAATATATTCTACGACAAGATAGGTTTTTACAACTGCACAGTTGTTAGATGTGAGTTATGAACTCAAGTTAGCAATGTGCAGTTGTTGGTGCTTAAAAGCGTTATCTGTCCCTGTAATTTGGAGATAAATTGGATTTCTTTCAGATAAGTTTTCATGTATTTTCAGACATTTTAATTGGCAATATATTATTGATGAAATGTTTTTTTTTTGGAAAATTTCACAAGTTTTCACACTAAAGGTACAGAGCATTTTGTTCTTCATGAAATGATTGTTCCAGTGATGTTGACCACATTTATATACAGTATCATCCAACTGCGAACAAACACTTCAAAATCATTCATTTTTAGCGATGTATGACAACTGCGCATGCGTATTTACCATGATACTGTCTACGAAGCCATGCAAACTCCTTTTTCTGGCATTAGTGAGCGCTGATCTCTATTGTGTCGAGATTAGCGTACTGAGCAACTGAGCAAGCTGGCGCCAGGTACTTTCTATTGTAGCTTTCGAGCGCGGTGACCATCATTTTACTTTTGAAGTCTTGGAGTACGAACTCCTTGGGTCCTTGCTCTATGGTGTGACAAAGGCGTTCCTTTGGAACGGTTCATCCCTTGTTACATTGGACTGGACTCGTGAATTCCATTGAGATTTATGCGTAACCGGACTTGTGATATACTTGTGATTCGTTACAAGTATCCTGGGATCAAGTATCTCACCTACAACACTGCGAGGGGAGGACCTTCAGTAGCAAGTGTATCAAACTGCACTTAGGTCCAATTTCGTGGGCCCAATTTAATGTCTCTGCTAACCACAGAATTCCGCGCATATGATCACCATACCATTCTGTGCTTACAGTGGGGCAGAAAAACTTTGTGCTTACCCAGTAAGCACAGAATCCTTAGTTACGGGATGTACGCATGCACATAAGCCAAAATTTCTCACTGATTAAAATACGCTTACCGTAAGCACGAAATTTTCTGCTACAGTAAGCACAGATTTTTTTGCTAACTGTAACAGCGCCATGAAATTGGGCCCTAGTCCGTCACATAAACAGTGTGATATTACTGGCTCACCTGGGTCTGTGATGCAGAGTGTGCACACCCTGAAGTATTTACCGCATGCCGTACCCAGCTCAATGTTGTTACCAGTGTAGTGATGGACACCAGTCTTGGCCAGCATGGCGTAGTATTCAATCTCACTTTTTCTGTTGCGAAATGATTGAATCAGAATGACATCATTGTACAATTCATCCGTCCAATGCTGAAGTCATTGATGGATTTCTTGCCAAAATGAAGGCAGATTCTTGATCTAAGATTTGTCTTGTGTCACTGGTTCATTTTTTATTTAGTTTTTTTCTTGGCAGGCTTTTCTCACATTGTTTTCTGGGGCCCCAAAATAATGATTGAAGTTAACAACTTAAAATTTCAGACAAGGTATGAAAATTGAAGTGTGTTACAGTTGACCTACATGTAACAAAATTCCTCAAATTTTATGTTTTCGGTGTGCAGTGAACGTTTTCCAAACGTGCAAAGAAAATTAGAAAATGACTTTTCTTACAAACATTAGTTCGGATGTGTGAATGGGGAAACAATGGTTTATCAAGTTAATTTTTAAATATAATGTTTTTTTCCAACTGTGCTGCATAACATGCATAAGGAGACCCATGGCCACATGTCGTATTCACCCAGACACAACCACTTTTCTTTTCTTTTTGACCTTCAGACTGACGTTAAATATACATGTATGAAAACTATTCACATGATTCTATTTCAGAGAAAGTTTTATTAACCTTAACTCCCTAGCGTCTTTTACTAGGAACTGGACCAAGTCCATCAAAATCCATCAATCACTGTGCATCCAATACAAAACTGAACATGGCATAATGGAATCCACCACTGACTAACTGGTTGATCAATCGGATACCCCTAGCACTGCTTCAGGCTATTTAGGCCCAAGTCCATCATACTCCATCAATATTTAGTCACGCCAGGCCTTCTGGACCAAGTCCCCCCCCCCCCCCAATCCACCAAAATGGGGGGATCGATTCAATGGGCATAGTTGGCGAGGTTAGGGTTAATTCAATTGTGTTTTCTAATATGGTCTTTCACTTTTATTTTAAAATAAGGCACAATGTCCTTTTAAACCTTTTTTGGTTGTTCTACATTTATGTACAATATACACGTAGCAAGTGTACCTGTACCGGTACATGTACATGTATGTTGCAACCTGTGTACATACATATGTACATGTACGTTGATATATAAATGTATTGCATCTTCTAATAGCAGAACAGATGTCAAGGATGTTATCAGATAGTGACACAACAGCCCACGATCTATTTACACCTGAAAGTGTGGTCAAGTTCAGCGTTACAACAAAGAGTTTCATCAGGTCATCAGCCTGACATGCAAATATGGTTTCACATCATAACAAGACCAACACAGTATTTGAGGGTGTAAGTGCATCATGCTAAACCACTGTAAAATGTCACATTTTGATGGAGCTGGGGTGGTTAGGGTTAACCCTAACCCCCTAGGCCTTTTTGCTAGGATGCATTCTCAGTCCTTCAAATCCTCCAACTCTCTCCATGTAAAAATTGGATTCAGCCTCAGTCCTCAAAAATCATCCACTTTTCTTTGAATATGTTCACTGGAAGGGTTAACCACTGCCCTGATCCTGCAAAATCCTCCAAAGATCACTGCCAATACGTTGAGGCAGTGCAGATGGTATCCTGAATCAGTGCGGATGGGTTCAAGTACATGTTCATCTTGGCCTAAATTTACGCCATGGCAAAGCCTAAACAACACAAGGCACAGCCTAGACCTTGACACGACACATCCTTCAAAATCAACACATTTTTGCCATGTAGCGAAATCCTCCACTTTATGTGCATAGAGGATTTGTGAGGATTTGGGAAGGTTAGGGCCAAGTAAAGACTTCATAAGGCCAAAAAAAAAAAGTCTCCGGTTTCTGGTATGCGCGCGCGTCGCCGTAGCCATGCGCGTCGGCAAAATGAAAAAGTTTTTTATTCAATGAAAGATGATGTCTCAAAACCGCCAAACTCACTGGTTTGACTGGAATTCTGCTGCTGCACAATTTTAACGTGTTTTTAGATGGGGTTATGATCGAGAATAAGCTTTATGTGGCCTCTCTGGACTCCCATATATTTGCACTAAGTTTAGTCGGGCACCATTTGCAGTCATCAGCTGACATTTGAAGCAAAAAAGTCAGGTAAAAAAAAAAAAGCCGCGTCACACTTTGATTACAAGTGTGCTTTCGTATGGGAGCCTGGTCATGCTGGTTGGGACGACGGTTTTGAAGCCTCGTAGAAAAGTGCACAAGTAAACAAAGTGTGACGTCATCAGTACAGAGGCTTATTGGCTCCATATTTTTGTAGAATTACCTGAGTGGTGGTGTGTTGTTGGCTAGGATGACCAGCTTTCCCTTGCCTTGCCTGAGGGCTTTCAGGGTTTGCTTGAAGCCTAGATGATACTTGCCACTCTTCATCACCAGCTGCAGGCGAGAGTTGATACTCTCCATCTGCTTCTTCTGCTCAAAAAGAATGCCAATGTCATTACTTACTAGTACATGTCATTAGCTCATAACTACATTTATGAAGTACATGTACATTGAATTTCGGAACAAACAACCCTGATTCCAAGGTGTGCATACTGTATTACTGTGATGTCATTATATGTCATCAGTTATCAATGAAGTACAATCTTTTCCATTGCTCTAAAGCATTTCGTCGGGTAGCTAGTGGAGTTAGGGGAGTCAGGTTGGCGTAGCGGTACTTTCCTTGCCTTCCACCGCCGCGACCCGGGTTCAATTCCTGGCTGGGCCAATATGCGGATAAGGTTTTCAGTCCCAACCTGATTCCACAGGTTTTCGCCAGAATATTCTATTCTGGGTTTTCCCTCCCACATCTAAAACTGTAATTTCTTCACAGTGTCTTTTCTTTACTGGGCCTTATGGATTCCACTGAATAGACTGCCCAGTTAAAATAATAATAAATAAAATTTACTATTTATAATGCACTCTGGTTGCAGGGGCAGTTCAACATGTTCAATGTAACTGTTAATTGATTCGCGATGGTGTTTTTGCAATGCCTTAACGATAGCAGATGAAAATTGCGTTACAGCTGCCTTATTTATACAATACTCAACAACCACTTTGTTTAATTTTAGGCAGTGTATTTTTAGCTGGCGCCGGCTAAATTCAAGTACACAACATTTTGCCGGCTAAGCACTGAACATTCGCAGTGACTTTTTGGGGGGGGGACTTGGAAATTTTTACATTGACAATTCTTAGTCTGGTTCCACACCAACACTGTTGAGATGGGAATCATCGAGATGGGAATCAGACTATTTTACAGTTCCAGACTTCATTTCCTTTTTAAAAAAAAAAATCCTCCAGAGCCACGAATCACAAAAAGAAAATGTAATACTCTGTAATTGCGGAGTCAATTTAAAATAATGACAGAAAATTATTCTTAATTTAAGTGATGAAAAAAAAATAATCGAAAATGTTGCTCCCATCCAAGTCAAGAATACATGCCCTTATCCACTAGGCAATCAGGTGCTGCACAACGGAGGAGGTGGGTCCTACTAAAGCGCGTCAACAAGCGTCAACAAGCGTCAACAAGCGTCAACAAGCGTCAACAAGCCTCAACGGTCGTCAACGAGCGTCAACAAATTTTGTATAGGCTTTTGAACATTAAAAATAGCTTTATATGGTAGAAAAAGCAATAAAGAACATCTTCTGCATATCAATTAAAGTTAAAATTATTTTAAAACTTGGTTTTTGGAACGCGAAATTTGTCGATAACAGTTGGCCGCCATCTTGTTTATGTGTAGCTAGCTGTACTACGCATGCGTGAAGTGTACAGAGCCATACTACGCATGCGCAAAGTCTACAGCGCCATCCAAACAAGATGGCGGCCAACTTTTATCGACAAATTCGTCGTACATTTCGCGTTCAAAAAACCAAGTTTTAAAATAATTTTAACATTAATTGATATGCAGAAGATGTTCTTTATTGCTTTTTCTACCATATGAAGCTGTTTTTAATGTTCAAAAGCCTATACAAACTTTGTTGACGCTCGTTGACGCTCGTTGACGACCGTTGACGCTTGTTGACGCGCTTTAGTAGGACCGGAGGAGGTAATTTAATTAATATTATAATGTACTGTACAATCTAAAGCTGGCTAAACTAGCCGGATAACTATATCCTTGCTGTTCCAGTTTTCAAGGGTGGTGTAAGGATTTATTTCAAGCAACAGAAAAACACAGACATAGCAATTAGCATAGCCTTCGGCTTCCAAATTTTGGAAAGTGGAACACTCAGGAACACGTACCGCACACACAACAAATCAACTGGTCATGCTGGTCAGTGGTTGTGTGGTACGAATCTGCGCATTTGCGTCGCTACAAAAGTCAAACCTCGAAAACTTGAAAAAGGTAAACAGACAATAATTTTCCCATAATTAAACCGTAAGTGTAAGTGCACTCTCCAAAACCCATCCCATTCATTCACGTGTAAAACACATCACAATTTTCATGATTTCTCACCTGCTTTTTTGACGCAACCATTTTGGCGTTTGTGGTTATCTCAGTCACCTGAAACTAAGCCAACACGAAAAAGACACATTTAACATTACTAAACAAATTTATCCTATCAAAAATTTATGCTATAAATATCTTTACAATTCCATTTTTTGTAGAGAGATTTTACTCACAAACTGAGCCTTGCAACCACGTTAGGAAAGAGACCGATTACCCATAATTCATCAGTAACATTGCCGTGTGATTGAACTGCGCTTGCGCACGGTAAAAGGTCGCAGGTCGATGAACTTTGAGGTCAAATACCATCGCGACGAGAAACGCGTTGCCGTCTGCTCTGCAATTTTGGAACGATTAAAAGCGTGTTTAGGGGACAAACGCTTCACATTCTTAGCATGGCTTGACAGCTGAAGTGTGAAGCTTGAACAACCGAAGATGTTTATTTATTTGAGCAAAAAGGTAGGAGTTGTTAATGGGAGATTTTACATCAGAATTCAGAAAGATTGTTGCGACTTTTTTACATCAACGATGCCTGGTTACCGCCTCTCTGTCTGTCATTGCCTAAGGTGTGTGTGAGAGAGAGAGAGCCAGAGGGATGAGCCCGGAACCAGATTATGATTCCCCACTAGATACTAGATAGTTTTAATTTGAAATTGAATCAAACTTGTTTTGGCCCTCTTGATCTTCCTTTCCCCTCACTTGAACTTTACAGTCTATATACAGATGCAGGGCTTGAATTGAACGACGGCCACGATGGCCAGTGCCGTCGTTGCCTTCTTACTGGCCGAGGTGCCCCACAAAAAATCCCTGTCTTCACGGCCAGTTTTGCCTTGCCCCATAATTACCTTGGCCGTCGTGCCCTTTTTGCAAAAACATCCATCAGCCTATTAAAACCACTACAATCCTTGATTCCAGTTGTTTTTCCACACATTGACAATGTATTTCGATGCCATGCCAGCCCGATCAGTTGTCTTAATATCTCGCTGAATCAATCACACGCGCACAATACGGCCGTGGCCGGCCGGCCAAACGCCGGCGATTCCCCACTGTATGATGTACACACACGTACAGTACATGTACGTACGTACATGTACGTACACTGCACTGACAACTGAATCTCCAGTTCCTGTATGTGCTGATACTTCAAGTAGCGACACCCCCGCCGCAAAAATATATGTCTGTATTCGTACACACACATACCAGCAGGAGTACGTACGGCAGATCTTACGTGCAGCCAACCGACTTTCTTTTTCTCAGTGCTTGCATGCGCGGTATATAGGAACGCATTGATGTTCGTGTACGAGGCAAACTAGTTTGGGGCATAGTCAAAACACGCGTGCACATGGCGTTCCGAATTCCGATTGTCAAAAGCGGACATTGTAAATGGCGATCGTGTATTAATTATGGGCCTGATTCCCTAAGAGAACAAAATCAACTTTTAATCCACATTAAGAACATGCAGGTAAGTTATAGATAGAGGGAAGGGTTTCGAGTTTTGAGGGAAATTTGGAGGGAAAACGACAACGAAAAAACGCAACACGAAAATAGAGGTGGCGATCGCACGTCACCAACCATAGAACTGCTTACAAAAAACGTAATTTCTATCCCCAAAAAGTGTTCAAAATTACAAAACAGGTGCTATATAAGCTGAGAGAAGTCTGCTTTAGGTTGAAAAGGTAGTTTTTGAATGATAAAAACACCTTTGGCTCAAATTTGATCGAAACTAAAGGGGGGCCCTAAACTACATGATCGCTGATATAAATTCGCATTTTTTTTGCCGGCATCTGTGCCCCTTCTGCAGATATTAGTTTGGCCTTGGTGCCCTCCCAACTGGCCTTGGTGCCCTCTATAATTTTTCTCCATTCAAGGCCAAAGTGGCCTTGCCCTAAAAATTCCCAAATTCAAGGCCTGCAGATGATGCTGTGAAGCGACCTGACTGTGAGTGACAATTGCTTACTAAATTGATCATAATATTATATAATTTTAATTTGAGAGGGCGCTGTTCATTTGATAAAACTGATTGACACAGTCATCCATTTGCTCGTACCCCCTCTGCAAACAGGGCACTGGGAAGGGCAAATGAGCTTCACAGAATCTTGTGAAGGTAGTGGGGATGGCATTAGTGGGGATGCATGGCATTCTGGGTCATTTATCATGACCTACTCCTAGAACTATGAGGCTCCACGTAGTGGAGCCTCATAGGTTCAGAACCCGCAAAATTGTTGTCAGCACAAAACACTAATTAAGTACAAAAACGTCCATCCCAACCAAGCTTTTTCCCACAGAACCGCTGCACAGTTTGCCCCTAAACTCCGTACAATACCTCATGACATACTCACGTTATGTCCACCCAACAAACATCGGTGGATTCTGTCTGTTTTTCGGCAAAAATGATGAAAAATATGCCCTTTCCGCACTGAGCCAACCTGACACTTGGAACGTGCACGCGCGCAGAATGATCGCAGTCATTTTTGGGTTCGATCAATCGGAGCGCGCCGCGGGGGGTACGTACTTGCACTTGTACGCATGCGCATACTATCGTTCCGCTCTACACCATACCCCCCGCGGCGCGCTCCGAGCGATCGAACCGAGAATGACTGCGATCATTCTGCGCGCGTGCTCGTTTCAAGTGTTAGGTTGGCTCAGTGCGGAAAGGGCATATTTTTCATCATTTTTGCCGAAAACAGACAGAATCCACCGATGTTTGTTGGGTGCACATAACGTGAGTATGTCATGAGGTATTGTACGGAGTTTAGGGGCAAACTGTGCAGCGGTTCTGTGGGAAACAGCTTGGTTGGGATGGATGTTTTTGTACTTAATTAGTGTTTTGTGCTGACAACAATTTTGCGGGGTTCTGAACCTATGAGGCTCCACTACGTGGAGCCTCATAGTTCTAGGAGTAAGAAATGCATACACACCATACCATATGTGATGTCTTTTTCATTGCGGACCATATATGATGTGGACTAAATAATATGCACGTCGAGCCTTCTTGAATTCGAAACGGAACCTGAGCAACTGCAGACGGGATTTGAACATTTACAAAACAGATCAGTTTTACAGATTTTATTATGTTTTTTCAACCAAAAAAAGGGCGCCGCATTAATATGGATGGGAATAAAAGAGTGATGAATGACTCGGACTTAACGGCCGTTTCAAACCTAGCAGGGTCGTGGTCGTGCATTTCTATATAGGCTGTATCTCTCAAAGTAAAATATTTCTTAAAAATGTCTTTCAAAATTGAATATTTATTTAATTTTAATTAACTGAATCTAGTATTATGCTCCCCATTCTGTAGATTGCTATTCCCAACAACACCAAGCTTCGTTGTGTATCATGGAATCGGGATCAAGGTTTCATAGCGTGCGGAGGGGAAGACGGCTTGCTGAAAGTCCTCAAGCTGGAAATACAAACAAGTATGTCGCTGGCAGAATGGAACTGTCTGTCCAAGACAGGATTTTGGATTAATGTTCTTCCATTGTTGACAGTCCATCTGTGGCAAGCACAGCCAATCCCCTCTGTGATTAGTGGTAGAGGAGATATCAACAAGATATATCCCGTCTTAGTACTGGAAATCTTGAAACTTGAACATGAGAAATTCTAAGCATAACACACATGTGTACATTTGCAAGATGATAGCACACCAAAGGTATGCTTGTAATTTCTCTGGTCCAATTTCCAAGTTTGGTAGCATACAAATATTCACTGCTTTGAGTGATGTAGTAAAACAAGCCCCCCGAGGAGATCCATGAAGTATTCCATTTGTCTTGAGGTGAAGCCAAGGGAAAATAGAATGCTCTATGGACCACTGAGGGAGGCTAGTTTTACTACACCACGAGATAAAGCAGTCAATATTTGTTTTATAACACCTCTCCCACAAATTCTACTTGATTTTAAGCGATAACTGATTAATTTAATCTAAATACAATAAAAGTGTATTTCAATTTGAATGTGAAATTAGTTGAAAAATTACTCTCACTTTACCAAACTACAATGTACCCCTTCACAAAATGTTTGAACCAAGTTCTGTAGCGCTAGCGCTTGGGAACAGTACGTGCAGCACGCTCACCGGTATGTGCATTTGCACACAATACCGGGTCTTATGCATAGTACTCTGGTTGCTGTGGGTATAGCAAAAAATAGCGACTGCCATGTGACTCGCTCTCAGCCAATCAAGATACAGAATCTGGGGGAGAGTTGCTATAATACTGGATATGATTCATTGTAGATAGCGTCCTCTAGCGACCGGATGGCTTTTGCAAATTGTTGTCCAATAAAAAAATACTCGACTTTCTCTGATGGGTTCCTGGTCATGCTGGTTCAGATTACTACAAAGTATCTTGGTTCTTTCCATCCTGCAGGTAAAGATGCCAAGATCCGAGGGTTGGCAGCACCCAGTAACCTGTCCATGAATCAAACACTGGAAGGCCATGGAGGTATGGACATTTTATTCTCATTGTAATTGAATGTAAAACCCACAGTCTTTTACAGTATTACAGACAAGCCTTCTCTTTAGTTATCTCATTAATAAACTCATTTTTCAAACTGGCCATTCGTCTAAACCAAAATTAATGTATTAGTCAGTTACTTCATAAGCACTTTTTTACTGTTCCTATACCATATGATTGTGGTTATAATATCAGAAGTCATTTTCGTTTCCAAAATATTGTGACTTTCGGCATGTGTTTACAAGATTGTCAATGAATCTTGAATTACAAAAAATGAATTAATAAGAGCACAAATTATTTTCTTCAGGGAATAAGCTTACCAGTCCAAATATGATTAGGTTATTATGCATGTGTTTAGTTCTATGCTGATATTTGTTGAAGCACAAATAAATGAAGAATTGTTTTCACTTTGTACTGCCATACAATTGGGCCCAGTCTAGATGATTATTGTATAGCATATGTGACCTGTTCTGTCAAAATCAGACTTTTCTGGGCATAAGGTCGAAAATGATATTTTTACATATTGTTAACATATGTTCTTTTTCCTTTTAATATGTGGTTTAATTTTTGAAACCGGTCATTCCTGGGCAGAGTTATGCTATTTTGAAGTTCATTGTGTCGAAAAGTAGAAAACGGAGAAAATGGCCACGAACGTCACAAAACAGTTATTTCTTTAACTGATATACCTTATCAAAATCATCAAAAATAGTATATGTAGAGTTCAAATTAGGGTTTCAAACTTTTATAATATATTTTAGACATGTTCAGGATTACAAATATGCAAAAATTTGAAAATCGATAAAAATCATCCCCACAGCAATTTTTGGCCCTATTTCAATTTCAACCTCTGCCCAGAAGCGTCTGCTTTTGACAGAACAGGTCACATATGTGAATCGTCATTTGTGTGTTGGATTTTGTACATAGGTGCTGTACAGGTGACAACATGGAACTCCGGGTACCAAAAACTGACCACAAGTGACCAGTATGGCCTGATCATTGTCTGGATGCTGTATAAAGGTCAGTATATCACAGCTGCTAACAATTCCATCACGAAGGCCCCCTCCAATGGTGTAAGCATTGTGCTAGCTATTGTTCAGATAATCCATCCAGTGGCAGTTGCTTTGTACAATAGCATACGCAATGGTTTCTCCATTGAAGGGGGCCCCATCAGTGTACAGTGATCATGTGCTGAGATTCATCTATAAGCAACCAGGCTCTTACTATTGGCTGTGTGCATGAAATAGAGGGCGCCATACTGGTTACTCACAAGTTTCAAGTGAGATCTTTTCCTTGACACTGATGACATTTGAACTGGTTCTTTATGCACCCACGCTTAAAGAGGTTGTGGAATGCTCGAAGACATTTCCGTCATTTTTTTGGTATATGTAGCCTAAGGTGTGATGAAATAAAAACGACTATTGTTTCTGTCATGAAATGAGTACAAAGGGTACTTTTGAGAGCTATTTTTCAGGTCCTGTTTCGACCCGAACGTGCAATTTGTGTAAAAGTCGTCGTTGCGGGCAGCAAACAAAACACAGTAAATCGTGACGTAATAAACAGGACTCGTTTATGCTACTCTGCATCGGGAGTCCTGTTTATTACGTCACGATTTACTGTGTTTTGTTTGCTGCCCGCAACGACGACTTTTACACAAATTGCACGTTTGGGTCGAAACAGGCATGACAGGACTTGAAAAACAGCTCTCAAAAGTACCTTTTGTACTCATTTTATGACAGAAACAATAGTCGTTTTTATTTCATCACACCTTAGGCTACATATACCCGAAAAATGACAGAAATGTCTTCGAGCATTCCACAACCTCTTTAAAGCAAACTGCTATGGCTAATGATTTAACTGCTGCCCACAGTTTACATTTAACATCTTTGCAGTTTGCACAAAATTTGCAGTGTCCCTTCCTTGTCTCTAGTGGTGTGTATTTAGGGGTTGTATGGAAAATTGGCAGCCTATTGAAGTAAAACATGGGTACCCACGTTCCTGTAAAAGAAACCCCGGCATTCAAATAACAAGAAGTTGTCTGAAGGGCTTTATAGCTTTACTGTGTGAACTGCAACTTTTGTGAGCGTCACCTGTTGCTCATTAAAATGCAAATGAACGTGAAATCTGTTTTGCTTAAAGCTATAGTCCATCATTTGTAATTAGTGCATTTTGTTCGTTTGAAGCAACAAAAGTGTTCAAAATCTAATGAAGGATACTGAGCAACTAACCTGATGAAGTTTCAGCTAAGCTTCAGCTGTACATTCCGAGAAAAGCAGCATTCTAAGATCTCAATTTCAAATCAAAAGTTACTGAATCATGTTTTGAATTGTTTTGAATTGCAACTATACACAGCTTCGCGCACTGATCCGACGAATTATAACAACCGCGCGCATGTGTGCGTCGTTCCAATACTTGTGCGCACTGCGCCGAATAACAAAACGAACTACTAATTTAAATTTTCCTACGGTGCTTCTTAAGAGTCACTGTTGGAAATGCCTTCTTTCGTTGATTACTTCAAAATGACAGCTTCCCAGAAAGAATAATTTCACAGGGAGTTTAGTTCTCTTACTATCTTTCAACCAAGTTTGTTTTTCAACAGTAATTACGCCAGTTACTTTTCGGATGGCTGCAAATGATGGACTATAGCTTTAAATTTCCATGTAGCCTGGCTTTCATTTTGAAAGTTCCCCACAAATGGCATTGACAGCTTTCTTTTTCATTGTTGGAGAAGTTATTAAGTAATTTTACAAGTTGGTTAGGGATACCCGATCCCATAATCTGGAACCTGTTCCTGACATCAACGGTCCGGTACTCGGGTATCCGGTTCCGATGCACACCCCTACTTGTTATGAGTAAATGTCATCTCCAAGTTGTGCAGAGTTTTCATATCTTACTATAATTCAAGGAATCTCTGTCTGTCTGTCTGTCCGTCGATTATCTCCAGAACCGGGCACCGTATGAAGTTGAAAATCGGCGGGGGTGTATTGCTCGGGACCACAGAATGTGCAGTGCCAAGTTTGAAGTGGTTTGGATGAGCGGTTCTCGAAAAAGCTGCAAAAAAGCAGTATTTTCGGAGGCAAACGTGGCAGCTTAGAACATAACACCACGCACTGCCGTTCTTTTCAATTGTTTACGTCATGTTTAAGCTAAAGCGGGCGTGCTCAATATGACGCAAACAATGCAAAAAGGACGGGCACGCGCACGTTCATTGTAGGGCGATACATTGTCCAGTATGGGTGAATAGCACTGCATACCATGTTTTCGTATGTACATGGGCACATTATTTTTGCAGTCGACTGAGCGACCATTGTAGGTGGTCGAACTTCAAAGTTGGCACAAACTTTGACGTAAGTCTGCGTTCAACCTGTTAAAACAACACCATTGAATCGCGTGCGTTGTTTGCACGAGCAGTTCTCCAAAACTTTGCAAGTATGCAACCTATACCAGCGGCAAAGCAATTTTCGTTTCCCTAACATGCACATTTTAGACGGGCACTGCACTAGTGTGAATAAATAAACATCCAGGTCTTCGTTTACAGATATCTATTATTTTCGTTACCAAACAACTATTGCTGTTATATTTACAGGTTCTTGGTATGAAGAGATGATCAACAATAGAAACAAGTCTGTGGTGCGGAGTATGGCGTGGACGCCAGATGGCCAGAAGATATGCATTGTCTATGAAGATGGTTAGTGTTTTACCCACAAACTTCAGCTACTCGATTTTAAAAGTTCAATAAAAAAAAATTATGATTACTTAGGCCAAAAAAAAAAAGTCTCCGGTTTCTGGTGTGCGCGCGTCGCCGTAGCCATGCGCGTCGGCAAAATGAAAAAGTTCTTTTTTTCAATAAAAGATGATGTCTCAAAACCGCCAAACTCACTGGTTTGACTGAAATGCTGCTGCTGCACAATTTTAACGTGTTTTTAGATTGGGTTATGGTCGAGAATAAACTTTATGTGGCCTCTCTGGACTCCCATATATTTGCACTAAGTTTAGTCGGGCACCATTTGCAGTCATCAGCCGACATTTGAAGCAAAAAAATCAGGTAAAAAAAAAAAAAAGCCGCGTCGCCGCACCACTTTTTGGGCAAGCTCCATGCCAGAAACCGGAGACTTTTTTGGGGGGCCTTATGAATCAAAGAACAAAATAATGAACAAAATAATGTGTGAAATTTTATCCAGTGCTATTTCACTTTCAAACAATATCATTCCAGGCATGAAATAGCACTGGAATTGTTTCATTTGCAAATATTATATTCAATTTGATGCAGCTTCAAATATTCCACAGAGTTGGCATCTGTTTTTACCCTTTGGCAAAATACAAAGAGTTATTCTTTAAGGCCACATATGATCATTTCAAATCACCTAGAAAAGTACCCACCAATTCAAAGTTAAAAAATCTCGCTCAAAGTGAACAGATGACTGGTACTAAATATGCTGTGAAATAACTGCACCTGAAATGATATCATTCGGAAGAAAACAATCAGTGAAGATGATTTTAAAAAAGGTGCCCACCAGAACACATTTTATTTGTGCAAGCAACAGAATGCGGTTAGGTTTTGAGCTATTTTGTAGCTTCAAAAGGCAAAGCATAAAAACGAATGATTCTATGTACCTTTAACACAGGTGCTGTGATTGTGGGGTCTGTGGACGGCAACAGGATCTGGGGGAAAGATATCAAAGGAATGCAGCTCAACAACGTGGAATGGTCATGGGACGGCAAGCTACTGCTATTTGGCATGAACAATGGAGAGATACACATCTATGATAGCCAGGGAAACTTCTGTGTGAGTGTGCATTATAGAGAGGGGGGTGGGGCTAAGTTAAACAAGGAGTGGGTGGATTTAGAAATATAGTCGGGAGATTCATACCAGGGATGTAGTCGAGTCCACCAGAAGTCCAGTCACAAGTCAAGTCATAACTAAGTCGTAAATTTATTCACAAGTCACAAGTAAAACACAAGTAAATTACAAGTAAATCACAAGTAAATCACAAGTAAATCACAAGTAAATCACAAGTAAATCACAAGTAAATCACAAGTAAATCACAAGTTAATCACAAGTAAATCACAAGTCCATTCACAAGAAACAACTAGAGGTTATATGTCTGTTGGCAACAGAACATAGGGCTTTTTCGCATAATGGTTATTTATCAGTAATATTTTTTCATTGTTTGTCGGTTTGAAATCAATCCGATGAAAGGAAGTGTGCAATTTCGGAAGCGGAATAAAATTGTAAATGTTAAAAAAATCATAAAAAATCAAACGACGTCATCATGACGTTACTTCGGACTTTGCATACTAGTACCATTATCTACTTATCCGCCACGTTTTTCATGACGATCGGACCTTTTCTTATATGTGTTTTGCAAAATGGCATTTTTGATGACGTCATGATGACGTCACACATTTTTGAAAACTTTGTGCAAATACGCATTACCTAACAAACCAATTACAAAAGAATTTTGAATTTTGCATGTTGCGTTCTTGAGATATGGCTAAAAGGTCCAAAGATTCAAATATTCATATAAAATCGCATGATGACGTCACCTAATTTTTTACCTATAACACATCCCGGTCTACCCACATACCAAATTTCAACCCAAACGGACTTACAGTTCTGTAGATACAGGACTTCAAAATATGCATGTTTGTGATGACGTCACATGACCCCTGATGACGAAATCATGACGTCATTCTTCGGGACACAACTTTGCCATAAGGACAATGCATATGCTTAATTTGAATGATGTATGACAAAGTCCAATGCCAAAAGTGATGTGTACTGAAATCGTGTACAAAGTCTATGGGAATTTTGCGTGAAACAAAAAGAAGAAAGAAAAAAAAAAAAATCAGAACAAAAACAAAGGCTTTTTCGCAAATTGCGAAAAAGCCAATAATGCCTTTATCAAAGCTCATTTGAAAAGCTTGTAACTTGAATTGGGACTGGAGGACTTGTGGTGGACTTGCAGGGACTTGTGATAGACTCACCTACATCCCTGCTTCATACTTGATGCAAAACAACAGGAATGCACGGCAAGTATTCTATCTTGTGAATTTGAACACTTTACTACAAGCAATGAATGTTGGACATCAAACGCACTCTGGAATTCACATTTGAATGAAGTATGACCCGGCCCAAGGACAGGTGGGGTAATGGATAAAAAGTAGAGGGCAGGTATTGGCCTAAGCTCAGGCAGGGTTAGAAAATTAAAGTTCGCACAGCAAGAGGTGGAAATCTAAGTGCACGTGTGATGCGATCAAGCTACATGAGTAGTTTGTCGGGAATTTTGATTTGGAGATTCAGGCCAAAATAGGGCCTCTTCATCACATCACTTCATCACATCTGCTGGTGTTCTGACTTCCATAATTTTTGAACTAAAGATGGTACCAGCATGGGGTTTTCACAGCAGTAATGCTGAGATTGTGCTCTTTTCAAATCTGTAATAAAAAAAAAATTTGACCGGGGTCGACAAACGACTCATTTAGCTTGATCGCATCACATATGTTAACAAAATATTTATTTTTTTAATTTTTTTTATTTTATTTCTTTCTGGTAATGAAACCAAGGATTCCTCAAAAGTGCCCTAGGCACTGTAGCCCGAAAGCCTAACGAAACCTGTAGAGAGAAGACAATGAGAAGAAATTAGTTTTAGAGGTGGGAGGAAAACCCCAGAAGAATATTCTGGGGAAAACCCACAGAATCAGGTAGGGACTGAAATCCCAATCCACATATTGGCCCAGGCGGGATTCAAACCCGGGTCACAGCGGTGGAAGGCGAGTAAAGTACCGCTACACCAACCTGACTACGCCAATAAGACTGCAATGTAGGCAAGCTTGCTGCTCCCTGTCCAGTGGAAGTGACAGTCAGAGTTAGGTAACCAGTCTATTATTAAAGGTAATGGGCACCATTTTCAAACATTCAAAAATGAACCTGTCAAAGTATGAAATGTCCAACTTGATTGTAAGTAGGATCAATCACTCTGAATTCATTGCACCTCGTGTAGTTTGCCGCCATTTTCAAGAAAAGAGGAATTACCATCATTTCCTTGCAATGGTTGACCAACCAACCATCCCACTTCCAATGGCTTTACGATGAGAGAAATGAAGCTGCATGTTCACAGTTTTCTCAAAAGTATAACATGTACTTAGCTGACATTTTGACAGGCGGTTATTTAATAACTGCTTTGTATTTATTGTAATGTTGTTCCTTCAATCGGCAAAAGCACATTTTTTTGCAAATGGTGTCCATTAGGCCAAAAAAAAAAAATACTCGATCTCTGGTCAGCGCGCGCGTCGATTTTAATCATGCGTGTCAACTTTTTTTTTTTTTCATATTAACACGGAAGCTACAACAGCGCCCTCTATTGCCGCACCTCCTCAAATTTTTGTACCAAGGAGCACCAAGGAATGGGGAAATTGCACCAAGGCAAATGATAAAGGGCACCAAGGCAAATGATGGAGGACACCAATGTATAATGAGGACACAAAAAAGCAAAATAGTACCCACCTTGTCTGTACAATTGAAGCTTGAAAAAAAAAAAGCCACCCCAAAAAAAAAAAAACGCGTCGCCGTATCAATTCCGGAACTTTGGTCTGACCAGAGACCGATAATTTTTTATTTTTTTTTGGCCTTACCGTTAACCAGCCTAGTCCACAAGTAATATCTGATGTTAGGTTGTAATTTTAGTGTCTGATTGTTTATCAGAGTAAGCTAATGACATACTGCTTGGCCAATGTGACGGGTGCAGTGAAGATTGCTGGCATTGACTGGTATAACGGGAAGTTTGGCTACGTGGAACCTAGCTGCCCTACACTGGCCATATGCTTTGACAACGGACGAGCACAGATAATGAAACATGAGAATGATGAGAGTAAGTGATTTTTCAAGATAATCAGTTATTAACGATGAATCTCTAGAATAATACTGATTCAGTTACATGTATAGCCCTAGTTTAACTTAAAGCAGGCTTTGAAGTATTCCTCCTTTTTTTCTATTTTTTTTTAACCTTTTTCCTATTTTTTTTCTTGAAATTCCTATTTTTCCTACTTTTTTGTCCCACAACCCCGAAAATATGAAATAACATTAAATATTTTTCATGACAGTGTTACACACTGTCATATGTAAATCACACAATGAAGGGCTTGGGCGTAGGAGTACTGCAACTGTACTTCCAAGAGCTTAGTTGAGGACGGAACACAAGTGTTGTGAGTACAGAACATGCCAAATGAGGCTTATGATGCTGTGGACATGGGTGAATATCAACAAAAACTACTCCTGAAAGCCGGCAAAAGTCCTACTTTTATCCTGATTTTGTCCTCCAAAGTCCTACTTTTGTTTTTGGGTTTTGTTTTTTGATCCTACTGTTCTCCTGCTTTTTCACCTGGGTCTGCTTGAAAGCCTGCATAATGTCACATGACATTAAAGTTAGATAATGCCTGATCAATGGTTAACCCAAACCCTACCAGACGCAACACAGAGCATCAGGTGTAAAAGTCTGTGGGACCTTGCAGCATTCAGCCATCAACACCAGTGCTTTATCAGCCAATTCTGAAACAATGAGAGCTAGTCCCATTGAACAATGCCACAGTTGTATCCTGCTGCAGTTGGTGACCCCAGACTCTGAGGCATGTTGGCCTTGAGACTTTTGACCTGATGGATCTTGCTACGCTGAGCAGGCTTGTCATTTTGACAAGTGTTGTATGTTGTTGCAAACACAATACACCATCCCTATTGTGATGCTCTGTTATTTTTCTCTTTCAGATCCTGTGCTAATAGACACAGGTATGTCAGTAGTACAGATACAGTGGAACCACACAGGCTCAGCACTGGCTGTAGCAGGCTCACAGAAGTCAGCACAACAAGACAAGGACATCAACGTGGTACAGTTCTACACACCCTTTGGAGAGGTAAATGTACCGTTTTATTACTGAACAATTTCTTGTCTAGATTTATTGCAGTTCAGAGAGTCCATGTTTAATACTTGATACATTTTCACTTTAACCCTAACTCCCTAGGCCTTTTTACTAGGATGTAGCCTCAATCCTGCAAAAGTCTCCAATTGGCATCATGGAAAAATAGCAAATAGCCTCAATCCTGCAAATTCCTCCATGTTTTTTTTTTAATGTGGTCTGTGGAGGGGTGACCACTGCCTGAATCCTGCAAAATCCTGCAAAATCCTGCAGCAGTGACTGTCAATATGTTGAGGCTTGGCCAGTGACATCCTGGAGCAGTACGGAGGATTTCAAGCATAATCCAGGCCTATATTTATGCATGGCTGAGCAAAAACCACACAAGGTCCGGACTTTTGCCATGTAACCTCAATCCTCCAAATTCCTCCACTTTGGCAAAGAGGATTTTGAAGGATCAGGGTGGTTAGGGTTAACATTCAAATGAACAGCGTATTCATTTATGAGGAAAAAAACCTGTTCATTGGAATAACTTATGACTTGACGTGGGATTAGATGACTTGTGAGGACACTGGTCAGATTTGTCCAGTTTTTACAGGTAGTAAGAACCCTTTCATCACCGTGCACAGATACATGTATCATGCTATGAAATAGCAGGATTCAGGGCGGTTAGAGTTAAACAAAAACAAAAACCAGGCAAGCAGCTGACCTCAGTGTCATTATTTTTCCAACTCCTGTTGTCTCATCACAAAAATTAAAAGTATAGCTACTTGTCTCTTCCCCATACTGCAGCACCTCCTACCCTGAAGGTACCAGGCTGACAGCTGACCTCAGTCTCACGACTTTGTAAACCCCACTGTCCTATATACTGTAATCAATAGTCTAGTATCCTGTTTCTTCCCCATTCTACAGCACCTGCGAACCCTGAAGGTGCCAGGCAAGCAGTGGACCTCAGTTACATGATTTGTTAAAACCCTGTTGTCCCATTACTTCAATCAATGGTCTAGTATCCCGTCTCTTCGCCATTATACAGCACCTGCGAACCCTGAAGGTACCAGGCAAGCAGCTGACCTCAGTGTCATGGGAAGGTGGTGGCTTACGCATAGCCTTAGCCGTAGATTCCTTCATCTACTTTGCCAATATCCGACCTGACTACAAGTGGGGCTACTGTGCCAACACGGTGGTGTATTCCTTCTCTAAGCCGGAGCGAACCGAGCAGTGCGTGGTGTTCTGGGAGACTGTTAGTGGAGAGGTAGGTACTAAAAAAAAAACGAACAAACCAAAAAATCCACACCTCATATTTTCCGTAAAAAAACATACATCTAATGCTAAAGTGGACTCAGAAAATAAGTTGAAGGTACAGAAATAATTTTCCTGTAAAAAAGTCAACACAAACAAGAAAATGGTTATATTCAAGAAAGTTAGCCTGGAACAAAGGAACCCATGAATGACCTGATGAGTCAGTTAGGAATTAGGAAGATTTTACACCATTCAAAAGTACACACCTCCAGAAGAGAAAAACACAGTAAATTTTCATGTCACATAAACGAAGTTTTGGGAGATGACCGTAGACCCGTAGACCTTTGTAGGGTACTCAAACAAAGAGAATGGTACGCCAGAAGTGAAATCTTGAGAAAACGGTACCCCACAAGTCTTTTGAAAAAGGGATAAAAGGACAATAATGCTCCTACTCCAGAACTCCCATCCGCTGGAACATCCGTACACCTGTAGCCCCGTAGCCCAGTGTACCTGTATGTTAAAGTTTTGAAAAAAAATGTATAACTTCTACATGCTTTCATGGATTTTGACAAAACTTGGATTCAGTGACCCTTGGGTGGGAAGACACAATTCAGATTTCTGAGGTGAAATGTCATGTATGGGTCATTAGGCCAAAAAAAGTCTCCGGCTTCTAGTATGGAGCTTGCCCAAAAAGTGGTGCGGCGACGCGGCGTTTTTTTTTTTTTTTTTTACCTGTGTTTTTTTGCTTCAAATGTCGGCTGATGACTGCAATTGGTGCCCGACTAAACTTTGTGAAAATATATGGGAGTCCAGAGAGGCCACATAAAGCTTATTCTCGATCTTAACCCCATCTAAAAACATGTTAAAATTGTGCAGCAGCAGGATTCCAGTCGAACCAGTGAGTTTGGCAGTTTTGAGACATCATTTTTTATTGAAAAAAACAACTTTTTCATTTTGTCGACGCGCATGGCTACGGCGACGCGCGCGCATACATGTACCAGAAACCAGAGACTTATTTTTTTTTGGCCGTAGAAGTCATTGTTCAAATATGCTTGAAATGTTTCTTAGCCTACAGAATTTGAACACAAACACCATGTTTTCCTGTTGGGGTTCAAATTCATGTACTCCCGCACATGAAGTGCATTCACTTTTTAGTCATTGTAATTTGTGTGTTTTTCCCTGTGTTCATTACCAGCGTCACATCAAGTATGTCAGAAACCTGATATCTGTCACAGCATATGGAGATCATTGTGTGCTGGCAACCAAGGCGGATGAAAGCACTGGGCAGGTTGGTACACGATGACCACTATGTTCGCTATCTTCTCTCATGTTTTCTAGTCTACATGCTATATTAGATCATGCTCCAACACATGGGAATACCAAGCAACTTTGAGATCATGAAACATTCAGCACAATTCACTAAAGCTGAAACGTATTCAACTTTGCGAATGCGCACCAAGATTACCATGATGGGCATTTGTTTTCACTTCCGCACTTAATTCTCTATCTGTCCAGCATTTCAAGAAACGTGTAGAAGCTGTATTGACTATTTAGATGAAACTGCACATCACCATTGCCTTCATTACATGCTTTACCCTACTTGTGGGAAGTCAATATTCAGTTGAAGTAACTGACACACAGAGAGTCACTGCTCACACAAAAACAGCACTATGGAGAGCGGTGAAGCTGAACCACACAAAAGAATTGTGCAGGGATTTGAAATGCTATCCATGCTTGCTGCAATGCATGAAAAAGTTGAGCTCCAAATTGCTGTGAATTCCTTCCAATCCTGAGCAGTATATCAAAGTTGAGCCAGTGCCTTTGGACCAGTTTTTTGCACTGCTTCCCTTCACAATGTCAAATTTCACAACAGTCAACAACAGTAGTTTTAACACATTTTTTTGATGTCATTGAATTAACAAATTTGTCTGCACATCAAGCTATCCTCAAACTTTCTTTCTTTGGAAACTGAAGCTCATGTCAACTCAGCAACCTGTCCAATTAACTTCAATTCACAGTATTTCATCTACCTACTCCATTTATGGGCTCCTCGCACAAGTACCTCCACAGTGGTAACAAATGGAGTTGGGGGAGACCACTGGGCATGCTGGGAGGGACATTTGAATAATAATGATAATAATAATAATAATTTGGGAGGCTAATCGTCCTTACTCTCAGCTTAGAAGCTGAATTGCGAAGGACACAGCTACAACCGACAACGTGGTTGAGCCGCAGGCATGTAAAGGCACCTTTGGCAGCCATCCTTACGACCCATATATGACCACGGAGCACAGCCAGAAATCTAAAGTGTTATGAGTTTTTTGGAGGGAAGAAAACGAGGGCCCGGAAAAACCCTCTTGGGACAGGAGAGAACCAATGCACAACTCCAACCTCGTGCCCCGTGGGTACGATCTTGCAGCGCCATGTTGTTTCCCATCATGCCTTGCGCGATCGTAACCCCTGGAATTGTGTAATTTAAATATACCAAAATACGGTATATTATAATTAGGGCTGCAGTTTATCCGTTTTACGTGCCAACGCCATCTTTGAAATGTTAAAAGTTGTGATTTTGAAGAATCAATCCTTTCAAACACAACGTTTGGACGTTGTGTTAATTAGCAAAGATTTGTATTAAATGTACGTACCCCTTTCGTGCCTTTACAACCACAGATACAGGGGTTTTTTTAGCGAAAAACGCGGCTGACATAATCCATATCGTACAGGCATCGCGACTTTTTGAATCATATTTTTTTTTTCGTACGTGACGTTACATGCAAAGCTAAGCACGCGAGCGCATTATGGGCGCGCCCGGCGTGCAATCTTCGAAATGCCCGCGCAGTACACTGTGAATAGCCATTCAGCATCATTTACGTCATCATCACAGCCAGGGGTTAGTGTAAGGAACGAGTACGCGCCCCTGGAGTCGAGGCTGGCACAACTCTACTCACATATGATCCCAGCCGGGAACGAACCAGGGCCACAGGGGTGAGAGGTGAAGGATTTACGCACTAGCCACCCAGCCACCCATGAATGCATTGCCGACGGTGCCTGGTGATCAAGTGAAGACGCTGTGGATTTGTGCACTCTCAATAGAATAAGTTGTGCATACAGCGTGCCATACCCGCATAAACCAGGACATGTGTGACCTGTTCTGTCAAAAGCAGACGCTTCTGGGCAGAGGTTGAAATTGAGATAGGGCCAAAACACGCTGTGGGGGTGATTTTTTTCGATTTTCAAATTTTTACATCTTTGTAATCCTGAACATGTCTAAAATATGCTATAAAAGTTTGACACCCTAATTTGAACTTTTAATATAGTATTTTTGATGATTTGTAAAGGTATTTCAGTTAAAGAAATGTCTGTTTTGTGACGTTCGTGGCCATTTTCTCCGTTTTCTACTTTTCGACTCAATGAACTTCAAAATAGCATAACTCTGCCCAGGAATGACCGGTTTCAAAAATTAAACCACCTATTAAAAGGAAAAAGAACGTATTTTAACAATATGTAAAAATCTCATTTTTGACCTTATGCCCAGAAAAATCTGATTTTGACAGAACAGGTCACATGTATGGGCGTGTTCATGTATTCAAACTGTGGACGAAAAATTCCAGAGAACAAAAGAGAACAATATCGTCCACGATTCCCAGCATACGTCCGCGATTGGGGTCGTGTACAAAACCTATGTAACAAAGAACAAACAAAAGAGGGACAATAGGAAGTCCACCATCGACGGTGTGAACACGTTTGTGTTTGTACGTGGTGTGCCCCTCCCTCCCTAACCGCCCTGAATCCTCCAAAATCCTTTTTTTTTCAAATTGGAGGAATTTGCAGGATTGAGGTTACATGGCCAAAGTGCGTGGCTGATTTCGGAGTACACACTGTGTCAAGGTCTTGGGCCGGACCTTGTGTTGTTTATGCTCAGCCGTGCATAAATTTAGTCCTTGATTATACTTGACATCCTCCGCACTGCTCCAGGATGTCACTGCCTCTGCCTCAGCCTATTGACAGTCATAGCCGGAGGATTTTGCAGGATTCAGGCAGTGGTCACCCCTCCATGGACCATATTCAAGAAACAACGGAGGAATTTGCAGGATTGAGGCTATATGCTATTTTTCAATGAGGCCAATCGGAGGATTTTGCAGGATTGAGGCTACATCCTAGCAAAAAGGCCTAGGGAGTTAGGGTTAAAAAGTGGTCACAAAGTACTATGTTCTTTTTCATGCACGGGGTCCAAAGCCATTTCCAGCATTTTTTTTTTTTTTTCTTTTTTGAGTTCAACTTCACTCTTCTTCCATTTTCTTTACCCATTATAATTTCCCACCGTCAATCTCTTTGTGCATTCATTCTAAAAGGAAGCCGGGGAGCCACAACAGGTATTCATGTGTCTTTATTCACTAAAGCATGTTAACTATCAACAATCCATGATTAGCACTGCAAGCATTCACACACTTGTGTTTATCCGTCTCATATCACTTGATAGTTTTGTTTGCATTGTGAATGCATTTTTTATTGATGCTAATATTTACTCTAGATTGTCTTCTCATAGTTTCCTTAATATGTTTTCTTTGAGCATGATGGTTCTGGGTATTTTGCAGAAAACTGCTGTAATTTATTTGCTGTTTTTTAATTTTGTTTTTTTTGGGGGGGGGGGGCTTTTTTCAATTTTTTTTTATTAATTGATTTATTTTTATTTTATTTTTTCTTGGGGAACGGGGGACTTGAGAATCAATTTTTTCGGGATGAAACTATAAAAAATATCATGGACAGTATATCATTAAATAATAATCCAAAAGTCATATCGAACCCCTTGAATTTTCTGTATTTCTTCTATGTCTGTATTTTGTTCACAGTTTTACAGTATTTCTGTTTGTCAATGAGACACAAAATGTAGTTTGTAATGAAAAGTTATGCAGTAATAATTCACACCGTTGTGTTTTCAATTTTGTCTTACATTTTGAGTTTTTGCACCTGATATTTCCATCCTGCAACATTGTGCAAATTGCACACTTCCCTTGCCGGTAAGGAGTCATCTCATTAAAAACACATGGTATCATTTGCATTTATCCAAAAAGTAACCTACCAAATTATTATCAAAAAGCTGGCTTGGAATACAGATCATACTGGTACTAAACACCCTGTGAAATGATTCCGTCCGGCTTGACTGATTGTTGGAAATAAAGAGCTCACTACACAAAATCGTCTTTCGTAATCTTAAGCTTGTGCACAGTTTTTCACTGTTTCCTCGAAAAGTGTAATATCCACTGAGCTGAAACTTAATCACCAGGTTAGGTTTGAACATTCTTCTTTGGATTTTGAGTAGTGCTATTATTGGAAATGAACAAAATGCATGAAAAGCAAATGATCATATATGCTTTTAAATATCCCAGATTAGTTGTTCACAATTTATCCACAATAGGCTCATTGTATCGGGTATTAGTTGCAGAATTCTAAACAGAAACAACCAGAATCTTTCCTTAGTGAAGAGCGTTGTTCACAAACTGATAACTTCGTTACAAGATGATTTCAGTGAAGTTGTTCCTGATTCTGCCAATAATATCCGTACAATGAAACTTTTAAAAATAAACCTGTTCTCAACTTATCCAAACAGGCATACATGTATAGGATCATTTGCATTTTCATGCATTTTGTTCGTTTCCAATAATGACACCACTCAAAATCCAAAGAAGAATGTTTCAAGCCTAACCTGTTGAAGTTTCAGCTCAGTGGATATTTTACTTTTAGAGGAAACAGCGAAAAACCATGCTCAACCTTATGACACAAAACACAATTTCGTCAATTATACTCTCTATTTCCAAAAATCGGTCAACTGACTGTTCTTTGGGAAATCACCTACATTTTTTTTTGATTTCTTCTTAATGACAGCAAGCCTTATTGAATAATTTCACAGGGTGTTTAGTACCAGTACAATCTTTCTTCCAAGTAAGCTTTTTGATAATAATTTGGTAGGTTACTTTAAGGGTAAATGCAGATGATCCTATGCCTTTAATAAGATAACTCCTTACACGATACGCACATTTAAAGACATTTTAAGTTTCACTCTCTTCACTGTTCATCTGGATGACCTTTAGCCCCAGATAGTGGTATTTACATGCAGTTGACCTTTCGTCACATATTTATTTTCTTTCTGAATTTTAACAAGTATAAAATTTATTTTCCTGGAGGTTTTCTGCCTATTATGAGCAAAATTACACAAAATTAATGTCTTCTTCAAAGAGGCCACAGAAGCTACAATGAATTTTTATATTATGTGCCAGCTCTATCTGTGCCCAAAACGCACAAAATAGTATACATTCCAAGATCTATGTGCTATATTTTAGACCTCCATAGCATTTGCTCTTATTGGATATTATTAAGCAGTTTTCATTTTTGTAAAATTGAGGAAGTTAGGAATGAAATCGGGGAAAATGCCTTAAAGAAAGTGATTGCAGTAAGCAATTAGAGCTCTAGCTCAACAACCAATTATGTTATTATTTATTCATCAAAATTATCACTATTATTACCAGTATTTTTGCAGTGGAAATTGGAAATCTGTACACTTCATTTTCCACCCGAATACCTATCAGCAATCACCAATAGCATCAGTTATCCAACTCGGGTATTTGTGATGAGACGTCTACAAAAACTTGTGAAAATTCCTTAATATGCAAGCAATATTTCTCTTGATCAATACAGTATGTGCTAGTGCTGTGCAATTCGATAGGAACACCGCTGGAATCAAAGTACATTGATATTGGTAAGTTTGATCGTTTTAAAAAAATTAACACTTAAACAGTTTTACGCTTCAATCCTTAGAGAGTTTTGAGGAAGAGAAAAAAAGGTTGATGAATGTTCTGAAGGAGCACAGAAAATTAAAAATGTTCCTGTTGCTTTATGAATTGTGATTTATTTAGAACAAAGCAAATTTGGGAATAAGCAGTGTAACTAGCTGAAGTTGGGTCCTGAGTATGTTTGCGTGTACGTAAGCAATTCATCTTTTGCTGTGGCCAGTGGGAAAAGTGTGTATTTCTAGTTAGACCAAGCAGGTTTTCCATTGGAACATTCCTAGTCTAAATGTTGATGATCAGATTGATAGTGATTGATTTCTACTATTTGCTGCATTCTTGAACAAGACTTATGCTCATGTAAACATGTTTATGAAACAATTGAAAATAAGAATGAATGAAAAGCCAGCATTCATTGTGCATGTTCGGTAAGCTTGTGCACATGATGTGCATCTTGATGCATTGGATCGAAAGTGTGATGCCCGCGATACAGCAGGACAGTGTGTACTGCTGAATGGGTTGGCAAAGTAAAATAACATCTTACTTTCTTTCTTTTTTAAATAGTTCAATAAGTTGAACAAAGAAATTGACTGGAGCGGGGTTAGAACCTGTGACCTCCGGATTGCTGTTCCACTGCTCTACCAACTGAGATATCCAGCCCTTTGTTGGGGGTTTCCATATTGTCAATGTTTTTGTTCATGGGGCGCTAGTCAGAAGCCATAAACCCGTATATGCCATGTAGCCAGGGATCACGCCCAAAGTCATGATGCTAGCAACATTAGCAATGCTGCAAACCCGGGTAATAAAAAAAACAGCTAAAATTCAGAGAGGAAACGGCTCTTTATTACAAATTTTGAAGGGAAAAAAAAACAGGAAACTGAGTACATGTGCATTGAAATTATTTTTAAACGTTGAACAAAGAAATTGACTTGAGCCACCTCCAAGTTGCCGTTCCGGTGCTCTAGCTGCCATCAACTGAGCTATCTTTCAGTATCACACACTTGTGTTTTTCCTACCACCTTCAGAACCCATCTACATAGCGGTGACTCGGACCCACGTCATAGCAGCCTCCAAGGAGGCATTCTATGTCTGGCAGTTTAAGACGGCTAAGAAGCTAACAGCGATGGAGGTCAACCAAGCCATGGGTCGTAAGAAGGATAGCAGAGAGAGGGTCTATCATATCGATGATACGCCCTCAGGGGCTGGGGAGTCGATACTGGACTTCAGCAAGGCTTTTGCTGTGAGTAATCCCAGGCATAGCTAGAGGAGGGTTTGGGGGTATAGACCATTATCATGTTGCAGACATCGCAACCTCGTCCCCAGTGCTTACTTTATTTCCAACCGCGTTTCCAATAGTAAACCCTGGATAGGAAACATTCTTCCTGTATCCTGATTGGATACCGCAATTGGCTAGTAATGGATTTTTATTGTGTACTTGGTGCTATATATTCACAACGTGCAGTACATGTTTTCGCGATCATTCGTCCACGCCTTCTCGAAAATACTAATTTCCTTTCCAATTTGCTCATATTAATATGAAATATGATACTGCATGTTGTCTCGATAAGATCGTAACAGTTTGATTTCAAAAATTGTGTTTTCGTAACTCACGCCGTGCTCGCGCTGCTACGAATTGACTCTGTTTTTACCCCAGACACCGCATACAAAAACAAACGCTAATGTGTAACGCATATCCAGGCACCAGACTGTTCCTCATTTGCATACGTGTGCAAAAATCTTGTACATGCAAATGATCCAATACCAGGGTGAGAGAGCAGGTAGTGGTGGGCGCGTACTGCTTGACACCCTGGGGACGAGGTGGCAGACATCGTGACTTTGTCCCATTAAAATCATCGTAACCAAAGCGAGGCTGAAAGGAAAAATAGTCTGGTTCCTTTTTGCCCCGCAAACATGATCATTCAGTACTGTTATTGGATACGGGGAACATGACTGAAATGGTGGCAGCATGATGAAGGTCTATTCTCAAACATCTGAAATTCGCCCCAATTTTCAACTTGACCCATTCACACTGTATTGCATTACGTTTACTTTTTTAGGACTCCGAAAACAATAGAGTGCAAAAGCCCTTGTGGGACTGTGTAAAGAGTATCATTTTTAGCCTTACGTTTATATAATCCTTGTATTTTATTATTGTCAATGACCGGTCACTGGTTGTAGACAATTTTCATTTTTCCTGTGCTTGAGCCACAAACATAAATGACTTTCCACAGCCCCTGTAATAAACAACAATGTAAAGAATATTCCTTCTTGTTTTGTCTTACACCATATCAGCCAACCAATGATGCAGTTTGCTGTGTGTGTGCTTCAGACAAATTACTCATTGTGGGTCGTGAGTCTGGCACACTCAATCGTTACTCACTGCCCCACCTGGCTCTCACCAACAAACACACGGTCAACTGCCGCCCACACGCACTGTCACTCAACTGTAACTCAGCGTAAGTATCATGAGGACGATTCTCCAGAAAGGGGTTGAACTGGGACTCGAGGTGTGTTAGACTTGAATTTAAACTCATCGTGTGAAGGGGCAGTTATAAATGTGTAATTTGAAACTGGTTGGGGGCCTTGCCGTTGATAATGGCCCAAGCACACTACTATCCCCATTCATATAGACCTGTTTTCAGTGGTTTTGGTTAAAAAAAAAAAAAAAAATCGCACAAAGTTGACAAACTTCCAAGAACTTTTGTTGTACTATTTTACTACATGTTCAAAACTTTTCTGTGGTATGTGCAACGCATGCAGTGTGCTCAGCCTGTCCTTATATGGAGATCATATCATGACTCTCAAGCCAGCAGAGCGTGTGGTGCGTACTGTGCACATGTGCTCGCAACCGGTTTTACACATTCCACACAGAGCGGTGTTTTAATGGCGGTTTAAAACCACTCACGTGACGGGCTCTCAACCAATAGGAATAGGTGAACTGTCTCGGGTATTTATGAATAAGAGAATAATGGGCCTTATTCACGAGTTGGCCATTTTTGTCGAGTTCCTTAAATGTATTTCATTAATTGTCAACTGTTGAACTGTTTTTAAATAAGGGAATAAATGTGTTTTTACCACTCGTTTAATACCGCTTAGAGTCTGGGTGCTGATAATTACCCGAGCCGGAGGCGAGGGTAATTATCAGCACCCAGACTCTAAGCGGTATTAAACAGAGTGATAAATACCGACCAAGCACATATTTATTCCCATTCATAAATACCTTATCCGTAAAAAAATATCAAATAATTCGTTCAAAAAATCGATTTTGTTCAACAAGTTCACTTCATGCTTTTTGAAACATCCCTCTAGCAAAATAATGGAGTGTTCAGCTGGCGAGTAAGATGTAAACAACCCTTTTATGGAGATTGACGCGCGCGTAACATGTTCTGCGCGATGTCACGCAGAACGCACCTGGGGCGTTGCGTTTTGAATTTAGAACTATAAAATTCTGACTCGCTTGTAGTGTTGCGCATGCCTACTTGAGGATTGTGAACGTTCAACCAATGAAACGGTATTCAAGAGGCACTGGATTTTTAGGAGTCCACATTTTATTGTAACACTGGAAAAGTGTTTAAGACCAGCTAGCCATGTCTTTATCATCCGTTTAAGACCAGCCACGTGACGGGCTCTCGACCAATAGGAATAGCTAAACTGTGTGAGGTATTTATGAATATGGCTTTAAACATTACGCATTTTAAATTATTCATTGAAGCAGACTGGAATTTATTATGAATTAACTTGCTTTCATTTCTCTTTGCAAGTTCCAAAAATTAAGATTTTACCTAACTTTCAATTCAATATGGCCGACTAGTGTTGTGGAGCAGTTTGAAACCTCTGGCCGCCGATAATTATGGCCCTTTCCTTTTGAGAACTAGAATACAATTCTGATATTTTCTTTGGCTGCCAGTCGTCTAGCTATCATCGACATCACTGGTATCCTGACCTTCTTTGACCTGGAGACCAAGTGGGTCAACGGGGACGGTCAGGAGATACAGGGACAGCAGCTGGAGTTTGAACGTAAGGATGTGTGGGATATGAAGTGGGCTCAGGATAACACCGAGCTCTTTGCCATGATGGAGAAGACGAGGATGTACATCTTCAGGAACCTGGACCCAGAGGTTGGTATTGGATTAGTTAGAAAACTACCTCATTATCAGATTGGCCAATGGATGCCTTGCAGGAACAATAGATGGCGCTATTTGGCATACTCACAAGAGCCACTGAAGCACAAGGTGTGTTCACAGACTGGATTGCTCATATGTGACGCAGAGTACAAAATCTGAATGTGCACAAACAAACGCTTGACAAGTATTACACCTGTTGATTAGGCCATGAGTCAAGTATTCTGCAGCAGCTCCAGATTAGCGCAATCAGGTCTCTACCCTCATAGGTACCCGTTGACATTCATTGGTGGAAAGAGACAATTGTATTTAAAAGTGTCATGCCCAGAAACACAAGAACTATGTTCCCCCTCAGGATTTAAACCCACATGCATGAGTCGGACACCGTAACCATTGGACCACGGCATTTCTTGACACCCAAGTGTAGACGCACATTGGCAATGGCTCTCAAGCATCCATCAGTCATACTCTCACTTTTCACAGTTGAGGGGTTTTCATGCAGCTACAATCTATCAAGTCAGAGACCAGCCAGCAAAACCTTGTGACCTGTGATTTGGGGTAAACATATTGACATAATTAACATGGTAAAAAGCGCAAAAATAGGAGGTGCGTTGGATACGTGTACTATACGATATAACTGCAGGAAAGGTAGAATTGCCACAGTGCATAAAAACCAAAACAAGCTAAGAAACTTTCAGGAAACTTATTCAAAATGGAATATGTAGAACCCTTACCTCACCTAAAGCTACAAAATAGTACTAGTAGTAAACTGTTGTATGCAGTACTTCAGCATATAAGTGGGTACAGCATTCATGGTATGTTTTAGTATAAGGTTACTGTGTACATAATGTCTGTAGTACTAGAGCCTGTCTCAAAAAAAAAATGGTACAATCGAAAACGTTATTTTTTTCAATATTAAATCTCAACATAAGTAAGTCGTTTTGAACATCACATTAAGGAAAAAAGTCCAGGCTTTCCAATACTTTTTGTTTCATCTCATTTGCTTTTGTCAATCCAGAGATAACTCCAGTTTACTGCGGAACACAAAAATCAAGTTTGTGCCACTTTCTGGTTGAGTATGGCACAGTACTCGAAACAACTCTGCCCATGCATAAAAGTGGCACAAAATCGATTTTGGTGTATCGCACTAAATTGATTATATCTCTGAATTGACAAAAGCAAATAAGATCAAACAAACACTATTGAAAAGCCCAGTCTTTGTTCTTTAATATTATGCAAAGTAAGAATGACTTATTTTGAAATTTCATATTTAACCAATTTTTTTTCTGATTGTACCTTTTTTTTTTAGACAGGCTGTATGTAGTACATGTATGTGGTACTTTACCCCCAAAGTAAGCTGTAGGGGGTTAGGGTTCATTTGGGAGGTTTTCAACAGACTGCACTTCCTTTTTCTTTTCCAATCATTTTCTGTATCACCGACAGGAGCCCATCATGAGCTCTGGTTACATCTGTCACTTTGAGGATCTTCAGATCAAGTCTGTTCTCCTGGATGAGATCCTGAAAGATCCTGAGCATCCCAGCAAGGACAACATGTTGGACATGGAGATCAAGGTAGTCTGGGTCTGCATGTGTCTTAATAACTCGGACCGAGTCTTTGTCAGTATCTGTGTGTGTGTCTTATCTCTTGCATAGACATGATAGATGTTCATAACAAGTCACTTTGAATCTGTATGAAATCTTGATAAGGTCCCAATCACTTTCAACAACTCAGCATGGAAATCATTACATCTGTGCCCATACCCATGTACTTGTCACTCTGCCTGTGGCTATCCATTTACTCTGTAACTATCTTTGTGATTCTCTGATTATCAGTGTAAATCTTTTGTTATTTGTGTTAGGTTGGGTAGGCATTGCATTCACTGTGTGGACTTCTGAACAAAAGAGGTCCACATAAACCAGGTAGAGGCAACGTTGTGTGGACTTGGGCAAGTCCACACAGTGTTTCCCCATTTTTGGAAAACAGGTTTAGAGGCATTCGGGGGTTAGGTTTATCCGTGGCAAAATGAAGAGAAACACTAAAGGGAATCATAGAAAAAAATTGGGTTGAAAGTGTTTTCACAGTGAGAATAAAATAAGTTTTTCAGAGCTTTTTCTTAACTACACGGAAGCAAGGGAATGTCCACCCTAGATATGTAACGTAAACGCGTGTGATCACCTGTGTAAGTCTGTGACCATCTGTCTAAGTCTGTATCTATGTATGTCTGTCTACTGTTACTGCTCTTGTTAGTTTGTAAGTCTGTAACTATCTTTGTTAATCTACAAAGATAGTTACATACTAATACACATTTATTCAGTGGATCTGAGCCGAGATGTACCGAGTCTGAGCGGCATTTTCTCATCTGTGATTTTGTTTGCAGTCTTTGCGTGACTCCAGAGACCTGCTTGAGAAGGTTGGCATTGAAGACGCGGCACAGTTCATTGAAGATAATCCTCATCCCAGACTTTGGTGAGTAAACTGCATGCATCAGAGAGAAGGATAAACCATGTCATCCCGAAACAAAAATGTAATAAAATAGAGGCCACCTCTACCTCAACTAGTGGCTTGTCTATAGAACATGATGGCCAATGTAGTTGCAATCATTTTTCAAAGCCACTTTTGGCTGTGATTTTTCGTCTCTCATCCTTTGCATCTTCTAACCAAGCCTCCTTGGAGATCTGAGACTTGAAGATGATGGCCACTTGCAAAATGTGGCCGTCACTTTAATAGTAGGGAGGTTTCGCAAGCGAACGGATACGCTTACACTTACGTTTAGCTATACGTATCCGTTTTTTACTTACGTGTAGCGAGCGAGATATGTGTGTCGTCTGCACGTTTAGCGGATAGTGAGTGGCGTATGACGTCATACGTGCAGACGACACGCATATCTCGCTCGCTACACGTAAGTAAAAAACGGATACGGATAGCTAAACGTAAGTGTAAGCGTATCCGTTCGCTTGCGAAACCTCCCTATTACTAGTGCAGTGCCCGTTTGAAACATGCCTGGTTGAAATGGGCAAATTGCTTGGCCTCCAGTAGACCCGCAAACGTGGCGGTATAGAGTGCAGTGCCTGTGTAACAGCGCGCCATATCTACACCTCACTGTTGCGCATTCTTCCCCTTCAAGAAATGGTCGAGGCCCACCTCACCGCTGCGCAATCTTCCCCCTTCAAGAAATGGTGGAGCCCATACAGTCAACTACCATTTCCACGTGTGTAAACCCATAGCCGTGGCGCGGTAGAGTGCAGTGCCCTTTCAAAGTGTGCAGCAGTTTGTATGGTCTAGGCCTCCGGTTTTGCTGGGTTTTTTTGCAGCTTTTTGAAAACTGCTGATCCAAACAACTTCAAACTTGACACTGCATATTCTGGGGTCCCGAGCAATACACCTGGCAATTTTCAACTTCATACAGTGCCCGGTTCTGGAGATAAAGTTCAGACAGACACTGACAGAGACACACAGAGATTCCTGTAATTATAGTCAGATGGAGGCCAACTTTATGCTGTGTAATTACTACACAACACTGTAGTTTGTGGCAGTCTTCTTTGAGTCTCCTTATACCACCACATGTAATATGGAGGCCACTTTCAAAATGTGGCCAGTACCGTACTTGAACAATATGGAAGCCAACTTAACATTGTGGCTTTTATAAAAAACATAATTTCCAAGTTTTTTTCAATAATGCCGCGGTTACTTTTGGGATAAACGCAAATGGTGCTATATGCCTTTAATGGTCATTTTTTGACTGTTTCTTTCTCACACTCTAGGCGTCTTCTGGCCGAGGCCTCTTTAGAGAACCTAGACCTGAAGATGGCAGAGCAGGCCTTTGTACGCTGCAAGGACTACCAAGGCATTGAGTTTGTCAAGCGGCTGGGTAACCTACAGAGTGAGGTGATGAGAAGTGCAGAGGTGGCTGCTTACTTCAAGAGGTTTGAAGATGCAGAGAGGATGTACATGGATATGGATCGCAGGTCAGTGCTCTCTTATCCTTAGCATTTTTGGGCTCCAAATTTTCAGGGTTCTCTCAAGGAGTTCTTTCTTTGCTAAAAATTAATTTTGCAGGTGTTTGTACTTTTTGTCTTTTTTACCTGGTTTTTTTTTCTGTCTTCTCTTTTCTCTTTGCACAAACTGTTAATAATAGTAATAATTTGGGAGGCTAATCATCCTTACTCACAGCTGGTATGCTGAATTGCGAAGGACGCGGCTACAACGTGGTCGGGCCGCTGGCACGTAAAGGCGCCTATGGCTGCCGGCCACATCGACCCGTATATGACCACGGAGCACAGCCTGGCATGTTATTTGATCACATAATTTAAAACAATTTTGTCAAAGGTTTTGTTGCAGAGAAACCATTTCACAATGAGCAGAAGATATGGTGGTCTTCAACAGGCTTATCTTTTACTCCATTATCACTTTTTTTGTTTAAGTTAATCTCTCTTTTTATGATGTAGTTTGATACTTAGACATTTGCATTTAAAATCACTGTGTACACATGCCATTGATGTTGTCATTCAAGCTGTGAAGAGTGTTTTCCTGTTCTTAGTTTGAAAAAAAAATGATAAAATGAAATGGAATTGAAATTTTTGTGTTGCCTTATACAAATCAGTTAATGAAATACATGTACTGTCAAAATTAGTCAGATTCCTTTGTTTTTTTGGTTTTTTTGTTTCATTTGTACTAAAAATCAGTATTCTTTTTGACCGCTCTCCATTTGCTATTTCCCGGGTTTGCAGCATTGTTAATATTGTTAGCATCATGACTTTGGGCGTGATCCCTGGCTACATGGCATATATGGCTTTTTGGCTTCTGACTAGCGCCCCTTGAACAAAGACATTGACAAAATGGGGAGCCACCAACGTAGAGCTGCATAGCTCAGTGAGTAGAGCACCGGAATGCGAATTCGGAGGTCTTAGTTTCAAACCGGCTCCAGTCAATTTCTTTGTTCAACTTTAAAAGTATGCTCAATTGTATCATCACCAATAGACCTCATTCGCTACTGCTAACTCAGAGAGCAGTGCTTTTCTTTCACTGGTGCTTGACTAGACAATATGGCAGGTATTGTCACTGAACCAAAACAATAACAAAAGTGCCTCAATGCAAAAGATGTGAATAAACCTAGCTGGTTACTATCCCAATTAATTTTATTTCTTTCTGGTAATGAAACCAAGGATTCCTCAAAAGTACCCTATAGGCACTGTAGCCCGAAAGCCTGACGAAACCTGTAGAGAGGAGACAATGAGAAGAAATTACAGTTTTAGAGGTGGGAGGAAAACCCCAGAAGAATATTCTGGCGAAAACCCACGAAATCAGGCAGGGACTGAAAACCCAATCCACATATTGGCCCAGGCGGGATTCGAACCCGGGTCACAGCTGTGGAAGGCGAGGAAAGTACCGCTACGCCAACCTGACTCCCATGTGATCACATGGCAAGCAGGTCGCATAAATTACAGTTCTGCTTGCCAACACTTTGAATTGCAGGGATCTCGCAGTCAGTCTGCGCCTCAAGCTAGGCGACTGGTTCCGCCTAGTTACAGATCTGTTTGCCAACACTTTGAATTGCAGGGATCTCGCAGTCAGTCTGCGCCTCAAGCTAGGTGACTGGTTCCGCCTAATTACAGATCGGTTTGCCAACACTTTGAATTGCAGGGATCTCGCAGTCAGTCTGCGCCTCAAGCTAGGCGACTGGTTCCGCCTAATTACAGATCTGAAAAAAAGAAAAAAAGTAAAACTGCTGCAAACTGCTTACTGACTGGATGGACCTGAAATATATAAATCTTAAAATTAATGTGGCCTGACGTTGCGAACTTAGCAAGTTCTTCTTCAGAGGCTAAAACAGAAATGACAGAGGTACATACACTAACATGGGGGTGCACACAAACATGCAGGGCTGAAAGAAGAAACACAAAAGGAGGATTAGGTGGGAAAGGTGTGGAAAGATGCAGGGGAGGGTGGATGAGAGAACAAAGAAACAAAGGAAGATGGCAAACCACAAGGGGTCTGGTGTAAACAGGGGAGGGACCAGAAAGGGGAAGGATCAAAGGTCACAGGGAGTGGGAACGGACAAAAGAGTGTGAGAGTGAAGGGATGATGCGGGGGGGGGGGGGGGGGGGGACAGTATTGAGGTGGAAAGGGATGAAAGATGGGGGAAGATGTGTAAACACAAACAAGGAAGACCAGATGGATTATCTGTAACAGAGGACAATGGAGGAAGAAAAGGATTTGGCAAACAGATCTGTTTGCCAACACTTTGAATTGCAGGGATCTCGCAGTCAGTCTGCGTCTCAAGCTAGGCGACTGGTTCCGCCTAATTACAGATCTGTTTGCCAACACTTTGAATTGCAGGGATCTCGCAGTCAGTCTGCGCCTCAAGCTAGGCGACTGGTTCCGCCTAATTACAGATCTGTTTGCCAACACTTTGAATTGCAGGGATCTCGCAGTCAGTCTGCGCCTCAAGCTAGGCGACTGGTTCTGCCTAATTACAGATCTGTTTGCCAACACTTTGAATTGCAGGGATCTCGCAGTCAGTCTGCGCCTCAAGCTAGGCGACTGGTTCCGCCTAATTACAGATCTGTTTGCCAACACTTTGCATTGCAGGGATCTCGCAGTCAGTCTGCGCCTCAAGCTAGGCGACTGGTTCCGCCTAATCACAGATCTGTTTGCCAACACTTTGAATTGCAGGGATCTCGCAGTCAGTCTGCGCCTCAAGCTAGGCGACTGGTTCCGCGTGGTGCAGCTCCTGAAGGCAGGCAGCGGTGGAGGAGATGACACTCAGCTCCAACAAGCCTGGAATGCTATCGGTGACTACTATGCCGACCGGCAGAAATGGAGCAACGCTGTGACCTACTACGTGCAGGGTAACAATCAGGAGAGATTGGCTGAGTGCTACTATCTCCTGGAGGACTTCGTGGGGCTGCAGAAACTGGCTGACTCGCTGCCCGAAAACCACCGACTCCTGCCGGTAAGCAGGCAGTCAAACACCTGACTTGGCCTCTATCATTACTTCCTAATTTCATTTATTTTACGTTGGAATAGTGTTCAGCTTTATTAAATCAGCCCAATTACCAATCAGTTTTGGCGTGTTTGGAAAGTTTTCACTTCAGTTGGGATATTAAAACAGTATATCTTATGTTTACAAACTTATAGAGGTTACCACTGAAATTGAAGAAAACTTCTTAGAGTAAATAAAAAAACTCCAAAAACTTTTAAATCTCACTGTGTTTTAAGGTTAGTGCCTGTGCCGATTCATTTAGACTGAAGGCCCCTGTTTTAACCACAAGTGTATATAATGTTTGATATATATAGAACCAAACTTTACAGATTTTGTTTCAACACCTTGACCTTTGACCCCCAGGATATAGCCGCCATGTTTGTGACAGTAGGCATGTGCCAGGAAGCCGTAGCCGCTTACCTCAAATGTCACCAAGTCAAGAAGGCAGTAGACTGCTGTGTAGAGCTCAACCAATGGGACCAGGCGGTGGAGTTAGCCAAAGCCCATAGCATCAAGGAGATAGATAACCTACTGGCTCGCTATGCTGCTCACTTACTGGAGAAGGATAAGAAACTACAGGCTATAGAGCTGTACAGGAAAGCCAATCACTTCATCGAGGCTGCCAAACTCATGTTCAGTGTGAGTGGTTCAGGAATCGTCATTCTCTCTTCAATCGCTTCAATCCATTATTCTATAATACCTGTGGAGACATATCTGGGAGTCAGGTTGGCGTAGCGGTACTTTCCTCGCCTTCCACCGCTGTGACCCGGGTTCGAATCCCGCCTGGGCCGATATTCGGACTGGGTTTTCAGTCCCTACCTGATTCTGTGGATTCCCTAGAATATCGTTCTTGGGTTTCCTCCCACCACTGAAACTGTAGTTTCCTTCCACATCTTCTACCACAAGAAATAAGTGCAAAGACTTTCGTTGGCTATCCCTGCTAATTGCTGAATAATCATGGATCATAGTCGCCATGCAGTGGTACTTCTCCCTGTGCAGTGTGCACATTCAATAGGAAATGTAAACACATTCTACCTCCCTGTATTTAAAAATACATGTCACAAGAATATTTTTACTATGAACTTGGTGTCAGAATTTTTGTGAGACATTGCAAAGAAAAAGGGATTCCCATTCTTCACTTTCCCAAATTCACCTCACTCCCCCCCCCCCCCCCCCTACAAATCTTTTGGGTTAATACCACGCAATCCTGAAGCTTTTCTGAAACTCAGTTGACATTTTTTATTATGATGTTTTATTTGTTGTTATTTTGCAAACAGATCGCAGAAGAGAATGTCAAGAAGAAGGTCAAGCCGCTGAGAACCAAGAAGCTGTATGTCCTCGGTGCCTTGATGGTAGGTTGGAATGTAATAATAATAGTGTTAGTCATTTATAGAGTGCCATGTTCCCCAGGATACAAAGCAGTATATAAGTGCATTATGCAGCCTGGGACAAACAGCTACTTCTCTGTGATATTGGATATAGGGTCTTGGCGTATCGTGGGTTTCCATTAACCAGTTCACGTCGGATGACTTGTATACACGCAAAGGTTTTACGGTATTCGTAATGGATGACGAGTAAACAAACGCAACGAACGAGGCCGGAAATATCTGTCTGCGACCCACTGATGACGGCCTTCGTGAAAAACAGTCCCGCGTCTGGGACCGGTCAATGTCAAATATTCCCGGCGCGAACTGGTTAATAATAGAAACAGCCTTGTTCAAGTTAACACTCCCGTCCTAAAATAATGAAACATAACACTCCTGTTCTCATCCTCAATGTTGGTTCACCATGATACTGACATTCGTTTTTCTGTTCCTAGGTTGAGAGCTACCATGAACAGATGAAGCTGTCCTCTCGATTGAAAGCAAAATCGAAGAAGAAAGCTGAGGTTTGTTAACGATGCGTTCACCTCGAAAAATAGAATCTTTTTTTTTCAATTGGTATTTTCCTAGCAATATAAAAGTTATCCACTTTTGAATGACGCACTGAACAAAAAAATCCACTGACATTTACTTATTGAAATATTTCTTCACAAAATTTGAATAATTGGCTGCCAGACAATAATTTGGGTGGGTTATTTGTGCACAAAATGAAATCCCTTTTTCAGAGGGTTGCACATGACCAAAATCAGAATAAAGTAGTGTTTTAAATAATCACAACATACAAATGGAAAAAAATGTTTGGAGAGACAAATGTGCTTTTTTTTAAAGCATGGAGTATGCATCTTTTAAGTCATTTGTAATTAAATGGGCTTTTGCAAATAGTGCTTTATGTGAAGACGTTACATTTTGATTGAAATTTGGCAATTCACAATGCACTACGCCACCAAGAGTTTGCCATGGAGAGTCAATTTTTCAAGTTTACAGTCGACTAAACACGTCCCATTTGAATAAGTGTCAGTTGACAACTTGAGCTAATTTGTTATAGATAGGGGCATAGCGTGTTGCTGCCTTACAAAAAACACCATATTGATTAAAAAAAAAAAAAAAGGGCCAACAGATACTCGATTTCATATGCATACTTAACTACTAACCGGAAAAACCAACAATTTTAAATGTTCCACACTGCAAATTTGTCGACCATCTCCCACAATGCACTGGGAAAATGAACTCTTCGTGGCAAACTCTTAGTGGGGCACTGCACTGTGAATCGCCCGAATCGGTTACACATACTCTGGGTGTCATATACAAGCACCACTTCCGTATCTTGGTTGCACAGATTTACTAAGTATTGTTACACTGTTGCTTCTTATAGGCAGCCTCAGCCCTAGCCGGCCTGCTTGAGGAAGAGGCTATGGCTAGTTCAGATACCAAGATCATTGACAATGCCTGGAGAGGGGCTGAGGCTTTCCACTTCTTCTTACTGGCTCAGAGACAGCTCTATCAAGGTAAGGCTTTATTATGCACTGTACAACTATTGTCTGCATTGCTGTGGTATATATGGCATTTCAATGGCTCAGGTGGGAAAATGGTAAGTCGAGGCAAAACCAAGGGTATACTAAGGGTGTATGAAATTGATGGACTCTACCACAGCAGAAAACACGTGTTTAGTTATACAGTGGGACGTCGCTATGCATACATCGCGAGATCCACAGAATTGTTTTTGTATTAGCGATTGTATGGCAAAGCCGATACTTACCAGCTTGTGGTTTTCACACATTAGTGGCGGCCTCTTTTGACCGTTGTTGGTGTAGTGGCATTTGGGTGCAGACCAGTAAATCGGTCCGAAATTGCCTGCGCCGGCCAAATCACGATTTGCATGCCCTCAAAATCTTCAGTATTTGAGCATGCTGTGGGCCATGAACTTGAGGGTTTGTAAAAAATATGGGTGGAAACCGTGCACAGGACTGGGAGCTTGCAGTTCTGTGTAATTTTGATGTAATTTGGACCCTAAAAGTGCTCTACTTTGCAATGGAGTGTAGACATCGTTTTTCAAAATGGCGATGGGCTTCAGGACTATTTTCAGGGGTGATCATCTTCAGATGGAAATTTCTCCTAAAAGTCATCAGTTGACCCCCCCAAAATTGAAAAGAAAATGAAAGATGATGAAATAAGCTTTAATTTGATGTGCGTCTCGAACACCTTGGAGAGTTGTGAGTATTTTTCCCAAATTTTTGAAGTGGGAGCATTTACCATTGGGGTCTATGGAAGTTTATTTACTGGTCTGCTACCATTTACAACCCACACGGAGTCGCCAAACTTATCCATTCATCCTTTCAATGCCACAAGCAGAGCTTCACCCTGTACACCCTGGTAGTTACTGAAAGATGACTTTGAACATGTGCGAGTATTGAATCATGAAATCACAGTTTTTTAATCTTACACGGATGGTTTTTCCCTTCTATTCCTTAGAGAAATAATAGCCATTTGTCGCTCTTCTGTTGACATTTTCCAACACGGTTTAGTACGGTTTACACACAAAAATAGGGAGCCAAGGATGATGTTCGGTATACGCCAATGTTCGGTTTAGCGAAGTTCCACTGTACAGTGATGATATTATTATTGTTATTCACGCCTGAATAAATCTCCATCATCGGATCGGTGGGTGTTTGATCATTAAATTATTCATCCCAACCCACGGGGCCGCACGACAAAAATAGATGTTCCATTCCACGGTAAATGGAAGTTCCGTTGCACTGACACATTTGGCCGCTCTGACCAATCAGATGACGAGGATTTGTTCAGGAGTTGTATAAAACAAATCATGAAAGTTTCACATTTGTGCAATCGAAAGAGTTATTTCATTCGGTGAGAGATCGGAATGTTCCATTCCACTCGAAATAAATTCCATCGTTCACCTTATGAAGTTAATCGTACCATTGCACCGACAAACTTTCATTATTTGTATAATAACTGTGTACACTTTCTATTTTCGTGCACTTATTTCAAGCATTAAACATTTCATTTACGATGTCATTTTTCCATATTGCTGTAAGTGCATGAACATGGTCCACACAGTTAACAGGATGTGGCAGGGAACATATAGTCGTGTTCCCTAACGTGGCGCACTTAGAAGCTTACCCAACTTTTCTCGTGTAGTGTTGCCAAACCTCTTTGTTGATAAACCTCAAATTCATGCAGTGAAATACTGGTACTTTTACCTTTTTAATGTTTGCTATTTAACCTCTGTGAACAATTTCGGTTTCATAAAATTTAATCCGAAATGCAAAAACGGTCGCGTCCGGAAATTGGGCACAAATTGGCGGAGTGTTCCCTAACGTGGCGCACTTGAATAAATCTTTGAAAATTCCAAATTGACATTTAAGAATTTCTGTAAACTTGATAAATTCTGATAAATCATCATTATCTTTACTTACAAACCCAGCCAGATGTTTGTCAGAAAATTATTTTCTTATTTTTCGGGGCATTTTCAAAGGGTTCACTTTGCACTTGAAAATAAAATCAGAAAATCACGCCAAAATTATTTTTTCTTTTAACTTAGTAACGGGTAAATAAACTCGCGATTTATGAACGGGAGTGTTTAGAACTTGATGAAATTTCACTTTCTGCGAAATTTCAGTTAAGACTTTTGCTCTAGCTAGGCGCTACAGGCAAAAAATCAAAGTGCGCCACGTTAGGGGCCGCGCCACGTTAGGGTACATCAACAATATATTGAGTTGCCATTGTATAAATATGCACTTATGACATACATGTACCGTACATGTAAGGGGCCTACATCAGTTGAATTTCTTTTCATTTTAAACTTGGTATTATCGGCCTCCAGTATTGTTTTTTTTTTTAATTAGAAGTAACATTTAATAATTGTATGGTGCAAGTTTTGATTATTTTTGTTTGTGTGAACAGAAATATGCAGTGCTAAATTTCATGTTTCTGAACAATTGAGTTTGGTTCGGTTTTGTTCAATTGTTGACTGCTGTGATGTGAGATATATTGTTTTTAACCCCCTTGCATGCTATGTGCCCCTTGGGTATAAAAACAACATATCCTACATCACAGCAGTCAACTATTGTTAATTATAAAACAGCTATGTGTCACATCACATTGGCCAACAATTACTAAGTGTTCATGTATATCAATGCCTGTATTATATCTATATCTAGGTTATGTTGATGCTAGCATGAAGACTGCCCTCCACCTGCGTGAATACGATGACATCCTAGACCCAGTAGACATCTACTCCTTGCTAGGTCTCGCAGCCTGCGCTAACAGGGCATTCGGTACCTGCTCCAAGGCATTCATTAAGCTGGAGTCAACGGAGGCTCTGACCCAGGCACAGCAGGAGCATTACGAGGCACTGGCACTGGAGATATTTACCAAGTAAGTGATATCACTTTAACCCTAACAGACCCTAAAGCTACAAAATATGTAGTAAGGCCCAAAAAAATATATATTCGGTCTCTGGTCAGACCAAAGTTCCGGAATTGACGCGGGGACGCGGCTTCTTTTTTTTTTTTTCTTCAAGCTTGGATTGTACAGACAAGGTGGGGTACTATTTTGCTTTTTTGGTGTCCTCATGTACATTGGTGTCCTTCATAATTTGCCTTGGTGCTCTCGATCATTTGCCTTGGTGCAGTTCCCATTCCTTGGTGCTCTTTGGTAAAAAAAAATTGAGGAGGTGCGGCAATAGAGGGCGCTGTTGGACTACCGCGGAACATTTTGGAAAAAAAAAGATTGACGCGCATGATTAAAATCAACGCGCGCGCTGACCAGAGACCGACTTATTTTTTTTTTGGCCTAATCTGTAGTATGCATTTCTTTCCATACAAGTGTGCACAACACATGTAGTATTATGTGGTATTTGGTACTTGACCCCAAAACAGCCCTTTGGGGGTTAGGGTTAAGAAGTTATCCAAAGAAAACATGTTTTGAAGGGAAGTAGGGCATATTTACTCATCCTGAGATTTTGGCTGTTTCGAGTATCTTTAGCTGGTTTGACCTACCGCAAGCATTTCTTGAAATGAAGCATAGTGCAGTGGTTTTATTCCGCCTTCAAGTGTCTTCATTTCACCCTTTATTAATCCTTAAAACCAGAGTTTCCAGCTTTCATGATACGAACATCGAGACACACACATTTGGAGTGATTTTCACACTCTTTAATATGCCAGCAAGGAACTTTTTCTTGGTCTACAGAACAAATGCAAACACGAGTATTGAATCATGTAACTACAGTTTTTGAGCTTACGCGGGTGGCTTTTCCCTTCTATTCCTTGGGGAAATAATAGCCATTTGTCGCTCTTCTGTTGACATTTTCCAACAACAATGTTCGGTACGTTACATGTATGTACACAAAAATCATGAGCCAAGGATGATGTTTAGTATAGTCCAATGCTCGGTATAGCGACGTTCCACTGTACTTTCTAGCAAGTGAAAACAGTTTGTCTTCTCAAAAATTGTAGTGTGGTACACTTTGACTGGCAGTACCAACAGGCACATGTCTGTAGTCTCCTGCAATATGCCAATCTCACTTAGGAATCAGTGTAGGCTGCCTTGCAACCCTAGTCAGGTCTTCTCTGGCTGTCTTACATGACAAAGGAAGAATTTGGACAAGTACTTTATAAGTTCTGAATGTACACTCTAGTTTAGTATCTTACAGAAAAAGAAATAAATTTCATTACTTAAAAAATGGTTCAAACACAGCTTGAGATTATGTAATAGACCTTTATCATGCTGCCACCATTTCAGTCACGTTCCCTGTATCCAATAACAGTACTAAATGATAATGATTTTTTGTGCAAAAAGGAACCAGACTATTTTTCCTTCCAGCCTCGCTTTGGTTACGTTGTTATGAATGGGGGGAAATCAAGATGGCCGCAGCATGTCCTTGTTTCAGTTAAGGAGAAAACCGTATTTTTGTAAAATGTCAGTTTCAAACTGTGGGTAACTTGAGACAAAGTTTGATAATAGAGCAACTTAAAACAGTGCCTTTCTTGGGTTTTTTTTTCTCTTCAGACATGCTCCTAAAGATTCACGTACCAACAAGTCGGAATGTCCCAACTGTGAGACGATGCTACCAGACTGGTAAGAACACTTAAACCTAGTATTTAGATTTCATACAAAGCTTCCTAGAGTTGTATGTGTGTCATCCCAGAGTTCTCAAGTCAATCTCAAGTCAGTTACATGTCAACATGAGTCAATCACAAAGTAATCTTAAGTCAGTTTCAAGTAAATCCAAAGTCAGTCTCAAGTCAATCTGAAGTTAATCACAAGGCAATCATAAATAAAGCAGAAGTCAATATCAAGTCATTCTCAAGTTGGACGGACATCGGGTCACCATTAGTAACATCACAATTAGTAACATCACAATTAGTAACATCACAATTAGTAACATCACAATTAGTAACATCACAATTAGTAACATCACAATTAGTAACATAACAATTGGTAACATCACAATTAGTAACATCACAATTAGTAACATCACAATTAGTAACATAACAATTGGTAACATCACAATTAGTAACATCACAATTAGTAACATCACAATTAGTAACATCACAATTGGTAACATCACAATTGGTAACATCACAATTGGTAACATCACAATTAGTAACATCACAATTGGTAACATAACAATTGGTAACATCACAATTGGTAACATCACAATTGGTAACATCACAATTAGTAACATCACAATTAGTAACATCACAATTAGTAACATCACAATTAGTAACATCACAATTAGTAACATCACAATTAGTAACAGGAGATGAACAGTGCCAAAGGAATGCCTTTGTTGCAATTCATTTCAACAGCTTGTAACTGACTTGTGATTGAATTGCCAGGACATGTTGACCGTAATATAATTCTGCTGATCCAGTTTGTCGTAACAGCTATGTGGTTTGAACATCTGTGGCATAGGGTTAAATTAATTCAGGTATTTGCACATTCATGCCTATTTCATTGCATGATATCTCTGCACCGTGATGAAAGAGTTCTTACTACCTGTAAAAACTGGACAAATCTGACCAGTGTCCTCACAAGTCATCCAATCCCAAGTCAAGTCATGAGCTATTCCAATGAACGGGTTTTTTTCATAAATTAATAAGTTGTTCATTTGAATGTTAACCCTAACCGCCCTGAATCCTCCAAAATCCTCTTTGCCAAAGTGGAGGAATTGGAGGCTTGAGGCTACTTTGTAGGATGCACTTTGTCAAGGTCTCGTTCTGGATCTTGTGTGTTTTTGCTCAGTCTTGCATTAATATAGGCCTGGATTATGCTTGAAATGCTCCAGGATGTCATTGGCCAAGCCTCAATATATTGACAGTCACTGCCGCAGGATTTTGCAGGATTCAGGCAGTGGTCACCCCTCCACAGACCATATTAAAAAAACAATGGAGGAATTTGCAGGATTGAGACTATTTGCTATTTTCCAATGAGGCCAATTGCAGGATTGAGGCTACATCCTACCAAAAAGGCCTAGGGAGTTAGGGTTACTGAACTGGGACAGAAGTGTTGCTTTGTAATTACTCATCCCCTGTTTATACTTGACACTCGACTCACAGGGCTTAGTGATGGACTTAAGATCGATGCGACAAGAAGTTTCTTCATGAACAAATCAGATAAAACTCTTAAAGCTATAGTCCATCATTTGTAATTAGTGCATTTTGTTCGTTTGAAGCAACAAAAGTGTTCAAAATCTAATGAAGGATACTGAGCAACTAACCTGATGAAGTTTCAGCTAAGCATCAGCTGTACATTCCGAGAAAAGCAGCATTCTAAGATCTCAATTTCAAATCAAAAGTTACTGAATCATGTTTTGAATTGTTTTGAATTGCAGCTATACGCGGCGTCACGCACTGATCCGACGAATTATAACAACCGCGCGCGCGTGTGCATCGTTCCAATACTTGTGCGCACTGCGCTGAATAACAAAACGAACTACTAATTTAAATTTTCCTACGGTGCTTCTTAAGAATCACCGTTGGAAATGCCTTCTTTCGTTGATAACTTCAAAATGACAGCTTCCCGGAAAGAATAATTTCACAGGGAGTTTAGTTCCCTTACTATCTTTCAACCAAGTTTGTTTTTCAACAGTAATTACTCCAGTTACTTTTCGGATGGCTGCAAATGATGGACTATAGCTTTAAGGATCGGCCTCGTTTGTCCATTAGACATGTTTTCTGTTGTTGTTCCTAGGTCCTCCATGTGTGCTAGCTGCGACTCCAAGTTCCCTACCTGCATAGTGACTGGTCGTCCCATCATGGACAATCTGTTCTGGATGTGTGATACCTGCAAGCATCGAGCCTACGAGAGCGAGATTCGCACTGCTAGTACATGCCCACTCTGTCACTCACAAATCTAGACACAAATTAGTGTTCTGTGTCCATGCTTTTTGGTTGTCGCACTCGGAAAAGTAACAACTCCTCTAATCAGGGGTGAAATTTTTCTGGATTTTAATGTAAAAATTCATCAATGATAAGTTTTCATCACTGTATATTTCCTCTTTTTTTTGGTATGAAAAATTTGATGGGCAGAGTCTCTGTAGCCCTTTTCACACTAAACATATTTCGGGGTTGACGCAGGGTTTCCTCTTTTTTTTGGTATGAAAAATTTGATGGGCAGAGTCTCTGTAGCCCTTTTCACACTAAACATATTTCGGGGTTGACGCAGGGTTGAAAACATGCATCGTTTCACACTTGAAGAATTTCAACCCTGCGTCAACCCTGAGATTGATCTCGCCCCGTGTTGAACTCAACCCTGCTCCAGACCAGGGTTGAGAATTTCAACCCCGAGTTGAAATTCTTGCCAGGGTTCAAAACACTTGCGGTAGTAACTGAGCATGATAAGCTTGATTTGCATGAAACAAGTGTGAAACGATGCAGGGTTAAACGCGGGGTTGAAAAATATAAAAAAATCTCTACCCTGGGCGGCACTGGGTTCACCCAGGGTAGAGTTCAACCTGGGTTGAGAGGGGCTAGTGTGAAAAGGGCTTTGGAGAGTTGTTTCCTGGCAAATGCATACATGTACTGTTGATAGATCCTGTGTTGCTTTTAGGCTCAACCAAATATTGTTTTCTTGGATGTTTAGTTTCCCCTCAATCTCCCCCCTTTTTATTGCGTTTTACAACTTTCAGCTCCATATTCTAAGCTCTAATTACTACTCATCTGATATTCTTCTGAGATTTCAACCAGAACTCATAGTATGAGTCATGAGTTCCTGAATTTGGTTGCTTGTTTGGGTTTTTTATGGACATTGCCGAAACTTGATGTGTGTACTACAAACTACAATAAACAGTGAAGAACAGAAAAGTCACAGTGACAGATGTTGATGGGTGGTTGGGGTTTATATGTCTTCGGCAAGCAATTTGCAGATGCATTGATCTAGTTGTAGGATCTGTTGTGGATTCTTATCATGGGATTTGTGCCCTTCAAACAAATCAAATGATATGGACATAAATCCAAGGGTTTATTGGGAAGATGTATCCCAAGTCTGAAAACCCTCGGGGGTTGGGCTGTGGGTGGTTTGAGATGGCCAATAGGATCATCCCCCATATCTCAACGAGTACAAGTTGATTCTGATCATTGCCTCCTCCAATGGACCGATCCAGTAAGCACCGCCCCATGGTGTTCTGACCAATCACAGCCGTGATTTATGTCCGACGTGCGTGCACTAAAGTCCGACATGCGTGCACGCGCGTATGATGCGCGCGGAAGTAAAATGCAGTGTGGCATTGGAGAGGAGCACGTGTTAATTTGCCCACGTACGCACTGGGCGGAGTTTACTGGATCAGTCCATTGCTACGAACAAGCAAAGTCAAAAGAGTGCAAAGCGGAATCCAGAAAATCACTTGCAAATTTCATCTGTCTAAATTTTTGAAACGTTAAAGGATTTTTTGGCCACCATCATTGTATGTGGAAAACAGTCAAATACCCAATATTGAAATACTCATGTTGACAGGAATAAAAAGGTTGTTCATTATGAAACTAGAAAGCACTCAGAGAGCGCAAACCTCCGCCAAGGCTAAAAAAACAATTCCCCGCCATATTGTCAGTACACCCAAAAGAAATACATGTACTGGCATAAATGGTGAAGAACCCTTTTAAAAAATCCTGTATCATACCCAGATCCAGATAACATGTACTTGAATGTCATGCCAATCCGTCCATATCGTTTTGAGTTATCTTGTTAACGGACTAATTACAAACCAACCAACCAACCCACAAACTAACCAAATCCGATGAAAACGAACTCTCCTTGGCGGAGGTAGTAATGAGACTGTTACATTCAACAAAGTTCCAAATTAACCTTCTAGACTTTTATTACCAGTGTTTTTTTGTTTTTTTCAACAGAACATTGAATGGATGTACTTAAGTAAAATTGAACAGTTACGAGTGCATAGAGGTATAAATATCTTTAACAAAGGTTATTTTTGTGCTGTAGATAACTAAATGTTAGTTATCAGAAGTGTTTTCATGTTTTAGTGTTTGATCAAATGTTGTAAATGTTTCCACTCAGTTAGCAGAAATGTATGATAATAAATCATAAGGACATGTATATGGCTAAGAGGTGTCTTTGATAGTGGGCGTTACCTTTTTGGGTAATTAAAACAGGACGGACGCTAAAAAAGCTGGTCCCAAAAGGCGCACAGCATTCTATTCAATTGATTCAGAATATCTATTCACTCAAAGTCTTTTCATGCTTCAGTCTACCAGCGGGCCGGATTTAGCCCATTCATTGTCGTACGGGGTATAGACCTTATGCGTAGCGGCCATCTTAGAGGGCATCTTTTGTTATTTTAATTGAGTAACAATGAATGCACAAAAGATTCACTCATGTGTATACATTGTATACAATACATTGTATACAAGGCAGTATACATTACATTGTATATACATTGCTGGTACATTGTACCAGCAATTGTATACAATGTACATAATAACAATGCTGGTATGTACCTGCATTGTATATACATTGCCTTGTATACAATACATTGTATACGTGTACCAGCAATACAAGGCAGTATCCTCTATGATGGCTGCTACGCATAAGGTCTATAAATCCGCATAGAATAAAATGATTGACACCATTTATAAGGATACTTTCTCTTTCACACGGCAATTTATATGCAAAGAATCTGAAAGTCCACACCGAGTCGTATGTGGGCATACTCAAACTGAAAAAAAATAATCCAATAGCGAAATCCAATATTGGAAGGAAGTTAACCGCTCAATAAAGCTGTATCGCAGTCAGTAAATCAATGTGTTCAATCATTCAGTCCATTGAATTAGTGAATGGTCGATCCTTGCGTCAAATATTGATCAGTCAATCGGAAATCGATCAATAATGCGATCAATAAATCTGTAAATCCAACAACTTCCGAAGAAAAACGGTAAAAAAAGAAAATCGCGTGCCAGCATGACTGATTTCAAACGTACCATGGCGGCCTTTTCCTGTGTTATATACACTTTGGAATGTATTAAATCTTGTCTCTTTAATTACATTGGATGTGTTGGAGTAGCTTCCCGGTGTATACCCGGGGTTTACACTCCGGGACCACGAAATGAGGCTAATCGAACGCTGGGGTGTATTCGCCTGGCATTCTGAAAAGTTAAGGTCAATGGTTGTTGCGCGGGGGACTTTAAAATGCAAACACACCTGGTATGCCTCACTGGTAAAAACAAAGTTTTATCACTGTTAGCAGATCAATAGTTGCTGGAATCGGAAGATATAAAAAAAAATATGTCCATCCAATTGAACACTTAATAATTGGGGAATATTTGTGTCATAAATATCTCCATTGTACTCACTTCGTATTGAGTTTCCCACCATTTTTAATCTAGCTTGCCACGAAATCGTCCGGTTACGGTACCCGGACAGCCACAAGACCCGCTCGCGAGCTGGGGCAGTGGTGGTTGACACTAATCGAACGCTGTCGTTAATGCACCCGTACCATGGACACACTGATGAATCTAACCCTCACGTGTGACCTGGCAGTGTCCTAATTATACTCATCAAGGCATGCGCAATACAAACCAAAGACAGAGAGTCCATCCAAATTTCGAACTACGCCTGCTCATCAAACCTCATTAGGCGAATGTCAAGTCGAATGCCAAACAGGCGAATATCAAATAAACGGAAAGCCAATCAGACACAAATTCATCACCTGTGCAGATTTTTACCGTCCGCCACTCATCCAATTTTCAGTTCCTGCTTCAGTTTTTCAAAGCGGTCCTTCGCTGCATCATACAACACATAGTCAGTCTCCAACACCCGCCGTAGCATGTTAGTCACCTCCAAGGAATGTATCCTCTTCGTTTCCTTCTCAATTTGGTCCAGAAATTCCTGTTGGTAACCAGTCAAGTAGAACGGCAGAAGTCTCTCCATGACTCTAACAGTCGTCTCCATATCGTCAGCGAAGCCAACCACGAGGAAGTCCTCCAAGTTCTTGAGTGCCTCTTGCAGGGTGTAGTTGGTTGCATCATGCTGGCTGCATCGCTTATCCTCCCCACACATTACGCGTGCGAGGGACGATAGTTCGAAGCCACAGTATTTCCTCTGGATTATCTGGCTAAGCCTGGAGTCCAGCCTGTTCTTATCAAGTAGCATGGCGCATCTCGCAAGAGTGGTGTTCCTTGCTTCTGGTCTGAGCTGGATGTTACTCTTAGCTTTCATTCCCCATCGTTTTTGCCTCATGTACACCTTCCGGATGAGGTAAAACAGCTTGGTGAACCTCTCCACAGGGTCAGCGAAGACGGTTAAGGAGATTGGCTGAAAGTCGCCGTACCTTCGGAAGTTGATGAAGCGGTGACCACCGATGCTTAGGTAAGGGATGGGATATCGATACAAATATTCAAAAATGAGCTTCTCGTTGAACGCGTATCCTTCACCCCTTCGTTTGGTGATGCTTTCAGGTACCATAGTCAAAGTTAGAGAAGGGACATTTTTCTTGGCAACCGTTGCCATGGGGTTGATGAGTGACTGGCTCCCGCACATTGCTATTCTAATGAAGGTGAACTTCTGGGCCAACATCACTTCCTTGGATACGGTCGCGGGGTCACTGCGCAACTCCTGGTACAACACGTGGAGTTCGTCAGCTATGTTTTCTCCGCTCGCTGATTGGTCGGCGAGTGCTGGCGGGTTATCATCATTCTTCGTAGCCTCCCGCACCAGCTTGTCATCTGTATTCAGCCGGTGGGGTATCTTGTCATTGTTTCCTGTCTTGTGCTCCAGTCCATCGTCTGTATTCCGTTGATGACGGGGTATCTTGGGATGTCCTTCTTCTTTGAAGATGTTGAGGGGATGCGAGACATTTGTCAGCTTGACGCCTTCAGCTTGTGTCTCTACGTTGGCGACCGTCTTAACCTATGGAAAAAGAGGGTCAACTTCTGACACTCAATATGATAATACGCCTATACTTATGACAATCACTTTTTTAGCCTAAAGCACATACACTGCTGTCTTGAAAAGCATAATCTTTAAAGACAGAACTACTCTTTCACAGGTGTTTCAACGGGTAAGTAGTAAACGAATATGAATCTCAACGTCTGTCGGAATCTTTCGGGCCTAATAGCCCAGATAACATCCCAAACCTTTCAAAAATGTTTGGATTCCATCGTATGAGATGGCTTTTTTTTTATTCATGACAGCCAAAGCAGACTTTTTCACAGCATCCCATTAAAGTGGGCATGTTTTGATACATGCTGCTCATCATCATATACATTACAAAACATCGATTAAAGTCTCCGTTAAAAAGAAAAGAATCAACCTCGTGTAACCGCGCCAGGCTTGGGGGTTTGTTTTTGATGTCTGTGGGTCGATTTCACTTCTTGTCGGCGGACAATCAATAAAAGCTGTGGACATTTCACGAGAGCCCTACATTTTCTTATTAATTTTTCATCCACGAAATGTGGGAATGTAACATTGTAGGCCTATAGATGTTCTTCCATTGTTGTCGACCCTTGCTGCCGCAGACTCTATGTATTATACAAAACATAGACACAAGGTCGAAACTAGTCTCTCTTTCTTTCAGCCAACTGAGCTTGTCATTTTCTGTTCCTACAGACTTGAAGATCGATAAGGATTAAGCGATCAAAGGGTATGTCGGGTTAGTACAACCCAACAGAAAGGAAAGGCATAATTTATTCATAATGCGACAGGGTCACTTTGTTGTCAGAGATAACCGCCATTTAACCTCATTTTTAAAATCAGCCCGAGTACGAATTAATTTATGTTAGGTTTGTCATTCCGCAATAAAAAAAAACATTAATCAACAACATTTATTTGCATGCGAGGTATGATGTAAACATGAGAAAACATAAAGTTCAACAATTTACTGACACGACCGGTTTTCATAGATAACAATTGGATTAACATTAACAAGATAACAAGTAGACACACTTTATCCATGATATCCTGCATAATGCAGTGCTCTTTCATGAGGTACAGAGTAAAGGCCGTCGGCGTTTGTTTTTGCTTCAGCAATTTCAACCAATCATTAGTGTAATATCTACTCCACATTATTGGAAAGGAAATAATATTCTCTAATTGAATGGTTGTTTGCTTTGGTTGACGAAATATTGAGGGTTTTGTTGGACAGTGTTTATTCTGTCTCTGTCTCCTAACATTTTGGCAACATGTAGGCTTAACCAGGCTCAACGATAATATGCGGCACGCCTCTCTGAAAATTTACAGGGAAAATAATTATTAGAAGTAGGTAAGATCGGTTACGACTATTTGATGATTATTAAGTTTAGTTGTCTTCACCTGAAGACAATCGGAGCAAATCGAAGATAATTAGGTCATTGAGATCAATGCTGTAACCCTACTGTATCTTCTCAAAACCCACTATTGACAATACGGGCCCACATCTTTCTGCGGTGTTTCCGCAAACATTTCACTTCGAATACTTACACGATTATCCTCACTGTGCTTCGGCGTAGATTCGTCTCCCATGCGATGTACTTGCCTCTCTAATGCTTTATGCCGTTCTCCATCACTGAGGCTCACGTTCATGAAGGCATGGATGAGCAAGGCTGCAACCAACGCCGAACCGACCAGTGCGAGCCTTGTAATGCACCTCATTGCGCCAAACTTGTTTTCCGTTGCAGAAACTCAAATAACTATCGTCATCCCACTGGAAACTATACACTCTCAAGTGAACATCAGAGATGCACAATGGTCGTCCATGGCTTATAGTTTGGTCCAAGTCAAGAAAACTGTTCTCTCTTCAACAACACTTTCTCTGTGTATGTAGTCCTACGTTACTTTTTAAGTTTCTACAGGCGTAAGTCAACTTATAAAAGTAAGACGGTTTGGTTCTTCAACCGTCCACATAACGGAAGAAAAACACGGAGTTCTCCCTATCCGTCCTCCGGCTTGTGAGTGTTGATGACACCTTTAGCGCTGAACTGAATACAACTGCATAAACTAAACAGCGGATTTGCTCGGCAGGCACAGTATTGTGTAACGCGGCGGCTTTTCACTTCAGCATTTGTCGTCAGAAATCGATAAGTGTAATGCCTCACCCTCAAGAGCAACGGATCAGATCGCATTATATATCACGGTACAAAGGACAATGGTGGCCAGCGCATAACTTTGTAAACGCTGCCTCATTCTTTATAAAACTGAGTACTAATGAACAATTATACTACAGTATTACAAACTTTCTTTTTACATGATACAAATGTTCAAATAAAAAATTCAAAAGTTTAATGTAAGAAACAAAATGCTTTCACAGACAAGGATTTTTGTTTTAATAGACCCATATACAATTCAAGATTTGACACCAACTTAATTGTCGTCACTCTGAAGTTATTTTCCTTCTTAGCTCACCGAATATTGGACAAAATGGAAAAAATGTACGTGTAACGGATCCTTCACACAAAGATGAAAGACTGTTCTGAGCTCTAGTACAAAATGCACTGTGCGGACTTGCCTTAATTGGTTGGACGCGTGATAACGGGCCTTAATATCCGTTGACATGTTAATGGCGAATTTGCCAGGTGTGCCATATTGTCGGGGTTTTGTTTTTGCATGACATCTTAAACGGAACTATTCATAAAACTTTAAGTAAAACCCCTCCTTATGTAAGAAATACTTGTTCCAAAATTGTTTTAAAATAAATAGTTCGGATATAACGTTGGTATTGTGCAGTTTTTGTCCTCATAGATGAAGTATTTCCCTGGGAAATAAACGTCAGATGTGACACCTTTTTCGACCGTTTACCTAAATATCGTCTTTAATTATGCTTGCAGGATTATATTATGCAGGGAGATGTGGTTCCGAACCGATAAAACAAATGCGACACTTCATAGTTCATGTTAAAGCTAAAACAAAATATTGTGCTCGGCGTTAACATGTAGTTATCAATTATTAATCAGAATTCAATAATAAAGGCCAAAAACGTAGGATCATGAATATTCAAAAATATAATTAGCTGGCTTGACAGACTTTGACACCAAATCGGGCACCAGACCCTGCAAATTTGATCTCCACCGCGTGTAGTGAAGCGGTTAAGCTGTCTGGGTTTTTGTTGACAAGTCATTCATTTGATTTACATCACCCCAACGCAAAACAAAATTCCCATCTTATGAATAGTTAATGTGTACCCGCTGCTTGTACATTAGATTTGGACCAGCCAACCGATCCAACCGATCCCGTTAGCTCGGTGGTCAAGTGGTAAAACATCTGCACTAGAAAGCAGGAGGTCGTGGGTTCGAGTCCCACCCGAGTGATTTTTTCCAACTTTCACTTTGAGAGGTAACACACTGAGTATACAGTGTGAGTGTGTATAGGTCGGTGAAAGGCAAAACCTAATTTGATTTACATCACCCCGACGCAAAAAAATCCCATCTTCTGAATAGTATTCATGATATTTGCCACCTTTAGCCGAGGTCTTCACGGATCATTATCACGCGTCTAACCAGGAGTTATTCCGAGTCGTTAATCATTGCGTGTAGGATCCGTGGTCAAATCAACTATGCGGCCTGATTTTAAATTATACCAATCAAAATTGTTTGAGAAATTGAGGACAAAATGATATTAAAAATGATTTTCATTTCTTAGTTTAAAGAAATGAGACACATTTACTGAAAACGGTTCTGAACATGCCATGAAATAGCCATCTCACTCTTTTCGAGGTTTTTTTCTCAGAAAGGATGATTAAAGTTCGAGTCGTGTCAAGCACACGCTACTGTTCCTTGGTTGTTGAATCTGCTTAACTTTAACTCAAAGTTAAATTGAAGGTGCCTGAGTTATATAAGTCTATAATTATCCTTGGCATTATGCCCAACTATAATCTGACATAGTTTTCCATCAACTTCATCATGATAACCACATTTAAATGTCATCACTACCGTCACTAACGTTTGTCATCATCAGCATAATCTTTAATCATTGTTATCATCTTCTGTATCACCGCTGTCCTACAGGTTGAGTCAAAAACAGCGAAATCCAAACCTCCCAAAACTAATATCGTATTTTAATAAAATGTGTAACACCAAACTAATAATAAATGGAAAGCCAATTTCATAAGCTACTTTTAGATGGAAAGAAATTACTGAAATTGCTCAATCCGTTCAAAGAATATCACCATTTAAACGCAATGACCCTAAAACCTGTTTCCTCAACAAAAAAGCAGTTTGGTGCGTATTCTGACAGTTTGGTACAACAAAGAATATGACACACAATACTTGTTTCAACAACTGTCCACAACACAATAGTACATCATATCTTTATTAACAACCCTGGTTAGGCAAACAATATGATTTACAAAATCCAATTTTTTTAAAGACGGCCCTTCAAAAGGACTTTGTTCAATATTTTTAAATTTTAAACTGAGGTTTCATCGCTGGTGATGTTTGAAGACACTTGTGACGACGATTCTTGAAATCACATTTTTGGACGAAAGAGGTTTTAGGGTCATTGTGTTTATTATATTATATTTTATTCAAAAATTTTATGTATTAGGTGATATCCTGTGAACGGATTGAGTAATTTCAGTAATTGTTTCATCGAAAAGTAGCTTATGAAAATGGCTTTCCAGATAGTATTTTTGGTGTTGTACATATTTGTATGAAATATAATTTTGGGGTTTGGGTTCCATCACCGCTTTCCATGGGCGTCGCCCAGATTTCTTTCTAGAGGGGGCAAAGCACATTTTCCCCGAAAACCCCCATTTTTTCAAGCATTTTCCAGATTGATTATTTTTTTTGAGGGTGAGCATGGACATTTGCCCCCCATCTCAACCAATTAAATGAAACAAACATATGATTTCGCGCCTCTTATTCTTCTTTTTTTTTCCCCGCCTTTTATCCCCCTCCTGTTTTTAACTTAAAGTTGGTGTATACGTGCTTTTTGGGTGTGGCACCTTGAAAATAGATTTCAAGTATTGAATTGATAATTTTCTAGCATTACATCAGTTACGAGAAATGAGAAATCGCACGAAAAAAAATCAGCCCACGACAATTTATCAATTACTTACTCTCAACTTTAAAATTAAGATCGGGGTGCTCCTATTTCGTTCTGAATAGTGTGTGCAATTTCTGAACTGGAGCGCGCAATTTGAAACCACTTTCTGAAACTGTATAAAGGCCTGCAAAAATAAACAAGCAAATATATATGTTGCAGGGCATTATATTTTCATAAAATTTCATATGTTAAAAACCGACCCGAACCGCCTGACCCTGCAGAAAAACAACGAATACATGTATCTGGCTAGGGCAAATTGTCCTATATTTCACGAACACTGTGTCCGCTTTACGGTGCCTGAACTTGCCCGCTTCGAGTGACTTTTTTTTGCAAACCGTCGTCTCTCAGTAACAAATCATACCGTATTGAACGGTGAACACCATATCGCTGGGCTACACGTGCGTGATAGAACTGTTCACTTTTTTTTCACCCGGATTTTTTCGGGTTTTTTACAAGATGGTTTAACCGACCCGACCCGAAATTCGCAAAAGCGGCAAAACCGAAACCGACCCACCCAACTGAGGCCAAGTTCGCGCAAGGACTATAGTTGACCAATGGTTAACTAACGTTTGCCCGAACTCTGTCTAGTCGACGGTGGTTGACTACGCTAGACGACTACATTGTATTTGGAACCAGCCTACTGGGGTTGGTTGCGTCGCTGGTAACCAATAGCCGCGCGCTTTCATAACGCAAGCAGAGAGCCAGGATCCAGAAGTTTTGCGATGACATTTTGACCAGCGTTTGACTAGAGACGTTCGCACGTTGCTATCAGTGCGCAGGCGTAAGGTACGTCACAAATCAACCACTAGTCGACTAATGGTCCTTGCCCGAACTTGGCCTGAACTGATGGAAAAACCGAACCGAACTCGGTTTCGGGTCGGGTTTGCACATTATTCCACGCCTTATACAAAGCAGGCTACTTTTTCAGGTTCAAATAACATTTACCTGCGTGCAATTATAGTAACAGCGCCCTCTGATGTTAAAAAAAATCATGGATATACATGTACATGTGATCAATGGTGCTGGTGGAAAGGTGCACAGTTTGAATGGGGGAAAAAATCAATAAACTAACAAGGATAGCGCGATATCTTTTAGGATAAAAAAGCAACGACATTTGTTGTTTTTTGTAATATTCATTTCCTGGCCCCTAATATAATCGCTAAAAGCCAGGTACATGTACATGTAGTTATTCTTGAGCTCATTCTTGTTCAACGATTTTATTTTTTTGTCTTTGAGAACCTTGAAGACAGTCATACAACATGTACATGTATGCATTTTGTACAGTCGACTCCCGTTAGTATCCGCAGCACCCGGTCAAAATGTTCGTTATATCCGAATTTCGTATTATCCGATACAATGGTATCCAACCCATTGTTCACTTTTGTACATCATATTGGCCTACTGGAGATAAGGACACTATAGTCATGTAAATGTTAACAACAAACAAGCAAAACGTTCAACTGCTCTTTAATCAAATCTTAAGACAGCAGGAATACTGTAAGGATTGGGGTATGTGGCACAGTCTACATCAGTAATGCTGACCGTATAATAACCGTAGTATTGTTTGATGTACATGTACTGTATTTCCTTTATTATTCTACAGTATACATTCACATATCAGAATTTTTTTTTTTTGTACATTTACATGTACATAGGCTTTCTGGCGAAACAGCACTGCTCCCCTGAAATGATAATGATCATGATCGCTCCATGCTATGTGGATCCAAAGTCCAAAATGATGAAAATTCAATGTCCGTAGTGCATCACTCGTATTACTCTGATGCTAACAATACGTACATAAAAACAAATTGGCTGGAAATGAGAAACGGCTACATGTATAATATATTTGTGGATTGTGTTTTTACAATTTAGGCCTACATAAAATTATTGTACATGATTGTATACGACGTTAATGTACACATGGCTTCATAATATAGAATACATACAAACTGTATAAAATTATGATTCGAACGATAAATGTCTTTTTTTTTTCATGTCTATGTTATTCTGAGACATGACGCCTTGGCTTTTTGGTGCATGTATCGTATCAGATAATTTTATGCAGGTAAACGTTTATGTTTTGGGCTGAACTATAACCGATAGGTTTATGTTTTGGGCTGAACCATCAGGCGATATGGCCTTACCACCTGCATGGCTAAAGCCATAATCGCCATTAAATACCGCTGGTAACTTTAAACTATAGCTCAATATTTTTATTTTTGTCAGTTCTGGATGGTTCAAATCAACCTATGTGCCGTCTCCGTAGAAAAGCTACTGACATAAATCGTATATTTGGGTTGACATAAATCGCAGGTTTTTACTCCACTTTTACTCTTGTTATATCAGGATGATTATTTTCAGCTTGTTAGTAGGCCTAAGCTAATTTAAACTGGCGGCTTCCACACGGAACGTTTCTATTCCAACAAAATATAATGCTTACAACAATAATGCTTTTCCAGAGGTTTTCCAGAAAAGCCAAGGATTGGCACTATAGAATCAGAAATATATCGGCAGCATTTAGCCAGGCTTGCGACTAGCTGCATTGACATCACACCATGTAAACACAAACAGTTGACGAAGTACATGTATATTTAAAATACATCTTGCCCTTTAAATGGAATAATATCTGGATGACTTGATTGCATTCTTTGACTAGTGCCGTCTTTACAGAGTATACTTTGAGAGATTGTTAATTAAAAACAAGTCTGGAAACTGGATGAAAGTCTGAAAGATGCATTTTTTCTGTACCTATGTATTTCTCTCACATTCAAAGGTCTGATTTCAGGCAAAAGTCTGAAAAATCTCATGCCTGGTATTTGCACCAATTATAGGATTGTCGCAATATATGGCAGCATCAACAATGTTCCACTCAAGATGGCGGCCGTGATGTCTCCACACATCAATCAGCCCCATACACGAGTTCACTCAAGATGGCGGCCGTGATGTCTCCACACATCAATCAGCCCCGTACACGAGTTCTTTGTGGTGTTTTTTCTGATGTCCAATACTGAGCTGATGTTGGAGTTTGACCATCGCCGTGGCTGCCCCGGTGGCTTGCCGGTGACCCAGCACCTGGTTCCCGGTGTTAGGAATCTTGTTGGAAAACCGAGTCAGATTATCAGGAAGCTCTTCTTTCTCCTTCAGGTTCCCCTATGGTTCAAACAAAATATGTGAAAATAATGAAAACAAATAAATGACATTCCGTCACTTTTAGCTTTCTCCTTTAACAGTTTGAGGAGGACCCCGTGTGTACATGTATGTATTTGTTCGACACTGGAATGATGTGTTGCATGTCTTTGGGTCGATGTACTACACGTAGTCATGATTTTCATCGTTTATTCTAAACATAAATACATGTAGGTACATACATATGTACATGTCGGCAAACCATCAACTTTGTATTTAGTATATTCATTTCAGTGATTGTTAACGAAGTTTAAAAAGTTTCACTAGCCAAAACTTCTAAAGCTTTGTTTTAAAATTACTGAAATAAATTTACTAAATATAAAGTTGACGTTTGGCCGAAACGTACATATTTATGTACATATTCACTTCGTACACAATGTACACGCATGTTACAGTCGGGACCCACGGGAGTCGATTGTCTGGTTTCCGGCGCTAAAAAGTAGAAACTTTTGCTTGGTCAATTGTGCACTAAAGCCGTGTCCGCACTGGACTTTTTTTTTGGAAGGTTTTACCGAGACGATGGTAAAATGAAAAATGGTCAAATGTGACCACTGTCCGCACTTGGACTTTCGACACGGGAAATTTTACCCCGACCGCGTGGGAGAAGTAACCGAGCTGTCACAGTGTCAGTATAATGACTCACCGTACGCAGAAAACAAATTGCCGATCACATTTTCAGCCACCGATACGCTCAGTAATATTACACACGCCATTTGCATGCATAACATAATCGTTTACACGATATTATTTCATCTTGACACGCTAAATCTTGACGAAAGGGCCTATAATTCTGACGCATTTGTGATGCACGTCGTCGAAGCCATGCCGCTGTACGATGTTCCGTGCGGCAGCAGTGCCATCAGTATTCGTTGGTTCCCATCGCATGCTTACAGAATCGAAGCTATGATGTGGGCCAGGAACCAGTGACTACGGCCTACGTACGGTACCGGACCATGATGTTCCGTGCATGACTACAGTAGCGTATCAGGACGAATTTGGATCGTAGAAAATAACATACATCGGTGGAGAAAGAGAATTTCCGCAAATTAATTCTCAGAATGTGATCTCTCTTCTCTGTGTATGTATTTGTCCGTTGAAACATATATTTTAACGAGATTTTACCGCTCGGACTTGATAATACACCGCAGCGTGTTTCTACAAAATGTTCGGCCACTGCACGTGCAGGTTCGTGCGGTCTCTGTATGCATAACAGGGCGCTCGGGCCGGATGTACGCTTTCCTGAGCCGCTTTTACCGACTCGCACTGTCCGCACTGGACTAATCGTCTCGGGAAAAGCGACTCGGTCAGTTTTCCTGGGCGCGTGGGAAGTTTTCCTGGGCAGCAGTTGGCCAGTAAAAGTAACCGCTGGACTCAGGAAAAGTAACTGAGAGGAAAACGTCCTAGGCTGTCCGCACTGGACTTAAAATGGGAAAAGTACCCATAGTCTCGGTTAGTTTGACAAAAAAAAAGTCCAGTGCGGACAGGGCTATTAATGCCTGAATCAGCTGAGATCCAGTCACGAGGACGATACATTGCATGACCGCAAAACTACTTTTGTTAAGCAGTTAACGTCTGCGCTTAGTAACGTCTGTGCGCGTGACCGTTATGACAACAAACAGAACTCCATCCGGGACATCATAATCAAACAGAATTATTGACAGATCTTACTAGGCTACCGACGGCTGCATGGGCATTTTAATCACAAACGCAAACTCTAAAGGGAATTCGATTCGAATTTAGCCAATGTGTAATCTTCATTATTCAAGGCCTCTATTTTCGCCAAAAGATACAATAGGCTCGAATTAATCCTGCATTCATCTGAACAGAATATGGTTATGATGTGGGTGAAATTTTTACACGAATGCACTTACCTTTTGGTCATAGTCTTTCAGGAAACCCCAACCTTCCTCCCTAAAATAAAATCAACAAAGGAAAAGTGTTTCTGATATTATGTCCTTTAAGCATGGCAAAAGACAACATCTGAATTTACTCGCACATACATTTAAGGTAGAAAGCTACCGCAATAATGTCAACCTCAGATAGCTCGGTTAGTTGCGTTTTGGGAATTTTTGCGATATGTTTTGCGCTTTGTTTGGTGTCCCAGACGATAATACCTACTGTTTCCGTTTTATATCATATGATTATCATATCACACAAAATTATATATGCTCTCAAACTGAAGTGAATATAATATTGGCCGGATGCTAATTATATCAAATTGGAGCCGTGACTGGATTGCTGTAGGGGGCGTGGTTTCTGATCGTATTGCATGTACAATCGCAATGAATCCCCTCCCAACATGGAAATCCACAAAGGCCAACTTTCTGAAGTCATATTCCTTCAAGTTGTATTGCGTCTCTTCATTTCGTCCTCTTTTCATTTCTCGATTAAAGTCATCCATGACTAGATACGCAAGTAAGGTATCAAAAGAAAGCTGTCAAGATGGATCTCATTTTCAGTGTTCAAGTTCATATCTTTTTAGTTACCAACCCATTATTTTACAGCCCGATGTACAGAGGGTTATAAAGTTCTGTTACTATTATAAGATGGAATTTTTTTTCTGTTACTGCTTCTTGGTGTTGAGATTGGAATCCATTTCTTGCGATACTGACGTGTAGAGGAATTTGCCATTGACATGTCAATGGACACAGTCGATCTGTCTGCAATAACTTACCACTTCTTAACACCGTTCTGCTCCCGACCCACCGACTCACGCCAGATCCGGTCGCCGGTCACATGGTCGCACTCTCGGTAGTCAACCTCCGTGTAATTCTTGGTAACCGGCGGCGGGGCAGAGCGGCTCCCTGACGGTCGTTCCTTCTCTGCTGGTATGCACTTCTTGTGGTAGGCACTGGAAACACGGGGAATGGGAAGCCGATAGCCGGCCGATGTGGCCCGATCACTATACTGTTTTGCCATTTTGAAATTACACACTTTTCAGAACTACAAATAGCTGAAAAATGTTATTGATATTGTTCAAGGTAGTCTGAATACGAAGAATATGAGTTCAGCTAAGTTTTGTCTGGAGTTGTTTAGATGAATAATGCGCAGATGATTGTTTTGCCAAATTGGGAGTTAAAACTTTTCAGAGTGACAATCGGTTTCAAATCATGTTGGCTAAGTTTTAAGTTGTCAAAACAGTCATACCACTACATGGCTATACGGCATCTGAAGGAGAAGTATATTCATACAATCTTTTTGGCGGTCCGCTGTGTTGACGTACGGTGACAGTGAAAAGGTTTCACAGCTTCAGTTCCGTTTTCGACGTAGGTGTATAATTTTCCCTTTGATCGGTATTGATGACGAGTAAAGCAGTCTGCACACACAATAAAGCAGGGAAATTTCACACCTCCCGTTTGACTCCAAAATAAGGCTATTGTTAACATAAACGATATATTATCCAAGGGCTATAGAACCATTTTGAAAGCAATTGTGTAGGCCCTTTGAGATAATTCTTCAACAGCCGATGAAGCATGAGCTGCAGTTACATGTACACATCATTTTCACTTTTGCCCTTTTTAGGGAAAGAACGGACGGAGTGTCTTCCAAAATTCCAGAGTTCTCGATTTGCCAAGTTGACAGATGACAGTTACGAGAAACTGCGTGCTTGATGAACTCCGGTTATGTTACAAATGATCATCCATAAAGGTTGGACTGAAGTAATTCCTTTGTGAGTCCACAACGGATAGTCCTTTCCTATCCACAAACAGAATGCCAGTCGGCATCATGCCCGACAATAATGCAATGACTCTCCTTCTGCCCCCGGGATCTAAGCAGCTTCAACCACTCATCAATCTCGAAGCTTGGCAAAGTATAATCTGTCAGCAAACAACCCATACAGGCCACGCCGAGCTGAAGTATTCGTCAACTTTCCCTGATCAAACAGAGAGTGAACATTTGAGACTCACACGGTACCCAGCAACCGGCTCTAATGACGGCCGGGAACGATCGGCCCAACACCGCAGAACCAGTCCTTGGAATGGTGTTACCATAGACGAGACTGAGATATCGGAGTTGATTTCAATCCGTCCCGTTACAATGTTGAGTTTCAATTCTGCAGAAACTGTTGTCCTCATCAAGTTGTGTACATGTATAAAACATGACCAAAGATGATTCTCGTAGTTTATAAACTTCAACGGGACACGTCAGAGTATGAGTCCTTTTCTCGGTTATTTCTCCATGGTGTAAGTGACCGGTTCGGCAAACCGGTTGGTATTGCACAAAACCATGGAGTTCCAAGGACACACCAGTTGCAAGGAAAATCCCCAAATCCGGCCGTGATGTACAATGTACCTTGGCCGGGGTATTTACATACCATCTATCGTATCGATCTGTAGCGGGATTTCAGTGTATTATAAGGCCCATTCCAAAACCCTCCACTGATGACCCCACATAGGCCTTTTGTCACAGATGGTAACAAATTGCAACCTGTGTGCTGTTGCTAAGCGACGGCCAAACATAATGGCGCTCTACTGCGCATGTGTATTTAATAATACCGCCTGCATGCTGCCCTTTACACACACAGTCATAGGAAATGAACGGAAATCGCAAGTCAGGTGTTTTGTGCGCGTCTGACAGGTGCATAATTTTGAACAAATATTGATAAACAAAAAAACAAACCGTATTCATTAAGCAGATGGGAAGGTGCAAATTGAATATTTTCATTGTTCAATACAGCACAAAAGTGGCTATGATAGATATGAGAGCGTGATTTTAGAAAGATACTTTTGAAAAATATTTAAAAAAGTTATCGACAAAATGATTCAAAATACGCATGTAAGTTTGTCAACGTAATGCACAACCTAAGTAAAAACGTAGATTGTTGAAAAATCACAAAGCGTTAAAAGCCCCTAGTATTACCAACTTGAGCAAAACAAATACCATATTCTTGATCCACATTTAAAAGAATGACGCGTAAAAACAAATCTACCTATTTGCCAAATATTGATTTTAAGACTATAGCTACCCTTTTCATTATTATGCAGAGTTTTAGTTCGCCAATTCTTTTCTCTAACGGAAATCTTTGAATCACTCGGAAGCCTCATTTTCTGGAGAGGGGGGTTTAAGCCCTCCCCCCCCCCCCCCCCCCCCCCACATTGCATCAAAGTTAAAGTGGCATACCCCACCCCCTTCGGCTTGATTCTTCTCTCCTAACGATTTCTATTAGTATGTTTTGTTTCAACAACAAAAAACTACTTCATTCCGATTTCGGGCGTCTGCAACCCTCTGAAAAAAGGTTTTAATTTTGTGCACAAATGACCCACCCTAGCTGCGAGAGCCAGAGTATTGTCGAGCTTTGAAGTTATTGTTCTTTAGAAAAACGTCAATAACTAAACGTCGGTGGATGTTTTGTTTGTTCAATGTCTTATTCAACAGTAAATACCTGTTTTATTGCTTGGAATATAGCAATTGAAAAACATATCTATTTTTCGAGTTGAAACTCGGAAAAGCACAGAAAATGCATCTAAATTTGTAGGCTAAATAATGTTGTCACACTGCGTTCATTTTGACGGAGTGTCAATAAGTTATGGGATTAAGCGTATATAGCCGTCTTTCGGATTGAAATAGTGTTTGTTATTTTTCTTTAAACAACGCGACTTTAATTTGTTGGTTTTCCAAACTCCGTCACTGATAGTTATACAGGGTGAGTCAATAAAGCGAAACCCAAACCCCCACAAAATATTTCATATTTGAAAGAAATATGTAGCGCCCAAATAATAATGACTGGAAAGCCAATTTCATAAACCACTTTTAGATGAAAAAAAATCTGAAATTGCTCAATCTGTTCAAATTATATCACCATTTAAACGCAATGACCCTAAAACCTCTTTCGTCCAAAACGCGATTTCAAGAGTCGTCGTCACATTTGTTTTCAATTATCACCAGCGATAGAACCTCAGTTTGAAAATTAAAAATATTCAACAAAGTCCTTTTAGAGGGCCGTCTTTAAAAAAAAGAACTTTATTTTATAAATCATATTGTTTGCCTAAGCAGGGTTGTTAATAAAGATATTGTGTACTTCAGTTGTTGACAGCTGTTGAAACACGTATTCTGTGTCATTTTCTTGTATCTTCCAAACAGTCAGAACACACACTAAACTGCATGTATTTTGGACGAAACGGGTTTTAGGGTCATTGCGTTTAATTGGTGATATTCTTTGAACGGAATGAGCAATTTCAGTATTTTTTCCTCTAAAAGTAGTTTATGTAATTGGCGTTCCAGTTATTATTATGTTTGGTGTTATATTTTTTTAAATATGAAATATATTGTAACTTCGGTGGAACAGGGATTTCCTTTATCTTTCAATGATAGCGTAACCTGCGGGGGGGGGGGGGGAAAGCTTGCCCCCTCCGCGGCATTTTGATGGCGTCATTAAACATGAAAAGGACACTATCATTAAGACGGCTTTAATACGGTTCAGACGTCGATACAGTAAAGTCTTAGTTTTGCCCACACCCACCCCCTCTGGCATAAAAAGCTGGATACGCCGCTGAAGTGTTTTAAAGATGTATTTCCCGTGATAATAATTTGGTTTTTTTTAATTGCTATTTTCCTAGCAATAAAAAGGTTATTCACTTTGAATGAGACATTCAACAACAGAAATCCACCGACGTTAAGTTGAATTATTTCAGTTCACAGAGTTCGGATTATTGGCTGCCAATAATTCAGGTCTCGCAGGGCGCGTTATGTGTTCACAAAATGAAAGCCGTTTTACAGAGGGTTGCATACGCTCTAAATTGGAATGAAGTAGTTTTTTCCTTAAAACAAAACATATAAATTGAACATTCGTTAGGAGACAAAAAAAATCCATTTTTTTTACTCGCATGGGGTAAACATCTTTAATTAGCAACACATATGCACATTTTAAACAACAAACGAGAACTTAACTCAGTTCAGGGAACAGGGGTCTTGCAGAATTTATCTTTCTTAGGCAAAAATATTTTGCATATTAGAAAAAGAGAAACCGGAATGAATTATTTAACAGAACAGAGTTTGAAGGCGATACAAAATGTAATTTTCCAAAACGAAGAGATAAACACAATAAATCCTACAAAAAATAATAATTCAACTTCGGTCCTTGTTGGGGTTGTATGACTATTTTTTTCTAAATTTATAGGCTCATTTAGCTTGCGAACAAGTAATTCTGAAGTACATAAAAGCAGGATCAAGAGAAGAAAATAATACAACTCACCCTTGATCGCCGAAATATGTGAATTTGTTGTTCATTGCGGCCTCGACACAAAGGATTACCGATATAACAATTATTGTTCGTTGTAAAAACCTCTAAAGGTCTACATGGTGGAACAGGAACTGCACGTTGTAAAGAATGACAAGCATTCACATGGATGTATTGCAAAGAATATTATCAGTTGAATCGAAATTCCTGACACAGCTGAGAGCCAACTCACAAAATTTGCAGGACTGAATTCGTCGCTTACGGCAGGTCAACCCGCCTCGCGCAAAGATACTTCTTTTCAGGTTCCCCGGTCGTGAAATGACGAAATTGCCGCACAGGTGCATTTCGGAGAGCTCATATATTTTTCAGCTTGAACACAAATGAATGCCGATCACGGAGTCCGGCCTGCAAAGCAAACAGTGTTTCTTACAGATAAAGCTGTCATCTTTTTAATAGACGGACAAAGACATCTCTTCAAGCTGAATTGTTTGTTGTTTGTTCAAGGAATAACTTACATTGAAGTGTTAAAGCCATCGATGCGCTACTGCGTGCTTGCATGATATAGATAGTATTGCCATGGTAACATACCTCCCCTTGAGTATTTTGACAATGGTCTGTTTGTTTAGGTTACGTTGTTAACCTGGTTCTTGGTTATATGGGTTATAATCACTGGCAAATTAAAGATAAGAAAGTGCGGAAGCCTTTTCATTTCAAAATATGTTGTCTAGAAATTACAAAAAAAATCGGGGAAATATTTCAAACGCTTTTCGTATATACATGTAATTATATGAACACGTCACTATCTTTAATAAATTATAGTAGCATTATTTCATTAATATTTGTTTAACTTTAAGAGACGGTGTAGCGTTCAACGGCGGTTCTAGAGAACATAATTATTGCCTATTCAAAATCTAAAGTAGTTTTCAAGTGTTGAACGTAGGCTGATTTAATTTTCTTTAGATTTCTCATTCAAAAAGTCAACCTGAGTTATTGTTTTATTGCTAGAAAAATATCAACAATAGAAAAAGAATCTGTTTTCTCAGAAAGAAACACGGAAAGTAGCACAGAAACGTAGATTTAACCTTTAATTTGCTGAATCTGTGATATACAAGATAACGCAATTTGAATTTGCAAAGTATCTTTTACGGTTATTCCAAGAATGTATAGTTCTGTGTTTTTATTTTTTTTGTTTAAATGGTATCAATCACGATTGTATCTTGTGTTATTATTGCTGTCCTATGCCATCGACATGACGAATAAAAAAAATACAACAAAACATTGTCGCATGGGGGCGCCGTTCACGTGACAGCTTGCAGTGATAAATTGATGTTTGTTTACAACCCAATGAGCAAAAGGTGGTTGGCGCACGTTAACATAAAGCATTGTGGGTAAAACCACCTCTCGACCATGGTTTTTGAGCCGCAGAAGCAGAACTGCTGGAACGTACCAAAACACACGCACGTGTCAGGTAGCGGAGTGGCGATTGTGAGATCTACGGGCCCGGTTCCTATTTCATGAGGGAACGAAACCCACTTTTTTTTTATTCCTCCATGTTGACCTACCAAACAAGTTGGCTACATTAACTTAACATACAGGTATGTCATGGGTAGTTTTTGAGGGAATTTTGGGGGTAAAGTGGCAATTAACATTAACACAACGCAATTAACAGTCCAACAATCATGACACGGAAATAAAGAACATGAAAGATGGCGATCAATGCGCGATGGTGTTGTTATAGCCCCATAAATGTGGCCAATTTACTGGACTACCTCCGTAAACATATGCTACACGGCCACTAGCATGACTAGCCCTGTAAATGTGGCCTATTTACTGGACTAGGCTACCTCCGTAAACATAGGCCACACATCCACATGTACAAAAACGTGTCGCACTTTGCCAAATTTTGATTTTCACATTTAGGCTTAGTTTGTAGGCGAATGTAGGGGTTTTTTGCTTTAGAAGCATACTCACCCTCTTTATAGGCTAATCAGAAAGTGCTGCCTTTTTCAGATGTCTAATTTTTGTGAAATTTCATGTTGAAATTTTGATACGCAAATGTGTGCAAATGAATCTGGAAATTTCACGAAAAATGGACATTTGAAAAAGGCAGCACTTTCTGATTAGCCTATAAAGAGGGCGAGTATGCTTATAAAGCAAAAAAAAACCCTACAAACTAAGCCAAAATGTGAAAATCAAAATTTGGCAAAGTGCGACACGTTTTTGTACAAGTGGATGTGTGGCCTATGTTTACGGAGGTAGTCCAGTAAATTGGCCACATTTATGGGGCTACACGGCCACATGTACAAAAACCCCTTCACTTGATGCATTGAAGGACAGTCTACTGAAACTAAACTTGTCCAGTATAAAAACATGAAAAAGCAGAGCTTAATATTAAGTGCCCCTAGCCACACACACCTGCAACCTATAGGGCTACATCCCATGACGGGAGATTGCTTGCAGTATTGATCCAGAAACGTGTCGCACTTTGTCAAATTTTGATTTTCACATTTAGGCTTAGTTTGTAGGGTTTTTTTTGCTCTAGAAGCACACTCACCCTCTTTATAGGCTAAACAGATAGTGCTGCCTTTTTCAGATGTCTATTTTTCATGAAATTTCTAGATGACATTTGCACACATTTGCGTATCAAAATTTCAACTTGAAGCGTCAGACATATGAGGCGTGGGACTTGTGATACAGCCCCAGTTTGACAATGTTTGATACTTTCAGCATGTTCAGGTTGTAGGCCCTATTAATATTATGAGTAGGGCCTATATAGTAGTGTTCGCGGAAAGATTTCCATATACGAAGTTCACTCAACACCCTGTGTACAAACCCTATGAGATTAGAAAAATTCTAAGTGTTTTCTAAGAAAATGCTTGTATTTTCTCACTGCTCAAATTGACTTTGATGACATGAAATTGCTATCTGGGGGCTTGTTAGTCAATACAGAGGAAAATTAGTGAACTTCGTATATGAAAATCTTTCCGTGTTCCCTATAATTTTGTGGCGCACTTTGACATTTCCCCGACTTTCCTCATGTAGTGTTGCCAAACCTCTTCAAATTCATTCAGTTAAATACCATGAATACTGGTACCACTACCTTAAGAATGCTTGCTGTTAAAACCTTTTTAAGAACAATTAAGTGTCATGAAATTAAGTCCCAAATGTGGCGCACATGAATAAATCTCGGAAAATTCCCAATTAATATTTAAGAATTTTTGTAAAGTTGTTAAATTCAGATAAATCATTATTATCTCCACTCACATACACAACTAGACAAATTTGTCAGCAAATGATTTTCTTATTTTTGTGCAAATTTTGAAAGAGTTCATTGTGCCCTGCGGAAAAAAAAAAAAAATCGGAAAATCACGCCAAATTGAATTTCTCCAGAACTTTGTAGCGGGTACGTATACATACATGTAAACTCAAGAATTATGAACGGGAATATATAGAGTTTGATGAAGTTCTTTGTGAAATTTGAGGTAATAATTTTGCTCTAGCAAGGCACTAGAGGCGAAAAGTTAAATTGCACCACGGCACATTGGGGGCCACGCCACATCAACAATATATCATGGAATTCTTTCCTGAAAGGCTAATTTTTTGGGAGTACTAGAAAACAACCTTGACTCTTTGATTGAAACTAAACAGGCATGACAGAGGCCCAACATTATATGATTGGCGGCGGGGTTTCTACAGCAGAAGAAACTTTGCAAGTTAATCGTTTTTATTTTCATCAAATCATTGCAGGTGTTGATATTAGCCTCACGATGGAAGAGCTATTCAAGGAAGCCAAAAATCAGTTCATGTTGGGGCAAAATCAGAAGGCGGAGGAATTATACACACAGATCATCGATGGTTGCAATGCGGAAGTGGTAACCGATAACATGTGAGTAACCCCTAGCATGCCTAGCCCTAGCTTGAGTAACTCCAGCTCTAATGCTCATCACATTTAGAGCTGGAGGCACAACTATGTTTAAAAAACTAGATCGTAAGAGTCCCGAAAAACGCGACCCTATACATATCCCCAGTGTATCACCCATGGTATCACACAAATGATCCAATTCCCCTTTGTTATCCCAACCCAGGAGATTCAGAGGAGAATACAATTTGCATGGGCAAAATTTGGCAAGTTGAGTTACATATTCAAGGACAGAAAAATACTGCAAAAGATGAAGTGTCAACTCTTCGACCAGTGCATCATCCCAGTTCTAACATATGGCGCTGAGACTTGGGCACCTTCAAAGAAATCAGAGCAAAAATTGCGAGTCACTGTACGGGCAATGGAAAGGATAATGATTGGGGTCACAAAGAGAGACAGAATAAAGAACGAAGATCTTAGAAGAAAGACAGGGGTGCAAGACATAATAGTTGAGATCAAAAAGAAAAAGTGGAGTTGGGCAGGACATGTCATGAGAAGAGACAACCACAGATGGACCCTGAAAGTAACGGATTGGACGCCATTATCATTGAAGAGGCGAAGAGGAAGACAGCCTAAGAGATGGCGAGATGAAATCTCTGATTTCATAGGGAAGAAATGGAAACAACTGGCAAGGGATCGAAAGCATGGAAAGTTAGTGGAGAGGCCTTCATCCAGCAGTGGATTGAATTAGGCTAATGATGATGATGATGATCCCAACCCAGATTCCATTTGACATACCGGTACCATGCAGCAGTCATTCCTGAAGCTTATATTAATCAACTTCAAAGAGAACAAGAAAAACTAAATTTCATATTTTTGTGCACTGGTGCTGTGTGTAATGTGAGACATTGACATACAGCATGTGTGCATGTATTATATACAGTACACGTCTCGCAATTACCATATTAAAGTCTCCACGCAACGATCCACCAATAAGAAAATGACTTTTAAGGTCAGCTTAGGCTATTATCATAATGAGCACCACCCCCAAAACCTCACATGGATGATTGGAGCAAGGCGTTCGTCTGGAAATGATTTGCATAAAATAGTGGTCGCTGTTAATTTAGCGACGATATGCCGCCGATCGTTTACCGCGTATGGACAAATAACGAATGCCTTGACCAAGGCTATCCTGATACGAGCTCTGTAATTTAAGTCCAAAAAAAGTGACACCTTTGCATTTAGTTGAGCATGATTGCCAAGAGCACAAATGTACAGGGTGAGGCGAACAACACAAAACCCAAATGTCGGGACCATTGTTTTATGGAAGTTCTGCATGTAGCACTTTCAAAATCTAGGATGTGAAAGCCCAATTCATAAGCTTTCTTTTTAATAGTACGAGAATCATTCAAATCATTTACGTACTTTTCAAGATACAGACTTTTAAACACAACCACCATTTTAAAGTTCTGTCCACGGATCACACAAAAGGTGTGTGTGTTTTTTCAGCAAACCGAAAATAATTCACACACATTCCTATGTGATTTGTTTTTCGTTTTGCTGAAAGAATGTTCACACCTTTTCTGTGATCTGGGGACAGAACTTAAAATGGTGGCTGCGTTTAAAAGTCTGTAACTTGAAAAGTACATGAGTGATATGAATGATTCTTGTACTAAAAGAAAGCGTATGAATTGAGCTTTCATATCCTAGATTTTGAAAGTGCTACATGCAAGACTTCACTAAAACAATGGTCCCAACATTCGGGTTTCATTTTTTGACTCACCCTTTACACTACTATTCTCACTGATAACAGCGAACAAAGCATGTCAAATCCATTTGATTTTGTTGATTAACTGATCTGTACACATTCTACTGATTTTAGGAAGTCCATTCTCGCAGAGGCATTCAACAACCGAGGGCAAATCAAGTATCTACGTGTAGACTTTGATGAAGCAATTGCAGATTACACTGCTGCTATTGGTGTTGACAACAGCTTTGCGACTGCCTACTACAACAGGGGACAGATCCATTACAGGCTAGGTAAAAAAAGTGCTAAACAAAAAAAGATTCAGAATCATATTGTTTGCGATTGTACAATGTACATGTATTTTAGGATTTAGCCCGTATCCCCCTCCAGCCAAAATTATGTATTCTGAGTCTTAAGAATAACCACTAACAGTGTCACCATTGTTTCCAGTATCATTTGCATTTAAAAGCCCTCCTCCCCCCCCCCCCCTCCAAACCAGCTAAAAAGAATTTTAAAGGATTTTTCGGACCTGTTGTGTTTTTTTTTAGGAAAGAAATTGAAGGTTTTTCGAAAGTTTGGATAAATTTGTGAAGAAGGGTGATCTGTATTTGTATGGTAGGATGTGCATGCAGAGATGCCACTTTTCCGGTTTATAACCGGAATCCCCTTTTTTTTAAATCTCACAAAAAATCCAAAAACTGCAAAAAGACGACAAAAACTGTGGAAATGTGTTGATCTTTACCTCGTCAGCGCTCCCTAGTTTAGTACTTACACATGACCAGTGTAGGTCTACATGTTGTAAGGATTGCACATGCACGTCACAACTTTTGCTCGTATCCCCCCCCCCCCCCCCCCCTGGATACGCTGATGATCTTCACAGAATCTTGTGAAGGAAGTGGGGATGGCATCCTGGGTAATTTATCCTGACCTATGTATAAAGCATCCGGCTGCAGCTGTTCAAGACCGCAGTTAGCCAATGTGCGCAAATGCTATCCGAAATTTTTCTCATAGAAATGTAAACAATCCGTACCGGATGTGATTTCTTTTTCATTGCGGATCATGTGGACACCTTTTGAGCGTTGCATACCGGTATGCATTACCATTGACCGTTCGTGAATTCAGAACGGAGCCTGAGCAAGTGACGTGAATTGCAAATTTACAACACATACGTTTTACAGGCATGCAACTTTTCCTCGGATCAGCTGATTTCCTCTTTTTTTACTTCCCATGTGTGCCATTGAAAATAGAAAAAACACTGTACAAAGTCTGGGAAAAATTTGAATTTCCTCTTTTTTTGTGATTTCCTAGTTGCATGCCTGGTTTTACAGATTTTCCTACAATATTACGTTTTTCAACGAAAAACAAGCACCTATATTGGAATAAAAGAGTAATGAATCAGTCTGAACGTCCGTTTAAAACCTTGCAGAGTCATGGCCGTGATGACTTGCAGGTCTCATGTCGCGCAAAATTTATTTAATCAGGGCATGAATTCATCAGCGTATCCCAGCGTCCTGTTTGCAGGGCCGAGGGTACAAGCGAGGGCACAACGTTGTTCGTTGAAGTAGTCTTAAAAACAAGTCTTTGTTGCACGCAGCATACAACGGCGCCTCGCGTGCTGCATGCACCACGTGCGGGCTTGTTGTGTGCTAAGCACATGTAGCAATCAGCCTGGGAATCAAGTCTATCATTTCAGTTATCGGTGGTTCCCGATCTCAGTGATACATTGTGTATATGAATACAAAAAATGCTGGGTACCAACAATGTTTTCGTCGTGCGCATTACGTAGTGCAAATTTAGGTCATGTACACCGTTGGAATCATGCACGTTTCGTGTCGAATATTACATTGGAAATTTGGGTAGGCAAAATAAATAATAGAAATATGGAAAAATTCAAAGTGATTGAACGAACCAACAGCTTAAAGGCCATAGAAGCAAAAATAAAAAATAAATGGAACTGGGCTTGGCTACAAGAGAAAGATGACAACGGGGAATAAAGTTCGTTTTTTTTTCTCAAGCAGATCCTGTGGCATCTCTGTACATGTAGGTACAATGAAACAGCAGGCTGATTGGGAGAATACAATATTATAATGCCTCCTCAAATAATGCATTATACAGGCATTTGAAAAGACTGGCTTTTTATATTCAACTTTCAACATTATGGCATTACTCATGGTGCATTAAAAATATCATTTTTGTCATTGTTTCTCATTTTTCTTGATTCCCTGTAGCAAGATTTGAGGAAGGCATCCGAGATCTTCAAGAAGCCTTGAAGCATCAACCAGATTTCCCTGATGCTGCGGTCGCTTTGCAAACGGCCCAAGAAGACCTCCAGATAAGTATATCAAAAGCAGATGCCGGTGTGTCCATGGAAACGCCATCAACATAACATTAAACACTCTGCAAGGATTTTGCCTTTCACGGAATTGTAATATTATGTTATTAACCCTTACTCTCTGAGGGTAGTTTACTGCATGTCAGTTGGTTATGCCAATGCCCTCCAGCTGCAGTTATTTGGCAGATAACAAGTCTTAGCAGTGAAGGCTCCAATTGGCAGGAGTTGGAGGCCCTGGAGGGTGCCTGATACTGACCAGCTGGGGGCACTCACTTTGTTATCAGAGGACTCTCATTGTTCTCTGTGGCATGTATTGGAGTGCCTGTCCAGTTACCCTTGAAATGACATGGCAGATATTGGAGGGCCATGCAAAAAACATAGGAGATTTTCTTGAGGCACATATTGGCATGCGTTGGAGGGTCAAGTAGGGTAAGGGTTAATATATTTAAAAGAACCAACAGATTTAGCGGTGAATTTCATTAAAGTTTAATTCAAGTTCACGTTTCATGGCATTGATTAGGAGTTATGCTGAGTACAATAAAAATGTGTTTGTAAATTTACATTTCAAATTGATGGAATATTTTAAGGGAAGCTCGTTATCTGTAATAATATAAAAACAACTTTATTGGGTTTTTTTTTGTTAAAAGACAATAATTGTGAAGACATTGTAAATAAGGAAACGATTTCACAATCTTATCGTGGAGACTTAGGGAATTGAGGGTTTGAACCAATTGTAAAACATGCTGAAAAAATGAACGAACAGGTTTCTTTTGATCAATATAGCTGTAGATTGTTTTTTTCGTTTCATTGCGAACTGTTGTGAATGACTTTCAACCCCAAAAATAGATTTGTTTTTCAATTGCTTTTTTCGTAGCAATATAAAAAGTTATTCACTTTTGAATGAGACATCGAACGTGTAGAATCCGCCGACATTTAGGTATTGAAATATTTCTTACCAAATTCAAATTGTTTGCGGCCCGATAATAATTCGGCTATCGTGGGTTAGGTTCATTTGTACGTTCATTTGTCAGAATGTTGCAGACGCTCAAAATCGTAAAAATAAAACCTTTTGTTAAAACAAAACATACCTATTGAAAGGTTGTTAGGAGAAAACAAATTGAAGAATATGGGCTTCACTGACCGGTACAATACTACGCAAGTACAGTTCTCAAAATGCAAGAAGTTTAAGCACAATTAAATTATTCATGACACTTCCAAAAAAGGATTGACACAAATTCTGTCCAATCAGATCACTTGTTACAAAAGCTGTGTATGCGATAGGAGCTCATCTACGTACGATTGGACAACTGTCCCTATACCTCGCACTATAGGCTTTGGCTGTCGCTGGGCAGGCCATGTTGCACAGGCTCCACCCCCTCCCCCTTCCCGAACCAGTCCTCACTCCAACAGAAACATGTCTCTACCGTTCAAAATGCACTGAATATGGGAATTTGAAGATGATGTAACTACTTTACTGTCTTTCCTTGAGCTTCATCTTGTCCAATGATGCTTGCAGTCTTGCTGTAATTTTTCTTCTTTGTAAGTCTGCTTGCAAGTGTTGGTGGAATGAATATCCTTTGGCCTGTTTACAGCATTCGCAACCATAATGGCTGAGTTAGACAATTACTGACTAGCATATTAAACACTAGCTGTGAAAACTGCTGTCAAAAGTAGCTTTGCTTCTTTTTGCACTACCCTGTAGTAGTCAACAATTGGCATGTAGGCCTACGTGTAGGTATTCGCACAAGTAAGGTTTTTTTACTTTTGCAAATATGTGTAGTGAAAAAAGTGTTGTTTCAGTTGGAGGAATGTAAAAGTGATTTAAAAATTGTAATTATAGTTTAAGAAGTACTGCATATAAGTACAGTGTAATTAAAAACTAATCAGTCATAACTTTACCTTCAATGTTGTTCCAGACACAGAGCATCGTTCAAATTCTTTATTTTATAGTGCAGTTGTGACTGCTACAATCGTTGGTTCATAGTACATACCCTTTGATGGTTTGAGCATCAGGTACACTCGAAAATCTGGGGCACACTCGAAAATCTGGGAGTAATATGGTGATCATCTTCACGTTGCCATTCAGATGATTTAGTGCATCTTGAACGGTGGAGACATGTTTCTGTTGGAGTAAGGACTGGTTCGGGAAAGGGGGGTTGAGCTTGTGCAACATGGCCGGCTTCACCTCCCACACGCTCCACCCCCCCCCCCCTTTCCCGAACCAGTTTCCAGATGCACTAAATCAACTGAATATCATCTGAATGGGAACATCAAGATGATACATGTAAATAATTTCACTACACAACACTGTCTTTCCTTGAGCTTCATCTGGTCCAATGATGCTTGCAATCTTGCCTTAAATGTTCTTCTTTTGTAAGGCTGCTTGCAAGTATTGGTGGAATGAATCTCCTTTGGTCTGTTTACAACCTTCTCAACTGTCCTTGATTTGAAGAAGGCACTTGATTTGTTTTCTGCAGCTGTATATTGGTGTGAAGATTTCATGAGTCACTGGTGGCCCAGACATTGCATCTTCTTGTAAATCCCCATCGGTTGAGTTTTGCGGGTCTGGGTCGTTTTCCTAGTCTGATCCTGATCATTTGATGAAGGATACGTGAATGTGAAAAACCAATAAACATCGGCACTGCAAAATCCAGCCTGAAGGATTTTTTTGGAGACATGGCCTTCAGATATGGTTTTGCATACTCTGCATCATCGCACTTGTTATCTGGAGGCCAGGATTATTCTCACGTGTAGTTGGTATTCTCTTGAGTATGGACTTGAATGGGCCAAACACACCAACATCCAGTGGCTGGGTGACATGACTCACATGCGGTGGCATTACAAAGAGGATGACGTCAGTCTCTTCTTTACCCCGTTCACCAAAAGGAAAGAGGTGTGGGATTTGTGTCCATCATAGACGATCATGTGTTGGAAGACTTGAGTTTCCCTTCTTGTAGGTGTCAATGCTTTGCGAAATATGCTTCTGAAGATAATTATGAAATATAGCAGTATTGGACCAGCCGTTGTCTTACATCTTACCGTCCCTTCCAGAGAGAGTGCCATTGTTACACCCCAACTATCGTATCGGTCCCAACAATAGTTGGGCCTAGTTGGGACAGTCCTAACTGTAGTACGACAGTTGGGCTGGCCTAACTATAGTTGGGCTGGCCCAACTATAGTTGGGGCTGGCCCAACTATAGTTGGGGCTCGACGGTGGATCATGCATGGAGCGCCTGCACCCGCTTGCTTAATGTACAATGTACGTGTGGCCTGTGCATGCACGTGTGGCGCATCCTTGGCGCGGCGCGGCCCGGCCCCTTATCCGGTTCTTATGAATGGAAATGCGAATGATCAACTGGAGGGCGTCGCGTTATAAAATAATTCAAATGGGCGCGCGCGCGTCTATAACAACCGGGCCTGCTGCGGGGGAGGGGGGGGGGGGGGCTGGCCCAACTATAGTTGGGGCTCGACGGTGGATCATGCATGGAGCGCCTGCACCCGCTTGCTTAATGTACAATGTACGTGTGGCCTGTGCATGCACGTGTGGCGCATCCTTGGCGCGGCCCGGCCCCTTATCCGGTTCTTATGAATGGAAATGCGAATGATCAACTGGAGGGCGTCGCGTTATAAAATAATTCAAATGGGCGCGCGCGCGTCTATAACAACCGGGCCTGCTGCGGGGGGGGGGGGGGGGGTTTCGTGTTTCCCATATTCTGAAAGCATGGGCACTGAAACATTGGTTGTAAACTTACGGGGACAACGTACAAGCATTATGCATCTTTTATGCATGGAAAAAATGGTTCGGAGGTGAGAAAAAAATTAATCATCTTTTTAATACAGACCCCCTAAATCTACGCGCTTCTATTTCTACGCACTTACATTCAATTGACGTTTGACAACACGCTTTTGCACCCTCTCCAACCCAAGGGGTCTCCCCTGAAAACCTTAATAATTATACTTTTCTCTTCAATTTGGATGCACATGCTCGACCTGTCTTGGTTTGTGTTAATGTTATCGTAAGAATTATTGTTTCTTCTTTTCCCCCTCCTCCCCTTCCGCCCGCTGGCAACTATATTGTAAAATCCCCATGTATTTCTTACATGGATAGTGCATGCAAGGGCGAATCAAGGGGGGGTCATTTTTTTTTTCCCAAGAGTGGGTCAACAAATTGATGGCGTTTAGTTTGGGGCCTGCTAAAGGGACAATTTTTTTGTGTTTTTGTTGGGCAAAAAAAAACCCCGGCATGGTGTTACACGTAGTGGCTGCGCATTTTGAGACGTCAATTTTTTTTTTTATGGGATGGGTTTTTTGGGGGGGGGGGGGGGGGGGGGAGGGGGAATGTTACCCCACCTCCCCCCATATAGCCTTTGGCCTTTAGACTACATTGGAATTTGGTACAAATGCACTTTATATATACATGTATATATTATTTTATGTTGCTTCTTAGCAATCTCAAGGCTTGTGTTTGTTGTCCTGTAATCCCAAAAATGATTACACGTACGTTTATTAAACTTCACTCCATAGGTGGTTTCAAAAAAGGATGCAGACAGGAATGTTCAATGTGGCCTCAGTAAAGGAATTTTTACTAAGCACTTCTCACATGACTGGAAAGAATAATCTGTAAAACAAAAGCACCTTTGTAAACAAATGGTCATTTTTATTAAACAATCTATTTAATAATACAAATAGTCTACCTAGTTTGTGTGCACCTTGATTGTACTTAATGTACATGTACATGTATTTTGTTCTATATGCTGCCTCTCAAAGTAGATGTCACGACTTGCAACTCGTGACAATGTGTTTTGCACTTACAACACTAGCTGTCTTACAAAATGTATAGGGTTTAAAAAGTGATGCCCTTTTCGGTCGATCCCTGTTTGTTTTAAAGGGGCACTGCATCCAAGAATCTTGAAAATCCAGAAAAAGTATGTAAAGTTGTAATTGTCAAAACTTTTACAAAAAATGACATTACGGGTCTACAATCAAAATGAATGTGCAACTTTTAAATACATGTATTACAATCACTACTCCAAATGTGTCAAAATATTAAATGCCACAATATAGGCTCACACATTTCTGGTTATTCATGCAACCCCCCCCCCCCCCCCCAAACAAATATAAAACTGACAAAACTAGAAAACAAAAATACAACAGTAACAAAATAAAAAGGTGCACAATGAGGATGATGTAAACATAACAAAAATTATAAATTGTGCTAACAGTAGGCCTAATATAAGTACAAATACAGTTTCTATTAAAAGAAATCTATGACCGTGTGTCACCCAAGCAACAATGGTGAAAGATGTGAACATCATTTTGTTCTGAAAGTGAAAAAAAACATGTGTTTTTATGCCCCGCGGCGAAGCCGAAGGGGCATACTGTTTCCGCCTTGTCCTTCCGTGGGTGGGTGTGTGGGTGGGTGGGTGGGTGGGTGAGTTTGTCTTACATACGCAGTGTGGACTTCCGAACAAAAGACGTCCACATAATGTAGGTAGCACCGACGTTGTGTGGACTTACCCCACGTCCACACAGTGTTTCCCCATTTCTGGAAAACAGGTTTAGAGGCATTTTTGGGTTAGGTTTATCTGTAGCAGAATGAAGAGAAACACTAAAGGGAATCATAGAAAAAAAATTGGGTTGAAAGAGTTTTCACAGTTTGAGAAAAATAAGTTTTTTCACTGGTTTTTCTTAACTACACGAAAGCAATGGAAAGTCCACACTAGTCATGTGAAACAAGTATGGGTGGGTGGGTGGGTGTGTGTGTGTGTGTGTCCGGACAAATCTTGTCAGCGCGATAACTTGAGAAATACTTGACATATGAACTTCAAATTTGGTTTGTGGATTGTTCTTGGTAATCCTAAGAAGCCTTTTGCATTTGGGGCCAAAAGGCCAAAGGTCAAGTTCACAGTGGCTAAAACAATAGAAATCTTGTCAGCGCGATAACTTGAGAAATACTTAACATATGAACTTCAAATTTGGTTTGTGGATTGTTCTTGGTAATCCTAAGAAGCCTTTTGCATTTGGGGCCAAAAGGCCAAAGGTCAAGTTCACAGTGGCTAAAACAATAGAAATCTTGTCAGCGCGATAACTTGAGAAATACTTAACATGTGAACTTCAAATTTGGTTTGTGGATTGTTTTTGGCAATCCTAAGAAGCCTTTTGCATTTGGGGCCAAAAGGCCTAAGGTCAAGTTCACAGTGGCTAAAACAATAGAAATCTTGTCAGCGCGATAACTTGAGAAATACTTTACATGTGAACTTCAAATTTGGTTTGTGGATTGTTCTTGGCAATCCTAAGAAGCCTATTGCATTTGGGGCCAAAAGGTCAAGGGTCAAGTTCACAGTGGCTAAAACAATAGAAATCTTGTCAGCGCGATAACTTGAGAAATACTTAACATATGAACTTCAAATTTGGTTTGTGGATTGTTCTTGGTAATCCTAAGAAGCCTATTGAATTTGGGGCCAAAAGGTCAAGGGTCAAGTTCACAGTGGCTAAAACAATAGAAATCATGTATTTATTCTGAGATTATAGGGATTAGGGATTAATTCATATAAAACCTACAGAAGACACTAATGCTGTCAATGAATGTTCCATGTGACCAAGGTACATGTAAGTTGATGTTAAAAGAGTGGTGTTATGTCATGGGAACTGTCACCCTTGCGGGGCATTTGTGTTTGTAAACACACCTGACTTGTTTACATATAAAACACATTTGAATAATAAATACCTTAAAGTACTTCTGAGTAATAGGTGCTAGATGTTTTTATATTAATCCCCCCCCCCCCCAACAAAAAAAATACCAATATTAGTAGGCCCCTAATCCTTTTTTTTCTGGGTTTGCAAAAACAAATATGCGTTACTAAGCATTCATGAGCAGATTATCTTCATTCCATATGTTTATGGCAACAACATTGAAA